GTACCTGGTCTCTCAGAGTGAATCGGCCCATCTGGGGGTAGTCCTCGAACCTCTCCACACAAACCGAGCCAGCACCGCCGGTCACCTCCATGCGCGCAATGATGCTGTCACCCTTCTTAGCGTGCGAGGGCGGCAGCTTGCTCTTCCTGTTGGTGCCCTTCTGGAGCTTGTGCAGCAGCGCGGCGAACGTCACTTCTTCAATGGCGGCGTGCACGTGCAGCACGCAGTTGAAGCCGGCAGACAGGATGCTCTTGAGCTCGAGGATGCGGATCTGCGCCTCAAAGGCCGTCACGTTGTGTACGAGACGCTTGGGCGAGCACAGCACGAAACCGGGCATGATGTCCTCCTCCTCGGCGCCACGGAGTCGCAGGCGTACTTGGTCACCGCACTGCGAAATGTTGACCTCGTCCTCCGTCTCGCCGTACACCGCAGTAGCCTCAACCGTCTGCCTGTTGGGCATCATGACGAGGGACATGCCCTTCTTGACCACGCCCGCCTCGATCTTGCCCTCGATGATGGTGCCCATATCCTTGTACTTGGCCGCGACGGGCATCATGAAGGGCGCCTTGAGCTTGCGCTCCAGCGTCTTCATGCCGTCGAGGTACTCGAGAAGCGAGGGGCCGTCATACCAGGGCGCCTTCTCCTTGGGCACCCGCGTCTTGATGCCCATGGTCTGCTGTGCCGCAATGGGCATGAACATGACGTCCGTCTTGAGGTTGTAGCCCGTGCCCTTCAGGAACTGCGCGAGCTTGGTTGTGCACTCAATGTAACGCTCGTGAGACCACTCGACGGTAGGATCGTCCATCTTGTTGATGACGACGACGAGCTTGTTAACACCCTGCGTCTTGGCCAGCATGGCGTGCTCCCTCGTCTGGCCACCACGCTCAAAGCCCGTCTCGTACTCACCCTTACGGGCAGAGATGACGAGAATACCGACATCGGCCTGCGACGCACCGCCAATCATCGAGGGAACGTACGTCTTGTGACCAGGGGCGTCGAGGATGCTGTAGCGTCTCTTCTCCGTCTCGAAGAAGCCGCGTCCCACCTCGACCGTCTTACCCTTGCTTCGCTCCTCCGCTGTCAGATCCATGACCCACGACAGGTACCAACTCTCGCGACCGAGGTCCTTGGCGTCTTTCCTGTACTTGTCCATGGTTCGCTCATCAACCATGCCTGTGGCGTACAGGATGGAACCACCCAGGGTGGACTTGCCGGCATCAACGTGGCCGATAAAGATAATGTTGACGTGCTCCTTGCCGTAGACTTCCTCCAGCGTCTCATCGTCGACGTCGGCGGACTGCTCCTTGGCGACAGCATCGGCATCACGAACGGGACCCTTGGGACCACCAGCCGTAGGGCTCGAGCGGCCAGATGAGGGGACGGGAGAGGTCTTGCCAGACTTGCTGGTCGCACCAGTCTTCTCGATGGCCTTGGCAGCGGTGGCCTTGGCGCCGGCCTCTGGCGCGGCGGTGGCGGCAGTGGTCGCAGCAGCGGCAGGCTCCCTCTTCTCCTCCTTGACTTCCTTGGGCGGCGCAGCGGCAGCACCGATAGAGAGGACCTTAGCCTTGGGCTTGGGGGCCTCACCACCGATGCTCAGGACCTTGGCACCGCCCTCCTTCTTGACCGTCGGCTGAGCAGCCGCAGGGGCGGCGGCTGGCGCATTGTCGCGCTTGGCAATAGTCGGCGCAGCTTGTTGCGGCGGCTGCTGCTGCTGCTGCTGGTTATACTGGCCGTACTGCTGCTGTCCGTAACCCTGGTTATAGGCGGGCTGGCCACCGTAGCCTCCCTGCTGTCCGTACTGCTGGTATCCCTGACCCTGACCAGGGGCGCCGCCTCCGTACTGAGGGTAGCCGCCGCCGCCGTAGCCCTGGTTGTAGTATTGCTGGTACTGAGGCACGTAGCCACCGTATTGCTGGCCGGGGTTGAAGCTCTGGGCGCCGGGCTGGAAGCTGGCGACACCGGGACGGAAAGACCCCGCATTGGGGTTGGGCTGCTGGTTAATGTTGAGCTGCTGCTGGGCCTGTTGGGAGAGGTTCTCGTCCTGCTGGGCGGCAGGATCGTCCTCCCACGAGTTGAGGTTCGACATGTTGGGGGTAGTCGTGATGTTCCGTTGATGTGTGTTGGTCTGTTGATGCGTGTTTAAACCGAGATGCGGTCTGCGGTGGGTGGCCTGTCAAGAGTGACTCGCGGAGGGGTAATCCGAAAGAGAATGTGGAAGAGCCGACAACCGGATGAGTCACAGCGATTGCTGAGTCGACGCTCGTGTTTTCGCAAGGCAGAAGCAGCGTCAAAGGAAAGATTCCAAGGCTGATATGTGTCAGGCTGTCGTTGGCAAGAGTTGGCCGTAACAATGCTCAAGTCAAGTTTTTGCGAGGAAATTTGGCAATGGTCGCCCGACCACCACCAAAGAGGTTGGCTGCTGTCTGTCGGGTACCACCTGTGACCCCACCAGGCGGGGTATGCGAGGCATCAAGTCTGGGCACGCACTGTCCTGTGTCTCATCATGCCGCATGGAGAGGCAGTGAGAGGTAAGAAATTGCGGGATGGGTGCAGCTGTCAACACTGTGTACTTGCCCCTCCATGGTTTACCTGCGGCAGCTATGGGTCACCCCGCCAGCCCACCTTCTCACCACCCTCTGCCTGCCATGCTGAGGCGCTGGACGTGCTGCCTGCAAATAATAAAGCTGCCTGCCTTCGCTAATGAACGACGACAATAAAGGTGAGGTCTGAAATATAATTCGCCGCGTAGACTTCTTCCATGCTGCAACAGCATGTCCCTTCGTCATGACACCTGGCCATCATGGACGCCCTACTCTCTCGACTTGGTTACCAAGCCCTCAATATGGCTATGCGCTCAGGTCTTGCCTTGACGTCGACTTATGCCGTCTCTCAGTGTTCTCGCCTCATGAAAAAGATTGACGACAAGACTATTCGAACTGACCTCAAGAGACTGCAGAGACAACTCAACAGTAAGATCAAGGTTGGTTCAAACTATTTCATTCCCTTCCTTCTACCGAGCTTTGGCTTATCATTGATGACATCAGGTCGTATCGCCAGCTATCGATCTGATTGAGTTCAAGTCAGGCAGAGGAAACGCCTTCCTTGAATCTGCCGTGCCTATTGCCAGAGCCCTGCATGTCGCCATTACTTCGCTCAACAAAGAACTTGATGAAGTTGCCCTCACCATCGAACAATCGCCATGCGCCTCCCCTCCGGAACAGGTGGTTATCCAGCTTGGCCGAATAATTGCAGACATGAAAGACCTCTTGGCTCGTATTGACCATGACATTCCCCTCCTACACATGGCTATTACCGCGTCCGGCGAGAGCCTCACGTCAACTTTATCACCGGGTGTATCGCCCTCGAGGTTGCTACAAGCTAGCACTCTACTCAACTTTGGCGACACGCAGTATGCCTACAACCCCACAAGACCGGTTCAGATCGGGCCCTGTTTTACGTTCTCACTCTACATGCTCTTTTTAGGCCATGCCGACCAGTCTACAAAGCCCCCGACTACTGTGCCCTATACACCCGATCTGTCCAGAAACGGGTCGCAAAAGCGAGAACCATATGGTATAGAAGAGGGTGACAGGAAGCCCCTATGGCAAGAAGTTCTTCACAAGGCCCGGGTTCGTCTGTGCCGTACGCCCTTTGACCACGTATTTGATGGCAGGGTTGGGTATCGTCCTCAGTTAAAGCCCCCGGAACATGGTCCTGCGGGTGCTCATGTTTCGTCACCACTAACAAATCCGCCTAGCACACCTGTCGAGTACGCCTACCATATGGAAATTATTGAGGACCTCGATGATGGGCGTCTGCATGGTGATGATCACGTCCAAGACTGCCCGTTCGATGGCATTGCCCGCGCTGGGATTCGGGAATCGATCCCCCTCTTTCAATTATCGAAAATCTTCTACGCTGACACAGGGCGCATTTTGAATATTGGCCAGGACTCCGAGGAAAACAATCCGGTTCTACTTTTGAAGCGAGATGTATCCACACGGCCCACAGCGAGCACAAGCGATGCCGTTGTACAGTCGCCGTGTTCCACAGAAGAAGCCTCTCCCGATTGCGAATATTTACAACAAGACGTCGACCAGCAGATCCAAGAAGAAAGTCTTTGTATTGGGGAAACCCTGAGCTCAGATATAAAGGCTGATGATACTGACTGCGAAGAGCCACACAGTGTCTGGTCTTTCCCACCTCATCTCGATCCGGAATGGTTGGCATTCGAGGTATTTGCAGCTGATTTTGATGACCATGACACTGGTGAGAGCAGCGAACATAGCAGTGTCAACAACGACTGTAGGCCGAAGCCAACTACAGCCACCAATGACGACCCCCTTGTCGACAACAGAATGCTTGAACAGCTTCAAAGTTTGTCATTGAACGCACCGCATCTCACTGCATGCGAGCCTACTGCACAGACATCTGCGCCACGTGCACGGAGTTTTGCGGCACGTTCCCCCTTCGGTGCCATTGCAACATCCATCTCGCTCATGGAGATGCTCATCCGATTGGCGAGCTTGCAAGAGTTCCAGCAGGCTTCGCATCTCTCCATTGACGACCACGTCTTAGCCTTTTTTCTGGAGGAAACATCAACAACGGGACTTGATCGCGAGCATCGGTGGAAGGCACGAAATAAAGCGCGGAGGCACATTGGCTTTGATCCCTACACTGACACCCCTACGAAGTTATGAACATAATGAGACGATATGTACCGCTCTGCTACGAGCATAAGTCACCCACACCGCGCGCTGTTTGTTTAACTATGTTTTTGGGCATTTCGTTCTGGAGGTCTATTCGTGCGTGAGCATGTCGCTGATATACAAGCAAACTTTTCGATTCCCTTGCTTCCGTGGTCAACGCCTACCTAGGCACTCTATTTCAGGGGCTTGGGCTGCTTCATCTCGCGGAAGAAGTCCATGACGCCCGTGAAGACGACGAGGAGGATACCACCACCAGGTCCCAACCGGAGGACCTTGGGCAGGAAACCCTTGTACAGGGCGCCAAAGCCCTCCTCCTTGGCAACAGTGGCGACGGCGGGCCACGCCCAGTTGTACTTGGGCACCTGGCCGGGGACCTTGGGGCTGTTCTGGATGCGGGACTTGACAACGTCCATGGGCGTGTTGAGGATGGTGCCGACGGTACCGCCGACGGCGCCGGACAGCAGGTCGTTCCTGACCTTTGAGCTCTGCGTCTCGGCGGCAGGGAGGAGCTGGCGCACCTGGAAGATGCAGCCGAAGTAGCCGGCGTTCCAGAGGACATGGCGCCACATGGTGCTCTCGAGACCGTTGTAGAGGGCCAGGATGCCCTCGGCGCGGACCGTCTTGGAGACGCAGTCGAGCATGCCCGTATACTTGCCGGCCGAGGCCTTGTCCTGCATGCGGATCTTGATGAGCTCGAAGGGGACGACGACGACGGCTTCGGTAGCACCGGCGGAGGCACCCGTGAGGATGGAGAGCGACTGGTTCATCTTGTCGGCGCCGAACGCCTTGCGGTAGACCTTGCCCCACTCGTCGTTGGCGGCGAACTTGGTCGCACGCTTAGGAGCCTCCATGAGGATAGGAGCCGAGATGCCGCGGTACAGGCGAGAGAAGCTGAAGAGAAAAGAGAACATCTGTAAGCTGGGAGAATGATTAAGCGGAGCGACAGGGGGGTTGCGTACCCCTCGTTGCGCACGATCTTGCGGAAGCAGTCGACCATGCCATTGTAGTGGTCAGCGCCAGCGGTGGGCACGCCGGTCTGAAGCTGGCTGTGAAACACGTGTGTGTGAGCGGTCGGTCGGCCGGGGACGGTGGCGGCGAGGTTCCTTACACTCTCGTCTTGACAACGTCAAGAGGGTACCTGTGTTGTTGTGAGCACGCGACCAAACCACAACGCCGGCACAGCAAACAAGATGGCGACGACTTACATCATCAGAATCTATGAATTCCGGTCTACATGTCAGTAAGAGTCCACCTTCCTGGATGGCTGGGTGGGACGGACCTCCGAGACGCCAGCAACGGCGCCTGTCGCATGTTATTAGCTGGAGCTCCGACATCGCGACGAGCCATCGGGCAAAGGCATGGGGTGACGTACCTGCGGCGAACTGGTAGACGAAGGGGAGGGGCGTTTCCTGCGACATTGTGGCGAACGGGTCTTCTCTCTTCTGTCGTCAGGTCCTGGCACTTCCTCGTCAATTCTCGGCAGAGACTCACCGAAAGTTTGTCGCGAAGATGGGGGGGGGGGTGGTCTAGAGTTGTGGAAAGCGAAAATCAATGGGCAAGGCCGATTGATGTCTAGCGGGAATTTCGACGGTAGCCGTCCCGAGGGATCCTTATCGGTTTGTTTCGGCATGGGGCAGTGGCCTTATCTGGGCGGTAACCCCACGGGTCTGTCCTCGCGCTGGGCCACTAGTGCTGCGACCCTGGTTGCAGCTCTCGGTGGGCAAGCTCCAAGCTCGGTGGGGACCTGGATTTCGGTGAGGGCGGCGTGTTCGGTGGGGGATGCCTTCGTCACCAAGTACTATGTCCCATGTTCTCTCGGTCCGTTGACCTCAACTGGCATTATATTCGAGTTTGACATTCATGTTATCGCACCAACGCAATCCCTTGGCTAGAAGACAATCGTCGGCATGGCCCGAAGCGAAGTGATCCGGATTTTGCGGTTGACCAGATCAGATGGACATTTGGCACCGTAGCGACTTCACATCTGCTTTTGACCAACTACGAAGCTGTCAACAAATGGTTTGTTTCGTGTTGAAGGCTAGTAACATCGAAAAAATCACAGAAGATGACGGATCACGACCAAAGACAAGTCAGCGTCAAGCCCTACATGTATGCTGGTATGCTGAGCGATCAGTTAAAATACTACATGATGACTTCATATATTCACCTCTTCATTTTCCTTCTATCTCGCAGCTCTCATAGAGGAGGCATTATACAGACGAAAACTTGTCAAGGCCCCTTCGAAAGACATAAGTGGAAAGTCAACGATGTCAGATGGCTTGAAATAGGAGCCAATTCATGGCGTAGGAAATGAAGCTCAAGTCGAGAGCCCAAGATATCGTCTGGCTGGCACCAACAAGGGAATGAGCTCAAAGATTGTGGGGACTGTTTGCGACAGGAAACAAGGTTAAGCCACATGTTGGGCTCGCTGCGATGCACATCATCGGACGGCCCACGCGAGAGGCCGCATATCGTGCTTCTCCCTGTGGTTGGACCAGGCGGGACTAACCAGGAGCATGGACAAGGCACGCATGGCGGGGGGAGCTCCAACAACCCGCACACGCAGACCGGTCGAGTCATCTCAGCATCCAAGCAACTTTCAGGGACAATTTGACACTTTGCATCGAGATACCCAGGTATGCGCAATTCACTTGAAGGGCGCAGCATGAGCAAGATGCCCTTTAACACGAGTCAGCAGTCACGGGTCAGCTCCCACACATACTATGCGCAGGTGTTTCCAACGGCTTCGGCGCTTCTCGTCAAGGTTGGAGGCAATTTGGGTTGACTGATGGAGCAAAGGATGTGCGCCTGCGACTCCAGCACACGCTCAACATAGGGCCGTCGATTGGCAGGATGCTCAGAGGCGGACCAAAGTTCCCGGCAGTCCTGAGGTACTGGCGGCGCCCCATGTGCCCTTTTGGGGCTCAAGCTGGCGAGCTAGCAGGGTGGATACGTGCGTCCCCCGTCCCGTGTATGTCACTGGCGCGGGGCGCTGCGGGCTTCCTGACGCGCACAAGTGACGAGAGCTTCACAGGCACCTCTGTGAAATGTGGGTGTATCCGACCTCTCCCGTTCTCATCTCCTCGAAAACGTCGCCGCAACCCTAAACATCGCCTACCCTTGCCCGGGCCGACTATCCTACCATCGCAAACTCTTCGCTGTTTGACCTACATTCTACGGTGTCAGCCTACCTCCTAAACGCGTCTCGCCCTCCAACACCCCCACCCTAAAGTGGTACCTGTCCTTGAACCTCCTGGACGTTCAGGTGGCAACCCTATCAGCTTTTTCACCATTTCAACCTCTCGTCAAAACCAACCCAACCGAATCCAGCGCCATCTGCCAGAAAAGAATTGCAAAGCGCCCTCCTACGACCCCGGAACTCCTTCGAGCGCTCGTTCTTGCACCTTTAAATACGCCGCGGTCCTTCGAGAACCACAGCGAGGTGCAATCGCAAGCGCAAGAAGAGTCCTTCTCCAACACTACCACTGCCCATGAGTCATCTACTCTGGAAGCACTACTGGGAACACGATGTCGACAAGTTTCGGCGTCTGCTGGCACCAGCCGGTTACAGCACCCAGTTACCGAGCAGAAGCCCAGTGGTAGCGGCCAGTGGTTCTTGGGGGAACAGTCCCGGCTCGCACGCTGCTGGCACGTCCCCCAAGGCTACCAAGTCCCGCAAACCCTCTGGCTTTGGTCTCAACCTCGGCGGCGCCAGAGGTTCTGCCGGGGCGGCACTGGGAAAGGCCGAAGTCAACAGTCGCGACCACGCCGGCCTCACCCTCCTTTTGCGCGCCGCGTCATCCACCGATCCCGATGCCATCCTCTACGTCAGCGCCCTTCTCGACCACCCGGCTATCGATCTTCACGCTCAGGATCTTGAGAGTGGCTGGAATGCCCTCCACAGAGCCCTGTATGCCGGCAACATCTCCATCGCTCGCCTGCTGCTCGACAAGGAAAGGAGAATCCTGACCGAACAGACTGCTGGAAATGCCGTGGCGAAGGTTGGCCAGCTTATCAAGACGAAGGACAACGAAGGAAACAGCCCATTCGACGTGTACAACTCTACTATTGGTACGCGCAATATCAAGGAGCCTGGGAACTCGAAAAACGAAGGCGAGGCCCACGACAGCGATTCAAACTCAGACGACGATGACAACCTTGCAATGTCCGTCTCTACCCTTGAAGCTGCGACAGAGGGCGAGGAGATCTTCATGTTTGGAAGTAACAAGAACCTTTCGCTCGGAGTTGGCGACGAAGATGATAGGCAGTTTCCCGAGAGGGTCATCCTGAAACGACCCGATCACCTTCTCCAGCGGTTCTATGGCGAATACCTCGAGATGGTCAAAGATGATCCGTCGGCGATCTCTCCGTCTTCTCGGGATGACCCTCCGGCTCTTGACCAGATTCCGGCCCTCACCAAGAATCGGCCCATGTATATCCAAGACGCTGTTCTTGCCAAGTTCCATACAGCCATCCTTACCACTGATTCCGTTTCCAACATGTATGTTTGCGGCGTTGGGCGCAGCGGCAGGCTGGGTCTCGGCGATGAAAACACGCAGTTTCGCTTCCTTCCCGTCCAAGGTAGTCTGGCCGACAAGAAGGTGACCCAGGTTGCTTTGGGCCAGAACCACACCATGGCTGTGACCGACGGCGGGGAGCTCTGGACCTGGGGATCCAACGTCAATTCTCAGCTCGGTTATTCTCTACCGCCTGCCCGGCAGGACAGGGAGCCGATGAGTGTCATTCCTCGACAAGTCTTCGGTCCTCTCAAGAAGGAGGTCATTTTGGGTGTTGCTGCCTCGGCTGTTCACTCAGTCGCGCACACGGCAACCTCACTTTTCTGTTGGGGCAAAAACCTGGGCCAGCTGGCGCTCATGGACGCCGACTCTAGATCCCTCGAAGTGCAAGTTGCGCCGCGAAAAGTAGCAGTCTCTCTATTCTCCTCTAATATAGTTGCTGTTTCTGCCATCGACAAGGCCACGACAATCCTACTGGAAGACGGCACCGTGTGCGTATTCACTAGCTACGGATACAACTTTGTCAAATTCCCGATCCCGGATGTCTTCGCGAACCAGCAATTTACGCCTCGGTCCATGTCTAGTCGGTATGACATGTCGAGGAACTCAATCAAAGCGATCACTTCAGGAGGAGATTCTATCGCTGCCCTGACAACGAGAGGCGACGTTTTCACTGTTGCGCTGAACCAAAGAGCAGAGGCAGCCCCTCAAGCGGCCTCGACGACGAATCCTGCGAAGATCAAGGGCGCCCTCACAGCTCCTCAGTGCATCTGGAACGCGCGGAAAGACGGCGCCAGGTCAATTGGCGTCGGCGAACATGGTTCTGTCATCATCTGCACGGATTCTGGTGCCGTCTGGCGCCGCATCAAACGCATGAAGGCCAAAGACACCAGGCTATCAGGACCATCAGGCAACAAGCGCAACGACTACAAGTTCCAGCGAGTCCCCAGCGTCACCAATGCTATCGCTGTCCGAAGCTCTCCGTTTGGCGCCTTTGCGGCCATTCGCAAGGACTGTGATGTTATGAGAGAGCAGATCAGTATCGACGGGCAGACATTGTGGGCGAACATATCGCCGTTGTCAGCGCTCAGGAGTTTCCAGGCATCTGAACCTCTTCACGGCCACAAGAATAGCTCGACGTTGGGAGATCCTGAGATCTGGAGGGAGCGACTGGGGGATCTTCCTTATGAGCTCCTTCAATCTTCGAACCTCAATGCCGACCTGGAGAAGCACCTGCACTTCACATCGCCTCAGCACTCAGGGCTCGACGTACTCATCTGCACCTCAACAACTCCCGAGATCAAGGTTCCCATCCACGGATGGCTCATCTCGGTGCGGAGCAGTGTCGTGCGAGGCGCATTGGCTGAGTATCGCGCCCATGGCCGATATGAAATGCCGGAAACTCTACTGATAGAAGAGCATCAAGGAAAAGCCTTGATCATCTTCCAGTCGCTTGATCTTCTCTCTATCATCAACCTTATTGTTTACTGCTACGACGATGTTGTTGTTCCTGCATGGAACTTTACGCGCCAATCATCGCAGGCACCTCGGTACCGCCAGATCAGGAACGAACTCATGAAACTCGCCACCAAGCTTCACATGGCGAAACTCGAGGTTGCTGTGCGTCTTCAAACGAGCACCGAGCGATCTTTGGATCAAGATATGAAAAGCGCCATCCGAGACGTAGAGTTTTTCGATGATGCTGATGCCATGGTCGAGCTGGAAGACGACGAAGTACGTGTACACAGCCAGCTCCTCCGTCAACGCTGTGCCTTCTTTGAGGGGCTGTTCCACGGTCGATCAGGGGGCATGTGGCTAGCAGGCCGGCAGCATGTCCTTGAGGAAGAGGATCTTATTCGAGTAGATCTTGAGCACGCCGACCCCGAAGCGTTCCAATATGTACTTCGACACCTTTATGCCGATGTAGGGCTCGAGCTCTTCAACGATGTCATCTCTTCTGATCTCGACGAGTTCTCGGACCTTGTGGTGCGGGTCATGAGCATCGCCAACGAACTGATGTTGGACAGGCTTTCGCAAATCTGTCAGCACATTATTGGACACTTCGTCAACACAAGGAACATCGGCTTGCTGTTGAATGAGATCAGTCCCTGCTCCGTCACTGAGTTCAAAGATGCTGGGCTGGAATACGTTTGCCTTCAGATGGAGACCATGCTGGAGAATCACTTCCTGGATAACCTGGACGAAGAACTGCTGAGTGAACTGGACGACGTCGTCCGCCAGAACCAATTGGCACGGTATCCAATTGCTCGTGGTGGGCGGGCTGAAAGACTACTGTATGAGCTCTATCCCGAGCTGACGCTTGATATCGAGGAGGAGCGTATCATACGAGTCAAGGAGATGGCATTCAAAGCTGCCACAGATGACCGAAAGACTTCGGTCCCGTACCGCACCCGATTCGGCAGCGTTGAAGATGTGTCAGGAATTTCCCCCATCCAGGGCATCGAAAAGACGAGACGCAAGTCCAAGGTCAATCGGAACGAACCTTTCAGTCCTATGCTTCGCCCGAAGGATTCGCACGCTGATCTCATGTTCGATATGGATGAGGAAGCACCTCCTATCAGTGCAAGTCCGCTGCGGTCTCCGGGACAAAAACTCCCCAATGCTCAACCTTCTCTCTCCAAAGGAAGGGTTGATGAGAGCACCAAGGCCTCCCCTCAGCCCAACTCATTGAACATAGCCGAATCGGCACGGTCTCCGGGCTCTGTATCTCCTCTAGCCGGTCCAACGCAGTCGCCATTTACTCCGAAAACACCAAGAGGAGCGGGCAAGGACAAAACTCTGGCATCGAACAGTCCCTGGGGCGCAACACCTCTGTCGACCTCCAAGCTAGACCTGCGCGAGGTCATGACGGCTACGCCACCAAAGTCGGCTCTCTCGGCAAGCTTGGCCGCGCAGAACACCAAGGAATCGTCGCCTCGAGCTTCTCAGCCCAGGATGTCCCAGAAAGAGAGGAAGAAGCAGCAGCAAGCGCAGGCTGCTGTGCAAGCCGCCCAGGAACTTGAAGCTCGTCATCCTAAGGCTGCCTGGGAACCCGAGACTTCTGCGAACAAATTGGCGCCATGGAAAGCTGTCGAATCGGGTCCCAAGGCGTCACTCAAGGATACGCTGGCATCAAGCTCGGCGGCCAAGCCCACCCCTCCAGCCGCTGTGCCCAAGGCGAAGCCGCTCGTTGCCGCTGAAACTGCTCCCTCAAAGTCGATTCGGCGCACCGCGTCTCCGGACACGCGTTTCTCAGGACAGAGCCGCAAGAACAGCTCACCGGCTGTGCCGACGGCATCTACAGCACGAGACTCACCGAAACCATTGGTGCCACATTCCAAGTCATACATGACGCCGGCACGCAAGACCGAGTCGTACCTTGGGTTGGGTATGGAGGACATTATCGTGCAGCAGAGGCTTGAGCAGGAAGCGGTCCGCGAGGCCGTGGCCAAGCGGTCAATGCAAGAAATTCAGCAGGAGCAGGAATTTCAGCAATGGTGGGATCTGGAGAGCCGGCGGATCCAGATGGAAGAGGAGGCACGGCAGTCACCGAGAAACGCGGCATCAGGCGGGAAAGACAAAGACAAGGCCACGCGGGGTGGCAAACGGGGGCGCCGGGGTCGCGGCGGCAAAAGCGGAGGCGAGGGCCATGCTGATCAGGGCCAAGGAGGAGCGGGTGATAGCACAACTGCACCCAGGGCGGGTGGTGCGTCGAGCAAAAGTAGAGGCAGAGGGAGCCGTGGGCGGGGCGGCAAGTCAACCACGACGAGCGCATAGCCCGGGATGTGCAGATCGGAGGCTTAGAGAAGATGGCTGGGTATGAGACCCGCAGTACATCATTGTTGCATTCCGTCCAGAACGGCTGCAACGTCGGAGTTTTCAACGGGGGAGCTCTCTACCTGCATCTGAAATACCACTTATAGACTATCGAACGACTTGAGGCATTGGCTGTCAGTCGTAGAGGAGAGCCAGGGGCTACTTCTCTGATTGATTATTCGAATTCATCTTGTCCGAATCAAGTCATGCCATGTCCAGCAAGACAGAATACCGTACATGTGTGTTGAACCCAGACAGTTGCCAGATTACTATATCCAAGGGAATCGTGCTGAGCCATGTCTTCTGCCTCTGGCTGCTGGAACAAGACAGTAAAGCGTGACAAGGAGCGAGGCCAACGACAAAAGTGCCGCCATGGTCGACAATGGGCACGGATGAAGGCTTCGAAAGTTTGACCTGCCTCGCCCTACAAGGTAAGCACCTCTCTGGTCATCTGGTAACCCTAGGGGCCCTGATGGGTCTCTCCGTGCTGATGTCTTATCACTGCACCGTACCCTGATGACTCCTCCGATCGCGGGATTCTGGACAGCCGCTGAATGCAAGTGAGCCGAACCAATCGCAAGCTTGGCGGGAGACGAGGTGGTTGGTTGTCACGGACTCGAGGATAGGACTTGATAGGACTGTCGATCGCGATAGCACATCACAGTTGCAGCACGGCTAGGGAATGGGTGGATGGGTGGGTGGACAGCCACAATGGCAGAGTGCCTGGCCCAATGTAGTTTGGCATCTTGTCAAGGATGGCTTGGTGCGTAGGTTGGCCTCACTCAAGATGCAGGATGATGGCAATTTATCGAGTTGTCGAGGATAGCGCCCCATCTATCTAAGGTGCCCTGCATGAATGCAGTTGGTTCGTCTCGGGAAGGGGGGTAAAAGAGGAGTCACCGGGTCCGTATCGGGGGGCCTGTGGATGGCTGGGCCATGGCGGCGCCTGTCGAAGCTGTCGCTTGGTTGTGTCGTCGACGTGAGGGAGGAGATATGGGAACGGCCAGATGTCTCAGCTTGCAAGGGCACGCAGGCCTAGGGGCAGGCAGACCGAAGGGCAGGCAGCTAGACACGGCAGGCAGCCTCAGCAGCAGCCTAGGTGGCTTTGGCAGCCTGAACCACACCCTGGGGAATGGTGCCATCCGCACACCTCAATGGATGGTGGATGGAAGGCGGGCAGGCGGGACAGAGGATGAGAGGCTAGGTACCTGTGGAGCTTCCTTCATTTCCCCACTTCCACTTGGCCACCCCCCAGTCACCATCCGTGGTACCTACCTACCGACCCAGGTAGGAGAGCAGGAGACGTACATGTACTGCGTGGAAGTTCCCTGTGGGGGAAACTCCAGCGCTTGTGATGACGGAAACTGCGCGCTGCACTGCGCACGAGGCGCCCAGCGGTCGGTCCCCCCCAGGGCCCAGGAAGGGTCAAGCCATCTTGCCTAGCACCTCATCCGCCGTCTCTCCATTGCCGCGATCAACACGACCCCCGTCTTTATCCTGACCTCTCGCTGTCTCCTCGTCCCTCCGTCTTCAAGGTGCCCATTGCTCTTCTTCTCGCCCTTTGTTCGACCAAACCTTTGATCATACTCTCATCTTCACCTGCCGGCGCCCTGTTGACCTCCGAAGCCAAAATCACCCCGCCCCCCCCCCCCATCGAGTCCACCCATATTTAATTACCTATACCTTATCTACTGCTACTTATCTTCCTCCGAGGCTTGACCTGGGCGTGACTCTCGGCTCCAGGCTAACGACTCCCTGAGCCCCAGCACCTGTACCTTACCTAAGGACCCTGTACACCGCTTGAATGCGTGTGACTCGATGACGGCACCCGCCTTTGGGCACATCACGAGGCTTCTGTCAACCCTTCAACAGATGACTTTCATCGAGCTCGCCCAGATCAAGCACTGAGAACCGATCCTTCCGACTCAACCTCCGTTACCTACTGCTGTCGCCACGACTCGCCCTTGTCATCGGCACCACCTGCAACCGACCCGTGCGCCTCCGTTATCCTTATCGTCCATCATCTGCACTCCTCCGCTTCTGGGTTACCACACCCGCCTCTCGCAACCCATCATCGGCTCCCTCGTCCTCCGCAACGAATCGATCGAATCGCAATCTCCAGTCTGCGTGTTCCATGGCTGCTCTCTGAACGCCCCCTTCAGCACCACAGACCGGCCGGACGACGTTCTCACGGGGAACATCATAAAGACACACCCCCGACCTAGCTTCGCAAACCGCACTCTTCAGCCATTGTGTGAGGATGGAAGAGCATGTTCCTAGGCATTCGGAGATTGATCTTGAGAATACCCCCCTGAATCCGGACCGAGCCTAACCCTGTACCCGCTCACCCCCTTGCGGGCCCGGTCACCGATATCTAGCCATGCACCAGCAGACAAGGCCGTCCCCTCGCCTCACCTCGCCCGCTTCCTCGCCTCAGACAAATCCTGCACGCACAAACAACCCGAGAGAACCAGCCATGGCCGCCCGTCCGAGGGCTGGCTCGGCAGCCTCTGGCCGCGGGTACGAGCCGCCCGCATCACCCGCCGTCGATACAGCCCCGGGGTTGGGACCGACTGCAGAGTCATTCAAGAAACTCGACCAAATCATACAGGTAGCTAGCTACCTCACATTGGCAGGAAACTGTGGCAAGGTACTGACGCTGCTAGAACTTCCACACCAAGGCAGCCTCGGTGATCACCGAGTCCCGCATGAATCTCAAGTCCGTCTCTGCGACCAAGGGCTCCGGCAGCAAGAAGATCAATAAATGGGTATGTACACCCAGCCCGCGCTCTTCCCCTCGATCACCGGGCTATGCGTTGACTGTGTGGCCTGCTCTAGTTCCAACTTGATACGGAAGACTTCGAAGACTTTAAGGAAGACCTTCGAATATGGAGGACCTGCAGCGCCCTCGACAACAGACCGCCCCCGCTGATCATCGAAACCTACCTCGACACATCGCGCTTGACGTCTAGCCAGAGTCTCGTCATCGTCGATGAAAATGGAAAGAGATGGGACGTCATGGAGGCTCTCAACTCGTCTGGTTCAAGCGACGACAACCCCAACCGCGTCATGCGCCGAAATACGGACGTCGTGCTGGAGCGATGGCGCATCGAGCTTAAGGTCAATTCCGCTACGGGCCTCGACGAATTCGGTCCCATTCTACCCACCATCTACAAGAAGATCATTGTCTTCTTCCGCTCCCTTTATGTCACGGCACGGGTTCTTCCTGCGTGGAAGACGTCTCAGCAGGCGCTGAACAAGAGTGTTCACCCTGCATTGGAGCCGAGATGTCGCATTCTGGCCGGAGACCCAAGCGCTCGCGGGATCGATCGCCTGAGGCACCCGTTACATGATGGCCATGGCGAAGTCGTGACTGATTATCTATTCGCCGACCTTGAAGTGCCAGTTGGCCGCCTCGTCGCATCGGTTACCTACCGCAACGAAAGTAGCTTTCGCATTGATGATGCAGAGTCTCTGCTCAGCTCGCGATTCATGGGCGTGGACGAGAATTTCTTCAAGCCCTCCATGCCGCAGCGCACGCATACCCGACGCGATGATGTCGAAATCGGCTCCCTGCCATCCCACTCGCGCGGCACGGGACTCTCTGAGCTGCGCCAAACCTACGGCAGCCTGTCCACGTTTCATGGCGAAGGAGCCTTGGGTACGAGCCCGATGTCTGCCTTGAAGGCAGTGAGGCCCCCGGGGTCCGACACGAGCTCGCCGCCGGGTTCCAGGCCCGCCAGCTTCCAGCCGAATCCGCCCAACTCGCTGCCTGTGCGACCGACTATGCGAGGGTTCACCGGAGGCGGTGTTAGGCGCCCGTCTGTATCTTTCCAGCCTTTCAAGGCCGGCTCCCTCTCTGGCTCACCAATTCCACGGACACTGGATTCTGAATCGCCAGCCTCACCAAGCTCAGCTTCTCGCCTGGCCGCTGCACTGTCACAACCGAGGAATCGGACGTCACTTACGGCCGGTATGCCTGCCTCGCTACGCGGCGGTCCCCCCTCCGGAGATACCCTGGTAGGCTCGCCGCGACCGGTGTCCACGAGTCGGTACAGCAGCAGCTTCACGCACACGCACCGAAAGGGGAGGCTTTCATTTGGCGGACAGAGCAAGGCTGGCGACGATGAACAGGGCAGCAGTGGACGAGGCAGCCTATCCTCGTCCGCAGCGCAACCTGGATCAGGCCTTCTCGCCGAGGTCGGCGGCAACGCTAGTTCAGGTTCCTTGCAGACGGACGACGACCAAATTTCCGACTTTCTCAAAGCCTTGGACAGTAAGAAGACGCTCAAGAGCTTTGAGCCAGCCAAGCGGGGGGAGTCGGCCACGAATAGGACCGTGGCCCAGCTGTCCAAGTTTCACGCCATGAGGGACTCGAACAATGCGCTGACGGATTCAATGACCTCGTCCCTTCAGATGCAGCGGTCCTCCAGTTCCTCAAGCCGGCAGCTTTCCAACGTGCCAAGCATGATGGCGCCGGCCTCTGTGTCCCTCTCCTCTTCGCCCGGCAAACCGCTTTCGCCTCACACTCCTCACACGCCTGCCGTGCCGTCGCGACTCAGCGAGAACTCGGTCATTCGATATGGCTCAAGCAGGAGTGCGCGAGCCAACGCGCCGCCGACGAGCGCAGCGGAGCTCGCCAGGGAGGACACGGTGACACAGGATGGAACGACAGCGATCGATATTCCCATCTCCCCCCGGCTCGGGACGCACCAGCGCAGATCCAGCTCTGTGGCGCAAAAGAACCGCGTCATGGCAGACGAGGACGATGGCGATGCTGCCTTTGGAGGCAACAGAAGCATCAGCCTGGGGGCTGAGGATCGAGAGCCTCCAACGCTGAGTATGCTGTTGGGCCGCCATGCTGAGACGGGTGAGTCGGCCACGGCGCACGATGCTTCGTCGCTGCAACCGGCAGCTCAGATCCGGTCTGTCGGGTCTGTCGAGATGCTGAACCAGGGCTCGTCTGATGGCTCCAAGCCGCCGGGCGGGCTCATCTCGGCGCCTTCGAGCTCGCCATTCGGCAGGCGGCGATACACCGGCATGGCTTCCATGTCGCCGGCGGGCCGCGGTCAGACGCCGCCGCAGTCGTCGCGGGGGAGCTTCACGGCGTCAACGACTGGCCGTTATGGGCGCGGCGAGACAGAGAACCAAGACGACGAGCCGCTCCTCTTCGACATGTCCGAGATGGACCCGCAAGGACGCCGCAGCCTGGAAGAGGCCCGAGGCGGCGGGCAGGCTGGTCTGGGCAGCCGTGCGGAGTATGAGCCGCGCGGAGTGTCCCGCAGAGGATGGTGAAAGCCGTTCGGCGAGGTGTCGTACCGTCCTCTCTTGCCCGCGTGGCTGTTGTTGTGCGTCGCTTCGCAGAGACTGTGCGAACCGCGCGTCTGGTGGCAGGGCCGATCCATTGCACCAAAATGTTTCCAGGATGAGGGACTGTCGCGGTCGGCGTCGGCAGGGAGTTTGATCTACGTGTATGCGCACTCACATAGCGGCGTGCCTCGGGGGTGTTTTTATTTTGCATGTCATTCCATATCTCATGGCGGGAGACAGACATTGAGGGTTTTTTTTTTCTTCTCTCATATTTATTTTATAGGTCGTCAGGAGACGGCGACTCGGCGTCGGGCGTGGTTTGACCTGGGAGTGTGGATTGTGGACAGCGAGGGGTAAAGGGCATGCACCGGACCAGGACGGGCCGTTCGTACGGGTCTGATACGCAGCAGCACATAGAAAGAATGCATGTACGATGACAACTGCGGGAAAGGGAGAGCCAGAGAGATCCCATTCGCTACGTTTCCTCTCCCTCCTCCTCCTCTTCCTCTTCCTGAAGCAAGGAGGACGGCGTGTTGGCAGTGGCGGGACCGCGTCAGGTGTGGCGGCAGCGGAGGCGGATGTGGCGGTGCTGTGACGAATGAACCAAGCCTCCTTCCTCCCCCCCGCCGACCCAGCGATGACGACGAAGGAAAGGACAGTCGGGTGCGCATGCGAGCTGGCGAGGTCCAGTTCCACCCCCAACCCGAGACCGAGCCAGCAGCGACCGCCTTCCTGGGAGGCTCAGCTGCCAGGCTGCGTCTGCCTGCCTTTTACCTACCTACCACAACCACGTCTCTTCTCCTACCTTTGCATTTTACCATAATCCCATCTTCTCTGCCTTCCCTCCTCTGCAGTGCAGCGACATACCTTGTTTGCATTTCGCAATAGGACCGTGTCAGCTTGGGAAAACAGCGAAACAGCAGCGAGGAGTTCCACAACGCCCAAGCTCGTGAGGTTGCTGCTTCCCAGCAGAGTCCATACGGCCCAGGCAGCGACCGTGGTCATTGTTCAGTCCACAACCCGCCAAGCCGCACTTCTCTTCTTCGCCCACCGTCCATCATGTTTCGAGCTGCCGCCGCTGGCCCCTACGATGAGGGCATCGGTATGTTTGTTTGTTCCCACGCGCTTCCGCGCCCGCCGTCTCGGTGTATCGGCTGCTGACCTGTTGCCCCGCCCACAGCCAAGGCGACCGACGAGAACCTCACGTCGGAGGACTGGGGCGCCATCATGGAGCTCTGTGATCGCGTGACGACCGACACGAATGGCCCCAAGGAGGCCGTCCAGAGCATGATCAAGCGGTTGGCGCACCGCAACGCCAATGTGCAGCTGTACACTCTCGAGGTAAATAGCCCATGGCCGCACAGCAGCCTCTTGGAACCTCGTGCTGATGAAGAGTAGCTCGCAAACGCCCTGAGTCAGAATTGTGGAAAGCCCATCCACCGCGAGCTCTCCAGCCGCGCCTTCACCGACGCCCTTCTCAAGCTGGCCAACGACCGCAACACCCATACCCAAGTCAAGGCCAAGATCCTCGAGCGCATGAAGGACTGGTCCGACATGTTCAGCAAGGACGCCGAGCTTGGCATCATGTACGATGCCTACTACCGCCTGAAGCAGACCAACCCGACACTCCAGCCTCCTTCCGCCCCCCAGAAGACGGGCCTCACCGACGTCGACCGCCGAAAGGAGGAGGAGGAGCTGCAGATGGCCCTGCAGCTGTCTCTGCAGGATGAAGAACGCAAGGGCAAGAGCCCCGAACCGGGCAGCAGCAACGCCGGGCCCTCCTCGTCGGGCGCTGGCGCCGGCACCCCTGGCGCAAGCCAGCCCCTACAGCAGCAGTCGACACCCGTTCCCGCCGGCACCACGGCGGCGACCGTCTCGAGAGTGCGCGCGCTCTTTGACTTTGTGCCGTCCGAGCCTGGTGAGCTGGAATTCAAGAAGGGCGATGTCATTGCGGTCCTCGAGTCCGTCTACAAGGATTGGTGGCGCGGGTCCCTCAAGGGCAAGACCGGCATCTTCCCTCTCAACTACGTCGAGAAGCTGACCGACCCGACACCGGACGAGCTCGCGCGGGAGGCACAGATGGAGGCTGAAGTGTTCGCTGAGATTAAGAATGTCGAGAAGCTGCTCACCCTGCTGAGCACGTCCAACACAGCGCCCAAGGAGGAGGACAATGAGGAAATCTCGGTAAGTCTGGCGAAGAGGAGGCCGCTCTTGATCGCGCCGCTGACCGGAACCAGAAACTCTACCACCAGACCCTCGCTATCCGGCCAAAATTGATCAAGCTCATTGAGAAGTACTCGCAGAAGAAGGGTATGTTCATCACAGAGCCTGTTCCGGTATCCTATGTGCTGACCCTTGCGTTTCAGACGACTTTACGCAGCTCAACGAAAAGTTCATCAAGGCGCGCCGCGATTACGAGGCTCTGCTAGAGTCCTCCATGTCTCACCCACCTCAGCCCAGCTACCACCAGTACGCGATGCGACCGGCACAGGGTGGCTACCCAGGAGGGCCACCGCAGGTTCCAGGAGGCCCTGGTGGCTACGCTCCCCAAGGTGTGCCTCAAGGGCCGCCCCAGGGCCATCCCCAGGGCCATCCTCAGGGTCTGCCCCAGCAGCAGGAGCAGAGATACTACACTCCTGCACCGCAAGGTGAATTGCCTTGATCTCTGCCATGCCGAGCCATGAGTTTTGACAGCATTGTACATAGACCAACCGCAATACCCTCCCCAGTCCAGTCCATCGCCCAACTTGCACCGTCCGAGCCAGCCTACCCCCGCGCCCTTCTACGTAGCAGGTTCCGAGGTCCCCTCGCACGGCGGCCATCCTGGATCGCAGCCCTCCTATCCTCACCGTGACCCGACGCCTCGTCTGCCCTCCAACGGAAGACCGCCCGAGCCCATCAACACTTCGCCTCCCCCGCCCCAGAATGCCTACAGCTCCTATACTCACCCCCCTGACCAACGCCAGAGCATCTACGGTGCCCAGGAACTCGCCACATCCGTCTATGATTCCCCAATTGCACCTCACAACCCCAACTCGACTGCAGCATATTCAACTTCGACCAACTACGCGCCCGATGACCAGTACAAACAGCACAATACCAGTCAAGGCGCCCCACAATCACCGCAGCACCAGCCCTCACAGCCTCAGTACCACAGCTACCAACCGCCTTCAGCACCACCCGGTCAAGATCACTACGGAAGCGCTCCCTCTCAGGCGCCACCGCCCATCCCCACAGGCGCCCCTCCATCCGCGCCCGCTCCGCTACAGCCGGCCGGCTCGGCATACGACGCCAGGCAGGGCCTACCGAGCCAGACGGGCACCTCGCCGCAGCCCCAATACAAGGCGTATGTGCCGCCTGGAGGACCGCCGCCCAATGAGGGGCCTAGCGCGCCGCCAAGTGATTACTACCGCCAGCCTGGCGTGTACTAGGAGTGACGTCTTGAGTGCGCTCGCATAGCCAGGCTTGTTCATGTGGTATTTGGCGTTGCATTCGTCCTTTGCGGCATGGCAAGGTGCCGTCACCGCTGTGGGGCCAGGGTCGAGCGATGTGGACCATGTGGGCGAGCAGTATCGTGGCCTGCGTATACGAGGGACGATGATTGTCTGTACCATAGTCCTTGATGTTTTGACGTTGCTTTTTCTTATTCTTGGACTCATGATCTTGGGGGGCTTTTTTGACATTTTTGGAAAGATCCGCAGACCCAGACGGGCTGCTGCAACCTTTTGGTAGTTGAAGTAATCATTTGACAACAATCATGACGAAACGGCTGCGGTTTCCCATGACATGTGATGAATGTAGCCGGAGTTTGGCTGAATACGGGTTTCCTCCAAGGTACGATACTGGGGCATTTTGTTCCTTTAGTCGTTTTGCCGCGGGCTGGATAAGCAATCAACATAGTTTTGCTCAAAGAGGACATGGACTTCTCAATGTCGTTTCCTCAACCTATCCGTCATCTCAGCAAGTAGCCTGTTGTTCCGGAACGCCGACGTTTTCCATCTTGCAATGATACGGATGTACCCTGGACGCCAGATGGTCATTTCGGTCGCAGTCACAACGCAGAACGGAGATGGGGAGCCTGGTGTATCAAAAAACCGCCGACCTACGCGGCGCATCGACCCATCGTCGTGTATTCAGAACAATGTTCAGTGCCAACGCCTAGACGCCTCGTGTCATATCCCTGTAATTCCTCATTCCCGACATCGTTTGCGCAATGTTCCATGTACTTCATCCTCGTTGCCATCATGGTCTCAGCCCCCCCCCCCCCCCCAAAAGCGATACGACAACAAAACAACGCGACAAAATCTCCTACCACCGCCGTCCGTAGACCTCGTGCTCCGGCGTCGCCCTCTGCTTCCTGGCCGCCGCGAGGGTCCTCCGGCCCTCGGACTCGGGCTCGACGCTCTCGCGGCGGCTGCTCGCGACGGAGACGTCGTGCGCGGCGGCGGCGGCGGCGTCGGCGGCGTGGTTGTCCCTGCGGAACAGGTCGAGCATCTCGCGGAGGCCAAACTTCATGACGTCCTTCTTCATGCCGCCCTCGATGGCCGTCTGGGCGAGCAGGCGCTTCTTCTCCTGCAGCGCGAGGATGCGGTCCTCGACCGTCGCCTCGACGATGAGGCGGTAGACGACGACGTCGATGGTCTGTGTCAGGCGGTGGACGCGGTCAATGGCCTGCTCCTCGACAAACTGCCACTCTGTTAGCAACTCGCCCGCCATGTTCTGTCTGCTGCAAAGGGAGGGGGCACGCACCGGGTTCCAGAACGGCTCGACAATGATGACGCGCGTCGCGGCCGTGAGGTTCAGGCCCAGACTGCCACACTTGAGACTGCACAGCAGGATGCGCGTCTTCTTGTCGTTCCTGAGCCGGTCGAGGCTCGCCTCGCGCTCGTCGTTCTTCATGCCGCCGTCGTAGCGCGTAAACTTGAGCCCGTCCTTGCGGAAGAAGGGCTCGATGAGGTCCATCATGGACGTGAACTGCGAGAAGATGATAAACTTGTGTTCGTGCACCTCCTTGTGCAGGATCTGCATCATTTGTCGAATCTTGGCCGAGGCGAGAATCTGGGTCGCCTGGCCGCCGGGCCGGTCGCGCGCGTCGTCGTCTGACTGCAGTTCGGATTCGTCAATGCCTGTGTCTTCGTCCGAAGACGTCTGCGAGTCGGCGTCGTCCGAGCTGGATGCTGCCGATTGTGATGTTCGCTCCTCCTTCTCGGCGCGGACCTGGGAGGCAATTTCTGCCACGGACGCAAAGCTGTCGTCTGATTCAGAGTCAGAACCTGCCTCGGCCTTGACCGCTCGCTTTTCGTCGTCGACGATGAAGCTGTCCAGCTGCGTGCTCTCGTCTGCCCGGGACGACTCGTGCAACGAGTCTTCGGTGCCCAGCCACTCGCCGCCGCCCTCGCAATTCTCATCCTTCTTGCCGCCAGCTTTGCCGAGTCGCAGTTGGCCTCGCTGATCCTCAGGGACGAGCCAGCTGCCCTCTTCTTCTCCTTCTTCTTCATCATCATCATCGCTGTCGATCACAGTGCGACGGTTCCTTGGCCTTCGCGATTTCGTCTTGACCGGTGACGCAATCTTGACCGTCTCGACATTCTTCTTGACCTTGCCCTTTCTGCTCTTGGGCTTCTTGTCCTTGGCCGTCTCGTTCTCGTTAAAGTAGGCCAGATCGTCGAGACACTCCTGGCACGTGTCCTGGTCCGTCTTGTGCGCGTCACGCGGGAGGTCGCGGCCGCAAATGCCGCACGTCTTGGCCACGATGCCCATGCCGCCGAACATGTCGGCGAGCGAGTCCACGTCGGCGCCCGTGTTGTTCTTCTGCGAGGCGTCCCCCGACGACAGAGCGTCCTTGTCCTTGTCGAGCTTGCCCGCCACCAGCTTGGGGTGGTTGCAGGCCTGGCGCAGGCGGAGCAGCAGCACCAAGGCGTTGGCATAGTTCATGTTGCCCTGCATGCGCTCGAGGCTCTCGTCGGTGCGGGCCTCGAGCCGGTCGTAGAAGCGGCGCTCGGCGGGCGAGAGCTTGCTGGCGACCGTGACGACCTTGCGCTCGGTGACCTTGAAGCCCGTGCTCGACTCCTCGCCCTCCTTGGTGGGCTGGCCGCCGGGGTTCAGGGCACCGTCGACCTTGAGGATGTCTTTTGTGCGTCGCTTCATGAAGCACCGGAGCAGGCTGTGCAGTCTGCGGATGGCGATGTGCCCCTTGCCGTTCTTCAGCGGCTTTTCGATCTGGTCCTTCCACTCGGCGAGGTCGTCGTAGGGCCGGATGCGCAGGAATTTGATGAGGGACTGCAGCTCCTCCAGGTTGTTCTGCATCGGCGTGCCCGACAGACACCACCTGTACTCGGCGCGAAGCGCATAGCAGGCCTTTGTGGATTTGGCATTGCGGTTCTTGATGGTGTGGGCCTCGTCGAGGACGACACGCCACCAGTGCAGCCCGAAGCAGCCGGCCTTGACGCCGGTCTCGGCATCAGACGAGTGGCCGTGCTCGGAGACGAGGATCTGGTAGGTGGTGACGACGACGTCGTACATGGCGAGGTCCTGGAAGCGCTTGGTCCGCTGCGGGCCGTGGTGCACGCACACCTTGAGACCGTGGGACCGCTCGACCTTGTCCTTGATCTCGGCCTCCCACTGGCGGATCAAGGCCAGGGGCGCGACGACGAGCGTCGTCCTCTCGACGCCTTCCAAGTGCTTCTTCCAGCCCTTCTCCTTGTCGTCTTTGGGCGGCTTCTGGTTGCTCAGGATGAGGGCGATGGTCTGCAGCGTCTTGCCGAGGCCCATGTCGTCGGCGAGGATGCCGCCCTTGGGCACGCGTCCCTTCTTGACGGGACCGAGCTCGCGGCCCTTCATCCACTCGACGCCCTCGACCTGGTGGGGCAGCAGCTTGACCCGGAGACCCTCGAGGGCGCCGTCCTTGCCGTCTTTGCTGTCCTTGCCGTCCTTGCTGTCCTTGCCGTCCTTGTCGTCTCCTGGCTTGTTCTGCTTCTTCTCTTCTGGGCCCCCGTCCTCGTCCTCGTCCTCGTCCATGCCGCCTTCCAGCAGCGCCTTGAGGTCCGACGTGGCCTTGGTGGGGTCGGTGTAGAAGTCGGGCTCGCCAAAGCTCCCGCCGCCGGGCCCCTTGTACGTGGCGGGGTGGGCGTCGGGCCCGATGGAGCGGAAGAGGTTGAGGGGTTCCGGTTTGCGGTCCTGGTAGATGGGCACCGAGGGGACGTTGATCCTGTGCTTGTCCTCCCTGTGGTGTTCGGGGCGGGCCCTGCGCTCGTTGAAGATGCCGTGGGCCTTTTGCTTGAGGGACGACATCATCTTGGTGGGGTGGCCAAAGGTGTGGCCGCGGCCCTGCGCCGAGGGCGCGCCGAAGGGGTCGCGGCGGTCGGAGAAGAAGGCGCTCAGGGCGTCGTCGCTGTCGGCGGGCTTGTCGCGCGGCGCCCTGGCTGGCGGAGGCGGCGCCCTGACGGGCGGCGGGCCTGTCTTTTCCGCCCTCTTGGCGGCCGAGTTGGCGGCTGGCGAGGGCTGCTGCTGCGGGGCGGTTGGGGAGGCGCCGTGTGTGACGCGCAGGGCGTCGAAGCGGGCGGTCAAGGCATCGGGGTCAAAGTCTGACGAGGCGGGCCTGTCGGGGCGGCTGGCGCTGGGCTGGGCCTCTCGGCTGTGATGGAGCGGGCGTGCTGGGCCCTTGGGGGGCGCTCGCTCGTTGACCATGATGATGGGACAGACGGTAATGTGATGGCGGGGTGATTGTGCGCTGGACCCTGGCTGGCAAGGGGAGTTGGAAAAGTCGGGCTCGGCCTCGGAGGCAATGGTGTTTCGGGGTTGGAAAGCAAAGCCGGCACCTGGTTTTCTGAGGGGGAAAGGGGGGTCAGCCTTGTGCCTTGTGCCTTGTGCCTGCCTTGTAGACGATGGGCATGCTGGTGGTTGACGATGCAGGGACGGAGGGGTCCATGGTGTGTTTGTGGGGCATTCGTTACGTACTTCATCCAAGCAAGCAAGACCAGCAGTTGCTTCAGCTGCCGCAAGGCGTTGTTGTTTGGGTATAGGAAGGCGCAAGATCCAGCTGCTTGCTGTTCATGAATCTTGTCGCGTCGGTCAACGCGTAGTGGAATAGAATGGTGGCGGTTGGTGGGATCCGTGAAGTTGGCCGCTCATGACATAATTTTGCCCCAGCAACGGCCACGAGCAACAACAGCCAACAACAGCCCCTCCAACGCCCAAGACCCTTGGCTACGTACCGTAGCTTCAACCCAGCATCTACGGTACTCCTCTACCATGCTTTTACGGCACACTGCAACAACCATCATCCGAGTGCTCCCTTCCCTTTCACAGCAAAACTTATCACCAACAGCAAGCACGCCCAGAATTGATCAGCCTTGTATGCAGAAAGTGAATTTCCCACCCTCCATATCCGTGTCCATCAATATGCGACGCCTACCCAATAAATCAAAGCTGTCAATAACTAGCCCTCCATGGGCGTAAATGTCGACCACGCCCCATCCCAGGACATAGTCCCCTGACGCCCAAAGCAGGTCCGCCGCCGTGAAGAACCCATCTCCAGCACGTATAAAACCCATAACGCCTACGTCCGAGGCAAATTCCAGAACCCACTCCCTCACCATTCCGACCGCAGTCTCTTCAACGGCGAGTGAGCGACACCATCAGCATCCACAGGACGCTTGTCGCCGACCTGGGGATGGTCCCGGGGCGAGTGGACGTGACCAGCAGCGTCCACAGGACGCTTGTCGCCGACCCGGGGGTGACGCCGAGGCGAATGGTCGCCATGGGCACCTCCACCATCGTCTTCATCGTCGCCCTCCATCGAATCAACCCCTGTAGAGTCAGTTCGGCATGGAGAATCATCAGTACGCCGACCTGACGTGTCATCAGGGCTGCTCTCGTCCGCGTCCTCATCCGCGTCCTCGTCGTCACTGCCTGCCGTGAGATCGACCACGGCGCCGAGGTCCAGTTGCGACCGCACCTCGTGACTAGTCACCCGCCCACCTCCAATCTGCTCCGCGACGCGAGCGTGAAAGTCGCTGGCCGTCGTCTCCTGCGTCTGCGCCCGCATGAGGCGCGCGCGTCGCTGCATGCCTGAGCCCGGCACGAACAGCGAGCCCGACGATGCCCCAGACACGGTGGAAGCGGTCACCGAGGAGGACCGCCGTGAAACAGCTGCGCCAGGCGGAGGGCGCATCGCCAGTGCCGCGGCATGGTGCATCGTCGAGGGCGGGCCGAGACTGACGCTGCGATGGTTGTTCTCGGCCTCATCGTCGTCCAGACGGATGGGGTTGGCCGCATCCGACCCGGCGTACAATGTAGCAATCGAAGCCGTATCCAAGCCGCCATCCGACTCATCGTCAGCGCTGCCTGCACTCTCGTTTTCATCGTGGGCTGCACTGTCGATGCCGACATGGCCTACGCGGGGTCCCGCCTCAGGGACGCCACCGCTGCGCTTGCCAAATGTCTGGCTCGCCTTTGGCCGCGGTGCAGCCTGCCTGTCGCCGCCGTCCGGTCCATCGTCGCCCGAGTCACTCCCAGAGTCGGAGCTGTCGGAGCTGTCGGAGCTGTCATCGCGTCCTGGACTGTCGTCGCCATCGGCATCCGAATCGTCATCGTCAATGTCCTGCTCGAGCTGCTGCATGGCGTCCACGAGGCACTGGCTGCCAGAATCGAACGGCATGGATTCGTCGTACCACTGCTGGACGACCTGAAAGAGGACGTCCGACACGGCGCCCCGGGGCACGGCCGACATGTCATCGAGACGCCGCAGCTGCGCGTTGAGCTTATCCGTAGGACTCTTGGGCATCCGCACGCTGTTCTCGACATCCATGTAGAACCCCTAGTCCCTGATGGGATGTCGACCGCCCATGGTGCGGTACTTTTCAATGTCGTAGAAAAGAATGTGCCGGATCCCGCGCAGCCCGTAAATGTAGTCTTGCCCCTGGAGGGTGCGCAGAGCGCGGAAGTTGCCATGGTTGGGCTGAAGCTTGGTCTTGCCGGCGAGCCACGTGCGGACTGCGGGCAGCTCGTGGGGGCGACGTCTGCGTCCCCGGCTTGATTCGTCAATGTGAATCACAACCGTCTTGAGGCGACGCATCTTCAGCAGCTCCGAGGTATCGTAGGTCCGCCGCGACGTCCACTGTCCTCTGCTGGTGGGCGTGAACGTGAGCGTCTGGTTGCCCTGCCAAAGGATCTCGATGTGTTGGATGCGCTGTGCTCGCGCGCTTCCGATGCCTCTGCAAAAGCGTCCAAACTCCCCAAGGCTGGAAAAGGCAAACGTGTTGAGTCCGTAAAAGGCGTGGACGCCCAGGAAGTGCACCGACTTGGAGACCAGCAGGATGGAGAGCATGTCGTTTGGCTTCGTAGCGTACTCGATACTGCACGTTCCACTGCGTCCAGTCCAGAACCGCTTGGGCAGGTTGCTCGAGCCCCGTCCTACGGTGTGAGGAAGGGGAGCCCGAGGTTCACAATGGGGGTCCAGTCGTGAAATGCAATGAACGAGGCGACCTGGATATTCCAGCACCAGCCTGACAATTTTGGCCTGAACCTCCGGCGGCATGGAATCGAAGGAGCGACGAGGACGTTCCTTTTGATTGTCTTTTGTTTCGACAACAAAGAGCTCTTCGTCCACTGTATCAGTCGCGTGCGTGGCTTGCGTGACAACTTCGCCGACCCCGTTACGAGCCGCACGATGGTCAACAGGATTGTCGCCCATCTCGTTGTTCTCTCCAGGAGCATCGCCATCCGGATTGAGCAATTGTGCTGCCAGCTCTTCATCGTCCGGTTCCCGCAGCTTCAGGTTCGGGTGCAGCAGGCTGCTTTTGGTGCTCATATTCTCCTCTTCGCACATGCGCCTGTAGATCACATGGTACTCCTCAGCCATCGGATCGCCAGCCAAGAACGCGCGCAACATGGCGGGCCAAGTCTACACAAGGAACATGGTCAGTCCGATCACACGATGCTTGGCTGAAGCTGTCAAGGAGTCTTACCCTCTGGGTACGCTGCCTAGGATGTCGCGACCGGTTCAATTGATTCCTCAACTGGTTATTGTTGGCCTGAAGGGTCTCGATCATCGCGTCAAGGCCCCTGATTCTCTCGCTTAACTGTTCTTTATCGTTGATGAGACCATCTTTCTCATCCCGAAGTCCGATCACCCCTGCTCTGAGTTGTTTTATTCGTTCGCGGAGGGCTCGAACGTGGTCCGGCTCATCATCATCGCTCATGTCGTCGTCGTCGTCCTCCTCCTCATCGTCGCTGATTTCCACGATGCCATCATCGGTGACGTTCGAATCGATTGGGTCGTCATCTGCGTGAGTTCCAGCGGCCACCGCATCCGCTATGCTGCCCGGCTGAGCTCGCTCCAGTGCCTCGGGTCCCGGCTCAGCTTCTTCGGCTGGTAGATCATCGTTGCCGCCGGGACCTTGATTATCAGCAGCAGAGAGCAAGTCGTTCATCTCCTCCCCAGTGGGGTCACGACCTGCGTCAGACATGGTGAAAGGGACCGAGCTGGCCGCCACTAAATGTCAAATATGTGCAATATATGGTAAAGTGTGAAAGAGTCCGAATCAGACCATTTGTGTAAAGAGGAGTGAGAAGGATTTATGAGGTTGGGGTCGCTGAGCGTGTAAGAAGAAGTGATAGATGTTGGGAAATGTTTGATATCGGAATAGTCGAGAACGCAAGGAAAGGGTGTGGCCAAGATGTTGGATTGGGACGGGCAGATAGGGGTGAGCAGGGAAGGAAGTTTTTATGAGGATCAGTAGATGTGATAGGAAAAGAAAGGCAACCAGGGGAGATTCCAGTGAAAAGGAATAACCCGGAGTGAGTTGCTGCTAGGTCGAGAAGATATGGCAGACAGATGATTGCGTCCGACTTCACAGGGCAAGGCCACAACTCATGGCTTGAGTTTGTGAAGTGGTGCTCCTGCCCCAGCAGATTTGAGAAGGCAAGAGATAAACACCGAGACAGAACTCGCAGATTGAGTTGGGCTGAATATGAGGCGAAGATGAGCAGGAAGACCTTGCACCGCGTTGACTGCGATGAGTCGGGTAGGAAAAGGTGAGCTCAGAGGTTGACACCAGGTAGAGAGCATGGAGGCATGTGTAAAGGAAGGTGCTGCTCTCAGCTCGCAGGGGCCGCTGCAGTTCAAGTCGAGGAAGTGAGATAGATAGGAGAAGCAGCGTAGATACCTAGGTAAGATGAGGTTGGGTAGAAGAAATAAGTAGAGTAAGAAGATGTCAAGTAGATAGGAGAAATGATGTCCGGAGGCGTGACAAGGCGGGGAGAGGTCAAGTGGGAAGGATGGGGTGGGAAGGCGTAGAATAGGAAGAAGTGAGTTCGGAGGGATGGGATGGGAAGGCGTAAAATAGGAAGACGTGAGGTTGGAAGACGTGAGGTTGGAAGACTGAGGTTGGAAGACTGAGGTTGGAAGACTGAGGTCGGAAGGCGTACGATGGAAGAGGTCAGGTAATAAGAGGTAAACTAGAAGAGTGAGGTTGGAAGGATGGGGTCGGAAGACGTAAAGTAGAAGAGGTAAGGTAGGAATAGGTCAATAGGAGAGGTGAGGAAGGGAGGTAAACTGAGGGTATAGTGCAGAAGAGGTAAAGTCAGGAAGGAATCAATCAAGTAGAAAGTGGCAGAGGAAGAAGCGAGGTGAAACAGGCACGTAGGAAGAGTCGGTCGGAGACGCAGCGTGGGAAGGTTGGAAAACCTGTGGCAGGATTCCACACCGGACTGAAGCACTGCGCCCAAGATAGGCAGAACAACGTGATCGTGTTGTTGACGTGAGGGAAGCCCTGCCAGGGTCAGCAAGGCAGAGGTAGATCTACTCGGAACGCGCAAGGTCTCTTGACCTTCTCACCCACGCTGTTCGCCCCCAAGAAAGTTGCCTGCTTGGGAAGGCAGATCGCTTGGGAAGGCAGATCGCCTAGGAGGGCAGATCGAGTCTGGAGGTTGCAGAACAGCAACTCGGGACAATGGTGGTATTCAGCAGCTAAAACGTAATCTTGGTGCCCTGGAACGCCGCGCCCTGCAGCGCCTCCTTCTCCTTCTTCCGCGCCTGCCAGCTCGGGTGCAGCTCGCCCTGGTCATCCTTGCTCAGCAACTTCAGCCTCCTCCTCTCCTTGCGGTTCATCACGGGCTTCGCCGCGCGGCCGCCCTTGCCGCCCTCCTTCTCCTTGCCGCCCTCCTTCATCCACGGTTTCCGCCCCTTGCCCTCGGCGCCGTCGACAGCACCCCTCTTCATGTCCCACCCGTCGTCGCGGCCGCCCTGCTGCTGCTTCTTCTTCTTCTCGTTCCGCATGTGGTTCGCCATCTCGCCGTGTTTGCGCTCGGCAATGGCCTGCCGCTGCCGCTGTCCGAGGCGCTTCTTGGGCGGCGCGACGTCGACGTCCGAGGCCGACTCGGAGCCGGAAAAGTAGCCGCCCATGAGAGACGGCAGGAAGGTGGTGGCGCCGGCCTTGACGGGCTTTGGCTCTTTCGGCTGGCGCGCGGGCGCCGGCGGTGGAGGGGAGGCGTTGACCTCGAGCATCCTGCGGCGCTCGCTGTTCATGCCCTGCTGGTCGTCTTGCTCCTCCTCCTCCGAATCGGCTTCCTCCGCCTCGTCCTCGTCTTCGTTTTCGTCTTCGTCCATCGCCGCGAGGTCATCCGGGTCGTCGACGTCGTCGCTCTCGTCGTCGGCGTCTTCCGTGTCTGGCTGCTGTCCCAGCAGAGCGCTGTACTTGGCGCGCACCGCCTCGACGTCCTCCTCTTCGTCGTCCGAGCTGCCCAGCATGTCCGCCATCCTGGACAGGGCCGCCTCTTCGTCGTCCTCGCCACTGTCGCCGGCGTCCCGGCCGTCGTCGTCCTTATCGCTGAAGCCGTTGAAGCTGTCGCTGGCCGAGGCCGCCTCGTCGGCGGGTTCATCGGCCACGCGCCTCTTCTTCGCTGGCGGGTCGGGGGCCGTTGCCGTACCAGCAGTGCTCTTCGTCGTCGTCGTCTGCGTCTCGTCTTCCGATTTCGCGTTCAGCTCCTTGTTCTTGTCGCCCTTCTTCCCCCGGGCCCTCTTCTCGGGTATCGGCACGTCGAGCGTCATGCAGATGATCCGGATCGCCTTGTCGGCCACCTCGCGCACGGCCGGCCGGCTGTACAGCCCGCTCGTCACATTGTGCAGCGCAAGCCTGTCCTGCTCCGACAGCTCCTTCTTCGGGGGTCCCTCCTTGTAGTCGTCGGGCAGGGCGGGGTGTTCGGCAACGGCCTTGATCTTGGTCAGGGAGGAGGCGAGGTGGGCGTGGGCGGTTTGCTGGAGGTCAATCGTCTGTGGCGCATTAGTCGAGCCCCCTAAAAAAAGGGAGAAACATGCTGCCCTCACGAACCTTGAGCGCTGTGACCTCGCGATTGAGCCTCTCGACCTTGTCGGGGGACGACTTTGCTTCGTGGATGCGCTTGCTCAGACGCTGGCGCTCGAGGCCCTTGGCCGCCTTGAGGGCGCGGAAAAGTTCCTGCTTGAGCTCGGTGAGCTTCTCGTCGAGCTCCTCGTCGACGGAGCGCTTTCGTTTCGGCATTGGTTGTGCGGCTGTTGTTCGTCGTGGATGGAATTCCGAGTTGAAGATGGCAAATCGTGAACGTGGGGAGGTAGAGTCTCGAAAAAAATTGTGGTTCGAGGTCACGTCGCGGAACCATCCCGCTGAAGGACCAGGAGAATAACGATTTATTCGTGCGTTGATTGGACAATCTGTTTCGCTCGTCTTTTATCGAGCTGTGATTGGTGCATAATGGATGGCCAACGGGATGTGACGTCGCCTGGGCGCGCTCTGTACGAATAGAGGGGTCGAACCCCGCCACGGACTCCACGTGGGGAACAAGCGACGAGCAGACAGGAGGATCGTGTAAGTCATGACACTGTTTGACTGTACTTGACGTCTTACTTCACCGCGTTGCTTCGTGCCCTATCTTGATTCGCGTGCCTTCTATTCGCCTGAGAAACGTGGAGAAAAGTAAAAAGTAAAAATGGCCGACGCCGCCTCCCAGACGCCCGTGGGCCACAGCCCCTCCATCCAAGCAGGCACCCTGTTCTCCGTCCCCGGTCTCGTCGCCGTCGTCACAGGCGGCGGCTCAGGTTTGCACCCCCTCTTCTCACCTCGGACGCACAAAAGAAGACTGAAACGGACCGCCCCCAGGCATCGGCCGCATGCTGACGACGGCCCTCGCCACCAACGGCGCCGCCAAGGTGTACATCCTCGGCCGCCGCGAGGCCGTGCTCCGCGAAGCCGCCGCCGCCATCGGCCCCAACGTGCACCCCCTCGTCTGCGACGTCAGCGTCGCGTCCAGCCTCGCGGCGGCGGCGGCGACCGTCGAGCGCGAGACGGGCCACGTCGACCTCGTCCTCTGCAACGCCGGCGTCGGCGGGCCCCAGGTCAAGGCGCCGACCGAGGGCATGACGGCCGCCGCGTGGGCGGCGCAGCACCTCGACCACGCGCAAGAGGCCTACACGCGCACCTTTGACGTCAACGTCTCGGCCGTGTGGTACACGACCATGGCCTTCCTGGCGCTGCTGGACGCCGGGAACAAGAGGGAGGGCGGCGTGCCGCAGTCGTCCCAGGTCATCGTCACGAGCTCCATCGGCGCCTTCAACAAGACGGCCCCCGGCGGCTGGGCCTACGGCCAGTCCAAGGCCGCCGCGACGCTGCTGTCGAAGCACCTCGCTGGCGTGCTGCCGCGGTGGGACATCCGCGCCAACTGCATCGCGCCGGGGCGTAAGTTGCTTGTCCCTCGTCTCCTCGTTTTGCTTCGCCGGTCCAGGCGCCGATGCCATGGTTGCTCACGTCGAGACAGTGTTCCCCAGCGAAATGGCCGCGCCCATCGTCAAGCTGTACACCGGCGACGGCCAAGACATCCCCAAGGCCATGATCCCCATGCAGCGCATGGGCGACGAGCAGGACATGGCCGGTGTGCTGCTGTTCCTGGCATCCCGCGCCGGCGCGTACTGCAACGGTGCCGTGATCAAGGTCGACGGCGGCCGGCTCGAAAACTTCCCATCCACATGGTGCGCGTAGGTCGTTCGAGAAAAAAAAAAAAGGTAAGCATGGCACGGCGGACTAAGAAAACGAGCAGGGGGGGCCGCACAGCAGCAACAAAGGGAGTGGCATGAACTGGAAGAAAAACAAGAATTCCATAGATTTCGAAGAAGAAAAAGAGTGCCCTAGTGCGAACGGTCCTTGGTGGCCCCTCGCGCCATCTCCATAAACTCGTCCTTGGACACCCACCCCTTGCCGCTGATGTCGAGCGTGTCAATCATCTTCCGCAGATCCTGGTCCGTCATCATATTGTTGACCTCGGCGCAGACCGTCCTCAGCGACTCGACCGTGATGCGACCCGTGTCGCGCGGGTCGAACAGCCGCCACGCGGCCTCGGCCTCCTCGTCCGGGTCCCTCCTCGTGATGAGCCAGGCGGCGATGGCTTCAAAGGTGTCTCGCGTGATGCGAAGCCGCACGGGCGGACAGGCGTTGCTGCTGCCGCCGCCAGAGGCAGAGGCGTGGGGGTCGAAATCCTGGGGCGGCGAGCCGTGGGCGCAGAGAAGCGTGTACGTCTCGGAGCGCGGCAGCTGGAGGCCGAGGGCGTTGAGGGCGATGGGCCACTCGCGGGCGGAGAGGGAGCCTGTGTCTTGCGTGTCGATGAGGTTGAACGACTCGTTGATGTTGGCGCGCCAGTCTTGGTCGAGGCGCTGGAAGTCCTGGCGGCCCTGGTGGATGTCGAAATTCACCGCGGAGGGAGGCATGGTGACGAAGTGTGTGGGGTAGACAAGGCCAAAGGCTGCTGCCTCTAGCTAGAGGAGTCCGGCGAGAGGCTCGACGCGGAGCCGGAATCGAGATGAGAGTTGAGCTGGAGGCATGTCAGTGGCTTGTCATGGGGAGGGCTCGGCCGTGCTCAATATCATGTGAAAAACGACATGTCTGAGAAGTAGAGGGGGAGGCAGGAAGGTAGGCGATGAAGAATGAAGGAATAGGATAAAGATGTGAACAGCTTCATGAGGATTTAGGGTTTCTCATTCGCAAGGGACGTGGTATGTATCGACAAGTCCGAGCAAGGGCTCACGTCCAGCGCTGTGCAATCCAGTCCAGCCTCAGACTACAACCCCGCCTCCAAGATAGGACAATGTAGGGAGAAGAAGGCAGTGCATACTCACAGCACCTTCGATGGAGAGACTATTCAGATGAAGAAGCGCAGTCATGCAACGTCGTAGCTAGGCGGTGTCGCCCGTCGTCAAATTGTGGGGTTCGCGCCAGAAGACGACTGCAAGCATGCGTGGAAGCAACGGAATCGATGTTGTGCAATGCAATGGGCGTCGTGGCTATCGTGAGCGAAAAAGAAAAACAGACCGTCATGCCGTTGTGGGATTGAAGGGTCTAGAGTGCTTGCGATGCTGTCCAGAGGTTCCTCTTCCTGTTCCTGGCATGAGAGCGCGTCGATGGTTGACAGTTTGATCGCGACGCGACAGCCAATCAAGAGGGTGGGACAGGACGAGGGTGGGGTCCCTTCCATTTCGAGCTTCGAGCTGTCACTTTCGTCAGTTCGTCAGAGCTTCAAGCCGCATCCTCCTCCTCCTCATCAAATAAGTCCTCCTCATCAAATCAGTAATGCCATTTCATCTTTCTTCGCTTATTGTCACAAGTGTACTCTTCATCTATCCTGCCAGATCCACTACGATCCTCACACCAGCCACACATGATCACAAACCATGAGACCAACACTGCCACGGCTCTTGCAGCCTTCTATTCGCCTCCTCGGCCATGAGAACCCCTTGGTGAGACCCCTACTCGCGTGCCCCCCTCCAACAGAGCTGACGACCCCTCCCTCAGGGCCTCCCCCGCAGCGGCACGCCGCCTCACTGGCCCAAACGCCCCGAGCGCCGTCCGATCCGCAACGTTGCCAAAGTCATCGCCGTGTCCTCGGCCAAGGGCGGCGTCGGCAAGTCGACGGTGGCCGCGAACCTCTCGCTCGCCTTTGCCCGCCTCGGCTACCGGGCGGGGATCCTCGACGTCGACATCTTCGGGCCCTCGGTGCCCACCCTCTTCAACCTGTCGGGCGAGCCGCGCCTCTCGGCCCACAACCAGCTCGTGCCGCTGACCAACTACGGCGTCAAGACCATGTCCATGGGCTACCTCGTCGACGAGGCCGCGCCCGTCGTGTGGCGCGGCCCCATGGTCATGAAGTCGGTCCAGCAGCTCCTGCACGACGTCGACTGGGCCGGCCTCGACGTCCTCGTCCTCGACCTGCCGCCCGGCACCGGCGACACGCAGCTCACCATCACCCAGCAGGTCCTGCTCGACGGCGCCCTCATCGTCACGACGCCCCACGCCCTCGCCGTCAAGGACGCCGTCAAGGGCGTCAACATGTTCAAAAAGGTCGGCGTCGACATCCTCGGCCTCGTCCAGAACATGTCCCTCTTTACCTGTCCGCACTGCGCCGGCCACACCAACGTCTTCGGCACCAACGAGCGCGTCGAGACCATGTGCCGCGAGCACGCCATCGAGTTCCTCGCCGACGTGCCGCTGCATCCTGCCATTGGCGACGACGCCGACAGGGGCAAGCCGACGGTCGTGGCCGAGCCCACGAGCGAGCGCGCCCGTGTTTTCGTGAAAATGGCCGAGGATGTTGCTGCCAAGCTCAACATGTCGAGGTGACACACCTAGGGCCAAGTCTGTATCATTCCATGTATCACCATGTATCACCATGCATCACCATGTATCAACTGCGAAAAGGACGGACAAGTGTATAGACAGAGTGTAATGAATCATGGTATCCCCTTATTCGAACGACCTACAGGACAGCGCTTCCGTCTGCCGTCTGCCGTCTGCCGTATCCCGCATGCCTGCAAATCTACGCAGGCGGCTCCCTTGAGCCATGCCTGACCTGGCCGCACAGCACGCATAAATTAGCCTCCGCATAGAATGAGAGAGGCGATTTACCGGTAAGGAATGCAACCATCAGGCTCTCTGAACGCCGCCGTTGGAAAAAAAAAGGAAAAGCAAAAAAGGAAGCAAAAAAAAAAAGCCAGACGCCATGGAATATGCAATCGTTCTGACCCCCCCCCTTGCGCAAAGGGCCGCTATTCAACTTCCTCGTTTTGCTGGTACACGTGCCGACTGCGCGTGGGATCCTTGCGCATCGCTTGGCCAGAGCCGGTGAAGCCCACTTTTCCTTGTCAGCACTGCATCGTTGGACAGTCAGAATTGGGCCATACCTCTGCCGTGGACGCCTTCCGGCGTGCGGAACATGCTGTCCTTCTTCTGCGTCTTGCCAAACTTGGACTTGCTGCTGAACTCCTGCCACTTGCTCTTGCCCTTCTCCAGCTCCTTGTTGGCCTTGATCTTCTTCGCCTTGGGCGGCTTCGCCACAGCGTCACCACCCAGCTTCTCGGCGTCCAGCCGCGCCTGCTGCTCAGGGTAAATGCTCGCCGAAGCCGACGTCACGATGCCGTTGTGGCTGGTCGAGGACGCCGCGGCCGCGCCGGACGCCGCGGGGGAGGCTGTGGCGGCGGCCGCCGCTGCTGGTGTGCCGTCAGCCTTGCGCTTGTTGGAGACGGGGCGGATGTCCTTGGCGCGCAGCGTCTCGGTGGTGTCGTAGCTCTTGAACTTGACAATGTAGACGCGCGCCGTCGAGGAGCCGGTGATGGAGGTGATGCGGGCCGGGTAGAAGCCCTTGTCGCCCGTGACCCATTTGGCGAGGACCGTGTCGTTGACATTGTAGGTGGCCTGAGCCGCGGCTGCCTCGTCTTCGGCTAGCGGCGCAGGGGCGGCGGCGGCGGCGGTGGTCGTCGTCTTCTTGAAGGCCGGGTGGTTCTCGCGCGACCACTTCTCCGGCTCGGGGGGCGTGGGGGCTTTCACGGGCGCAGCTGGCTGGGGTGCCTGCTTGGGCTTGAGTTCAGCAAGGGACTCGTCAATCAGGGAGATCATTTCTTGCAACTCCGCCTGAAGATTCTTCAGCTCCGCATTGTCAGGATCGTCGCTGAGGCCGGCCACGACAACATCGAGCTGCGCGGCGAGGTTCATTAGCTTGCGATCAGGGTTTGTTCATGGATGGGAGATGCGAACCTGCTCCTGATAGGCCTTTCGGTCCTCCTCGTAGGCAGCAATCTGGCTCGCCATGATGGCTATTATCGGGTTTCTATGGCGGGTGAAGTAGGGCCGGTCAAAGGATGTTGAGTATGCGGCGTTCTGGATGGTAAGGCTGTCGGTAGATGCCTTAGCTGGCTGTGTGATGGCAATCGGCTAGAATGTTTGACGCCGCCAGAGTTCGAGCCTTGGGCGATCCATTGGCCACAGGGACTGCCATTTGCGTCACCGAAGGGGGGGGGGGTCATCACGTGCTGATAAGTCATCTTCGGATGGCTGGCCGTGGGCCAATCGGAATATAGCGAATCAGCAAACTGCTGTGGGTAAGGTAGCTAGGTAGGGAGCTCCAGGTGCTCCAGGACAGCGTGCCAGGCCTGGGAAACAGGCGGCATGTGCCTAAAGGGCCCTGTAATCGTCGGTTGCGGGCGGCTCTGGGACGGCAGCACCAGCACCGGCACCGGCACTGGCACTCCACCGGCGCTGGATTGTGGATTGGCATTCGGCACGATGGGGCCTCAGCAACGAGCCCAAGCCCAGGCAGGTAGGACCCGAGTGGAGGGAGGAAGGAGGAACCCCAGAGCACCTGGCCGAACTAAACCCAAACCTCTGTTCCATTCTCAATCTCTCGTGCTGTGACCATTTCGAATGCCTCCTACATCTTTTCATCCCTCCTTCGTCTCCTACCCCTCCGTCATTGCACCGCGCCTTCTGACCGACTACTTGAGAACGCCCCTCGGTTACACCAAATCTTACCTTCTGCAGGCCTGCACACCGACGTTCGCTGCGACTGGCTGCAACACAACACCCCTGGATCCGATTCAGGCCGCACACCCCCCCCTACCGACCTACCTAGGCTAGGCAGAGGGCTCAGGCTCTCGCTCACCAAAGACGAGAGACGCCCACACAGACTGCAGCAGCCAGCCGGCCGGCCACAGCCAGCCAGCCAGCCATGCCTCGCGACGCCGACAGAAATGGCGACGACGGCCAGGATGCTTCTTCCGCCAGCCAATCAAAACGTCCATCCCTCCGACACCGAGATGCGAGTGACTATTCGCAGACAAGTGACCACACCCGGGACAGCGCATCCTCCACACGAGAACACCATCACCGCCCCAAGCACCACCACCACCATCAGAAGCACGTTGTCGGCGGTGGCAGGCTACACGCCCGAATCCCCTCCTCCAAGGCTCTGCACAAGCAGCAGAACACGGCGCACGCCTCCAAGCTCAACAACCAGCGCCGACATCACTCACCCTCTCCCGAGCGCGAACGAGAACGAGAACCAGAACCAGAGCGTGATCGCGATCGCACAGAGCGACCCACCAGACCAGGCCACCGACGAGTCCAGTCCGAAGCCAAGCTGTCGCGCGACAGCTCCTCCTCCAACCTGAAGAGCAACACCTCTGCGGCGAGCTTGCGCCGCAACAGGTCCCATGTCGAGGTCGCCCACAAGCGTACCAAGTCGTCCGACAAGCTCAAGCGCACCGCCTCCAATCCCGCCGTCAACAAGGTCAAGGCGTCGACCAAGTCGCAGGTGCATTTCGACCTCGGCAGTGACGGCCAGGAGGACGAATGGGTCGACGCGAGCGGTTCAGCCTCGCCGTACCTGTCGCGTCGCGGATCAATGGCCAGTGGTCAGGGGTCCGCGAAGCCTGGCTCTTCGGCCGGCACAGGATCACGGCCTCACACACCAGCAGACAAGGCCTCCCTACCCTCGCCCCCCTCACCGCCTGTCATGTCGACACCGGACCGGCAAACACTGCAGCACAAGGAGTATCTCACCTCGCGCCTCCTGCAACGAACGCCCTCCCAAGGCGTCGTGCCGCCACAGATAACCAATGACACAGCGGAGCCCGTCTCGCGAAACCGTTCGCCCGACTCCTTCGGCCGCCAGTCGACGCTCGACGATGACTCGAACAGCGTCAACGCCGCAGGCAGCGCCGGCGGCGACGAGCTGACGTCGCGCTTTGTCGGCGCCGCCAGCTCAGGCAACACGCGCAACTCCTCCTTCTACCATCCTGACCCGTCCCGCCCCACGAGCCGCCGCTCCGACGCGGCCCCTGACACGCCGCACCGCGCTCTCTCTACGACGTCATCCAACCGCACGCCGGCATCAGGCAATAGCGACGTTGACGACACGAGCGCCCTCGCCCCACGCAACGCGCGCCGCAACGCCCCCCAGTCCCGCGTCCAGCAGAAACTCAACCTACAGCGCGCCAGCTCCGTCATTGAGCCCTCCTCCACCAGCACCCACAGCTCGGCGCACCATCACTCAGGCGGCATGTCGACAATGGGTCTCGGCATGGGCATGGGTATGGGCATGGGCATGTCGCTCGGCGGTCCCAACACGGTGGGCGCGACGCCGCTCGTGGCCGTCGCCAACCCGGGCCACGACGGCGGCACGTCGCGCGACCCCCGCGTCGCCAAGCAGCTCGAGCGCACGGGCATGGAGTACCTCAGCGTGCGGCGCTACCAGAACCCCGTCGTCCGCTCGCTCGACCGCATCGCCGCCGCCGTCCAGGCTGCCAAGAAACCCCAGCGCATCCCCCACGGGCGCAACGGCCTCATCGCCGCATCGAAACCGCCCGCCCTGCGCCCCGGCGGCGCTGGCCATGCGCGCAACATCAGCCTCGGCGCCGCCAGCGCGACCGGCACCGGCAACAGCCACAGCAGACCCGTCACGCCGCGGGCGCAATCCGTGCGGACGCTGCGCAGCACGGGCGCCGGATCGAGCTTTGACGCCGAAGGCGGCGGCGGTGGGACGACGACACAGCTCAGCGGATCGAGCCTCGTCGGTGGTGAGGACGACGACGCGGCGGGCGAGGGGCTCAACACGCTGCTGAGGAACCTGTGGGAGAAGAACATGAACCTGAGCGCCAGTCAGGACTAGGGGTCTTGGGTCTGGGTGTAGGGGAGCTTCAGCGCGGGAAGGACGCCGCGTCCTGCGTCTGGGTCAGCAAGCGCGTGTGCGAATGAGCAGGCGGCATCGGCATGAGCAGGCAGCGAGCAGAGAGCGGAGGGCGGAGGGTATGCGCGTGCACCAGAGAGGGCTGTGGGTGGGTTACCCCCTCCCCTTTTTTTGTAAGACTACAGAATACGTTGTGGAGAAACGAAGGCAGACGGCCAGTCAGCCAGCGAAGGAAGGCGTGCCTCTAAATAATAGATGATGTTGAGAGTGCCCCGGCCTTTGCCTTGCAGACCCCGCCGGCCCCCTTCGTAACCGATATGATGCCTGTTTGTGTCTTAGATGATGGATGGGAAGATTCATGGTCTCGATACCTCGTTGGAGGCCATTTTGATAGACTGGCTCCCCCGCCCCTCCAGCTCGTCGTCAGTGGAGGGGGTGTGTGGGGCCCCGGCAAGCTGTGTCACCACCACGCTGGTCTCCCCCACCTGTACTACATCATGACGAGTTCTGGCTCACGAGTACACACATTGTCTTCGGTATCCGGCACGTGATATTCAATATTGGTGATCAATTGCCCACCAAGCCCGGCTTTCGCGTCTGTCGAGAGCATGCATACATGCGTACACACATGCTTGTATACTGTCCTCTCTCACTCTGTTCTCTTCTTGGTATAATCAACTCGTCACAAAGTCAGCCCTCCCTCCTTCCAGTTATGATGCTCCTCCAGCGCCGAAAAGAAACCAAAGAAAAACAAAAGAAACCCAAAATCGCCCAGCACAGCTTGTGTGCAACGCGTCGTCACGCGAGACCTCGTTCTCTCTTTTCTAGTGCTCGCTCAGTTTATTTGGTCACCCAGCCGAGGTAGTCGGCCACGATGAGCGTTACCATGCTGAAAGGAGTAGGACGTTAGCTTCCTGCTACCATACTTTCGAGCCAAGATTGACTTACGCATGCGGCGCAATGCGCACGTAGTAGGTTCCGAATCCGCGGTAGAACCGCAGGATACCCTCCTGCTTGGTCACCTTGACGAAGCAGTCGGCCATGCTCTTGTAGGGAAGCTTGCCGTCGGCACCCCGCGACTGCTTCTGCAGCCTCGTCTTCACAAAGTCGAAGGGCAGGGAGAAGAAACTGGCGAAGAAACCGGCAATGGCCGAGGCGGCGAGGGTCTGGGTCTGGGGGCTCAGGGTAGAACCGGCGTTCTGCTTGAGTTGCGACTTGGCTTCGGAGAAGAAGGCGAGCTGACCAAAGTTGAGAGCCATGGCACGGACGACGGTGGGCGCGGCACCAGACCAGAGGGCCGTGACACCTTCGGACTTGGCGATGCTCGAAAGAGCATCAATGACTGACTTGTAGTTCTTCCGCTCGGCAAGGGGCTTGAGGCCGTCGGATTGCATGCGAATGAGAGCCAGATCGGCGGGGTTGCCCAGCATGGCGGCGATGGCACCAGCAGACAGGCCGGCGGTGGCGCGCTCGGAGAAGCCTATGGAACGGCCCTGCTCCTTGGCGCGGGCCGTGAGCTTGCCCATGAAGGTGTCGAAGAAGCCGAGGCGCGCCGTGGTGTAGACGGCCTGTCGTAAAAGACCGGCCGAGAGGCCAGTGTACAGGTCGAGGACCTTGCCCGAGGCCACAATGTCACGGGCTACGGCGAGGGGGCCAGGCTTGGGGCCGCCGGCGAGACCCTCACCGGCGAGCTGGATACGGACCTTGACCATGTCGACGGGCTGGATGACAGTGGTGGCGACCATGCCGCTGATGCCTCCATTGATGAAGGGCAGTGCTGTACGGACGAGAGGAGAGTGGAGAAAGTCGTTGGCGACGGCGACCGTCTCGTTCTTGGCAGGGCCCATGACCTCAGAGGAGCGAGTTCTCGCAGCTTCAGCGGCCTGTCTCAAGCTGCCCGAGCTCATGTCGGAGTAGGGGGTGGGGAGGTGCTGCGCCGAGTGCCTGGGATGAGGCACCGAGAGGGGTTGGAGGGGCACAGGGAGCTTCTGGTTGTGAAGAAGCTCGAAAGCGTTGGAGGCTGGTGAAACTCTGAAAGAGAAGCGAAGTTGGTGTAAGTGGATTGTGGAGCTAGCTGATGATGAGAGAAGAGAGAAGGTCAGCACAGTTTACACGAGGGTGTAGCAAGTGGGCGTAGGGCACGTCATATAGACATGGCCAACAAGCGCCCAGGATTCCACGTCGGTAGTACGCGGCCGTGGAAGCATGGTGGTGAGTGACGCCGGGGGTTACAGGCAACTGAGGGCGCCCTCTGGTGGGGGATCAAACGGCAACAGTGACGGGCGTGGATATGTCCGTCGCAGCAGGGGGGGGTGTGAAAGGGAAGGAAGCTCGGATCTTGGATCACTCCACTCGGAGCGTCGAGCCAACGGCAGGGCAGATGATTAGAGATGGGGGGGGGGCTCGAGAGTCTGGTGGAGGTCACTGAATGGCAAGGGCTGACGAGGGTTTGAGTGCCAGTTGACCGAGGGCCAGACGGAGGAGGACGGAGACGAGTCGGCCAGAGGGATATGACGGTATTGGTGATTGACTTTGTTTGGCTCGAGGTTGCCGACAGAGGAACCGGGGTATGGATGTGGGTGCGTGAGTGGGTGAGAGAGACAAGAGAGACAGAGAGAGCGATATGGTGGGGGTGCAGCAGAGTGGAGCCGGGCTAGGCGTGCATCGGAAAAGGTAGGATGGCCCCCTACGCTCGTCATGGTGCCTAGAGAGGTCCGAATGCGGGAGAGCGGTCCAAGTCTGGGGGGGTCTAGGCTTGTTGTTGGGCTGGAGAAAGCTGGGCTGGGGTGATGCTGAAGCTCATGCTGATGCAGGCGGGGTGGAGAGTGGAATGTGCGACGGAATACGGAAGAGAGAGGGAGAGAGAGGGAGAGAAAGAGGGGCCGAGCCTCGAGGCACGAGAGTGGACTCCCGGCGCCGACGGACGATTGAACCTCCGCGGGGGGGGGACACGCATTGTGCGGCGGGCCATCTTGGTTAGGATGTTCAGGAAGAAATTACCGACTTACACAAGAGAGGGCCAGAAAGCCAGGACAGCCAACGAAAAGTGCGGCTACAATGACAGGCGAATACTGATCGTCAAGTCGTGTCGTCTCGTGTTGTTGACGACGATGGCTGACGGAGACTCGTGGTGCTGCTGTCAAGAGCGGGGTCAGGTCAGCCTCGCTCAGAGGGGCTTGGGCTGTACAAGGCACGAGTGAATGAGTAGCGTACCTGACTCTGACTGCAGGTGATGATCAAATGGAGTCGGCTATGTGAGAGATATGCCAGAAGCCAGAGAGCAAGAGAGACGGGAATTGACGGGCAAACGTGAAGCCAGCAGCGTCGATCGGTCGGTCCAAAACAAGTTGGCGATGCTGGCGAGGTGACAGAGGACACAGGCAGAGGCAGACGCGGCGTAGTCGACAGACAAGAGCAGAGCAGAAGAGATGGGGGAATGGGACGAGCCATGTCACAGCGACCGGACGTGAGGGGGAAGGACCTTTATTGACGCCGTCTCAAAGCCAGAGCAGGTACATACACACAGCCCAGGGCAGGACGGCAGGACGAGGAGCCATCGAGGCGAGGTAACCCAAGCCCGTTTGCCGGGCGCAAGGCGGTTGGGCGTTGTAGACAATACATCGTTTCGAGTTCTGTGATGGCCGCGCTCCTGGTGCACGTACTACCGCTGAGGGAGCTGGGTGCCGTCGCATGAGCGTGTATCGAGGTACAAAGCACACTCGAGCGGACAAGAGGGAAGCTTCGGCCTTCCCCTCCCTCTTTCCCCTTGACGGTGTCTCAATGCGGGGTCAGGTCAGGTGCTGACGACTTTCACTTGCTTGTTTCCCCAGAACAGCTCATGTGCTTGGGTGACCGAGTGCTACAGCTCGTGCTTCGGCATCTTGGGGAGGCATGAAACGGAACAAGCTCGGCTTCCCACTGCCAGTTTCCCTGCCCGCTTGGTGTCGTCGTCGTCATTCACGAACCTTGCATCCTCTGCTGCTTTGAGTCGGATTTGACGATTGGGTCAGGATTGTGCTCATATGCCTAGGTCCGAGGTCGACTTTGACCCGTATTGCTCTTGCTGCTGGGACAAGCCATATGAATGGAATCCCATGAGGACGGCATGGCAGTCGCTCGCGTGTGGCGTGCATCCACTGAGAGAGGGTCCCCAGCAGGCATCAACGCGGGGTAAAGCACTGCAAAGCCACAGCCTCAGCGTCCGTCGTCACCCAAACAGCACCCAAGCAGCACCCAAGCAGCACCCAAGCAGCACCCAAGCAGCACCCAAGACACCAGGCAAGGTACCCACCCTCCTCCCAAGGGGAGCAGCACAAACCCACCCACGCACCCACCACCGTCAGTGGGTTAGCCCGCGGCAATTCAGCAGCTGTCTTGGCTGGGGACGAAGACAACACGGGGAGCAATCAGCACTCGCCGATTCCTCAGCTTGCATAGCCGCCCGGGCCCTGGTCACCTCGTTCATCTATCTGCTTTGCTTTGCTTGAAAGTTTGGTGCCTGCCAACCCAACGGCAGCCGTAGCGAAATGCCTCGAGGCCCGCGAACCGCCTTGGGTGCGGCACCTTGAAACAAGACCATGACGTAGGGCCACCCAGAACCCAAGTCCAGATACGGAATGCTGCATCTGACTGCGACCGCGAGTGTGTATGCCTGCGCCCGTCTGAGAAGTTCCGAGCGATTTTCATCAGGAGCAACATCAGATGCTTCCGAGGGATTTTCTTCCACGAGCCAAACGGACAGCAAGATGGTTGCAACATGGTTGCATGGCAGCATATCTCGTTCCTGCTCCTTGCTTGTGAATGAAGCACACACACGTGCAGGGAAGGCGCGAAGTGGTGCGTCGTCTCATGTCCCGTGTTGTGTCGCTGCCTTCCCTGTCTGTGTTGGGCGGAGCAGCAGTCGTAGTCGTGCCTGCCCGGTCGGGTCTCCGACGTGCAGGGCCTCTGAATCATCCAAGCCGTCCAGGGCTGGTCCCTGTCTTGTGTCCAGTCTCCTCAACCAATCACGAAAACATCATTTCAAGCATCCATTATCACATCTCAGCCTTGCCCGGCCACCGACATCCCCCATCCTGTTCGTCACGAGCCTCAAGGCAGTCGTCGACCGAGTCTTTCCATGCTCGTGTCGTCGCTTTCACGAGCTGTTGAGACCCTTCACATGTCTGCCATGTCGCCGCCCACTGTTACCAGACGAACCTGCGGCCGTTTCACTCGTCGTGCCCTTGACCCAAACCCAACAAGAAACACAGTCCAATTATAATTAGACCCAGAGCTTGGCCCCAGCTCCGACCTCGACCTCAACCTTGACCTCGACCTCGCTCACCTAGGCCGCCACTCACCAGGCGCCATGCATCGCTTCCAACCCCAGCTGTCTCTCACCATTCCGTCGGTGAGTCGGAAATACACTGCCCACCTCTTGGGAGCTCGCCTTATTCCCGGCCAAGCCAATTTCATCTGGCCCAGCCACTCAATGGGACAGGCCAAAACACTCAACACCACCGCTCACCTGCTGCTCACCGTGCCCAGCGTGCCCCTTGCTGACTCTGGCCTTGCAGTCAAAATAGCCTCGATTCCCACCGCCCCAGCAAACCCCCCATCCCATCCGTGGGGGGCTACCCCGTCCCTCTCCGGATTCACGCATTGGTGGGAAAATACCTCAACAGACCCCCGTCAACGTCGACGGCCTCGAAAGCCTGCTTCTCGCTCGCCAGGCCACCTGCGTCGTCGTTCCCTTCCATCGGAACCCTCTCATGGAGATGCCCCGGTAATAAGCAGCTCGCACATCGTCTTCAGCCTCAACGACGACGACACCCCCCCTTGGCGGTTCTCCGTGCCGGGCCATAGATTAAAGCCCCCCCGAACCGAGAGAAGCCGCCCCGATGCCGGCCCCGACTCCCGTCCCCTCCCTCCCCTGTCGAGCGCCCCCTCCATCGGCTCGGCTGCACGTCCGTGCCTCCCTCGCCTGCCCTCCTTCGGACGCAACGCCCGTCGAGCGCCCGCTACTGAGTTCTTTGACTTACACCGCACCGCCCTACGCGAGAGCTCCCATGGCCCAAGTCGAGGTTCCACTTCGGGAGGTCCCGCCACGTCTCATCTCCCCTTGGAACTTGTCGCGACGTCGTCGTCGCCGTCGTGGCCCAGCTTTGACTTTTGGGTGGGTCCGCCTCCTTGGGGCACCAGTATGGGTGGACGTCTTCGCTCGGAGCGCCGAGCCCCCTTCGGCGCGAGGCCCATACCTCCGAGCTCGCTCCCCTTGTCCCAATCTTGAAGCTATACTCCGCTGAATCGACCCTTGCAGCGTACGACCTGACGTGCTTTTCCTTCTTTGACGTGATCTTGATAGGCCAGGGACGCCGAAACATTGGCTGCCTGGCTCATGTTGTTTGGCTGGCTTGGTATTCTGCCCTCCCCCCCTCCCCTGAGCGAGCTGATTTTGTTCTCTCTCGTTCCGATTCCGTGCCGTAGTCTCGACACGACGTTTTGGGGCCCCTATCGGGCGTCGGTTCCGGCCTCGACATGAGGCCTCCTATTGATGTGCCCGCGTCATGTTGGATGTATTATCGTGGTCTGGGCCTTTGCATGAGGCTAGGAAATTGCTGTGGTCCGCAGTTTTCCTACTTGAGGGCCTCTATCCTCGGTTGACTTGATCATCTCTTCCGAGTGATATGACTGCACTTTCTTGTTGGTGGGCTCCTGTTCTTGGAACCAGGTGAATATTTCACCATGACATTCCTGTTTTCATCCCACTGCCGTGGGGAAACAGCCCAGTTCCCCTGCAAAATGGCACATTGGGGTCGATGAGGCCTTGCCATGTTATGGGACGAAAGACTTTTTTGCTTAGACAGAGCTCGCTCTGTCCCTGTTGCACTAAAAAGTCCCCTGATTTCGCCAGTATGTGGCACTTTGAGGTGGGATGTAGTGCTCAAAATGGCCCTTTCCAATACCTCCTCTGTGTTCAAAGGAGGCGCTGATATTGTGGTCATGACGGTCCCCCTATGTACGGGTCAGGTCATCGTTTCGTAACGTCGCAAGTATGCGAATATAGTACGCCCTGTTGCTTGTAGAGACTGAGGACGGCCGCCGGACGACACATGTCTGCCGCGGAGCCGATTGATGAGCCTTTGGCGGCTCCGAGATTGAGGCACAGGGTCGAAGAAGCAATGTACTTCCATCGAGCTTATTAAGTCATGGACAAGCTCCTACTGATATACCATGGTAACTTAGCTCTCCAAAAAAGATCGCCTTGCTCATATATCACCCGCCTCAACGACCATAAGCATGGCAAAATACCATTGTGGTGTGAGAATGATAATGATGCATTCAGACAAGTAAAATGTGCAGGAAAGAAAAGCACAAAACAGCTATATATGGGAGTCCCTCTACTCATCGTGCTGAAGCACGGAATTCGAGTCCGCCCGAACAGGCCGCCGCCCAGAAATCTCTCAGATACGACACCACTCGCGCATGTAGCGCCTCTCACAAGATCAACCATATATGCTTCACCACCCCGTAAACCCAACCGCTCCAAGCCTCGCCCTCAATCTCGGACCCAAACTGAACCGACCGAGCAACACTTGCCCCTGCTCAGAGTCAGCCAGGTTCTTCTGTCTCCCCGGAAAGGTCTTACCTCGAATCGTCCCACCTCGAATCGTCTCATCTCAAATCGTCTCATCTCAAATCGTATACGGTCGGGACATCTGGTTCTCGATGAAAGGGCTGCACTAAAGTATCAAGGTGTGTTGGCAAGTTAGCACCATCGTCCAGAAGCAGGCGGCGTCCATGCCCACTTACTCTTTTTTCATTAGGGTTTCCAAGCTTTTCCAGTCAGGAACGACCTCGAGTGAACCGACGGGAAAGGAAGGAACCTAAGAGATCGACCGAACTATAGAACGAGATCAGAACTCCAACGGAACTCCTGGAAGACCTGGCTGAACCGAGGGAAATCCTGGAACCCCGGAGGAGGTGCCGCAAGCCAGTATGGCCCTCAGCATCCAATCCAGTCCGAGCCGGTCTGATCAATTCCAGTCCAATCCATTCCAACCAATCCAATCCGAGCCAGTTCGCGATCCTGGAGTTGGAAACATCTCGAGTACGCTTCCACGAGGTGAGACACCCTTCCCACAAAGTAGGGGCATGTTTTCCACGGCCAAAGACCGCTTCTAGTGCCTCGCTTTGCCTCGCTTCCGCGGCCCGTCAACAATATTGGAACCAACATGGTCCAATCCGTGTCTCCAGCAGAAAGATAGACCTGGGCGGCGCCTAAGGTACGCTTCCATGAGGTGAGGCACCCTTCCCACAAAGTAGGGGCATGTTTTCCACGGCCAAAGACCGCTTCTGGTACCTCGCTTTGCCTCATCTCCACGTACCATCATCGGTGCCATAGCCAGGCCTGGACCAATCCGTCCGAAAGCCGACCTGAAAGGAAGACCTGTGCAGCGCTTCCGGTCCGCTGGCGCGTTCCGTCCTCAGCGCCACGAGCCAGGTTAGGGCCAATCCGTCCGAAATCCGACCAGAAAGGACGACCTGTGCAGCGCTTCCGGTCCGCTGGCGCGTTCCGTCCTCAGCACCACGAGCCAGGTCAGTGCCAATCCGTGGGGAAGTCGAAAACCAGGGACCTAGCAAGAACCAGAAAGAAACCATCCAGAGACGACACCGAGAGCCAGAGCCGCAGCACCCAAGCAGACCTTGCCGACGGTGCTCCACGAAGGGAGGGACCGTTGAGCAGAGCGTACAGGAGCTACATCAATGTCGAAGCCGTCCTCAGGGAAAGAACCTGGAGTCAAGGGAGTGTCGGGGGAGCAGGAGGTCGAAACAGGAGCAGAACCTTCGGTCAAAAGAGTGGACTGCGCCGAAGCGAAGGAATCCTCCTCGGAAGCCTCATCTTCGCCCTGGGGCTCAGAATCAATCTTGTCGGAGGACCCTTCCTCGGTCGCGGGAGGCAAAGGAGTGTCATCGGGAAGAGGCGCCAATACTGGGGCACGGAACAGGGCATCGCCCTTGGACAGTTGCCAGAGTCGGACCTTCTCCAGAAGGGGGTCGTTGAACGGGCGCTCCTCCAGAGGCTCGATAACGGTACGGTCGAATGGAGTCGCCCACCACATGTCGTCCGCATAAGGAATGGAAGAGTCGGTCACGGGGGCCTTCTCGGGTGAAGGAGTGTCGGTAGGCAGAGGAGCCAGGACAGGCATGCGCAAGAGCGCAGCACCCTTAGCTCTCTGCCAGGCGTCCACCCGACGGTCAACATCGCTGTCATACTTCTTCCAGTGCGCAATGCGCTCGGCGGAAGTAGGCAGCGACATGGCATCGGGAATCGAATGAGTGTCGGTGGAGTCGTCCGTCTCCAGGTCAGGCTCCTGCTCCTGCTCCTGCTCCGAGTCGTCCGAAGGGAAATCGAAGTCCATACCAGCGAATTTGGCCTCGAAACCCAGGGAAACCGAGACATCGCCAATGGCGGACCAACCGTCAAAGGCGTTGTCAAGGTGTTCCTTGGCCTTCATGACCTCTTCGAAGGGCATGGCGATATCGGGATCCTCGCGGGCGTCCCAGGAAGCAAAGGCATCATCGATGCACTTGGGTAAACGAGTGGAAGGCGGCCGGTAATCCCACAATTCGGCCTGGGGCTGAGAGAGGACCTGGTCCGCGATGTCGGCAGCGCGATATTGGCGCACATGGTTGATGAGCGAAGGCCAAGCCTGTCGACCCATACCCATCTGCCTGGTTGCCTTGACCCTGGGAATGTGCTTGGTGAATACCTGGTAAAGAGCGGTCGACCGGTGGACGTCCTCGAGTTGGCGTTGCGCACGCGTCAAGCGCACCTTGCGGGCGAGGTCGGTCCAGCAGTCCACGACGAGAGAGTCCACGTCCTTCTCAAAGGTAGCCTTGGACTGAGTCGCCGAGTGAACGAGATCGAACCATGGATTCCTGTTGTCAGGGGCGCCCAACTGCGAAGCAGAAAGGTCCGAGACTCCAGAAGACCGGGTCGAATCCGTCACGGAGCCGGGAGGGAAAGGAAAGGCGCGGTTCGGGTTGCCAGGGTAGCCAGGGGCGTCGCCATGAACCCGATCCAGGAGCCAGGATTGTACACTGGGCACCGGCTGGCGCTCAATGTGAGGAATCCCGGCAGGCAAATGAGCGTGAGGGGTCCATCCAGGTGGGAACCCTTTCGAAGGAACGGCTGGTACAATGGGCCGGCGGTGCTCCGCGCCGCGATCCATGTATCCGGAAGAACTGAGGGTCAGTTCGACCTTGGGAGGAAGGGGACACCAGATGCTGGAAGGAGTCAGCATCTGGAAGTCGGAGGATGTGAAGTGTGATGAGACAAGAGATATTAAAAGAGAAAGGACAGAAGGCATCGAGGGATATGTGACAAGGATAGGGCGAACATTGAGGGAAGTCATGATGGACAGTGGAGGGGATGATCATGATTTGATTTGGTATGGTGAGGGTGGATGATGATGATGATGAATGACGAAGATGAAGGATGAAAGGTGAAGAGGAATGAAGATGAAGATGTGAGTGGAGGATGGAATTGGGATAGTGGCGCTGAGATGGGATGGAACAGTGAATATGTGTGGTGGGTAAGGTGAGACTTGCTAGATGATGTAGGCAAGGAGGGTATGACAAGATGGTGGGTAAGGTGAGTGAGAGAAGGTGGTGAAGGTGGTGTGGAGCTTCACGCAATGTGGACCCTCCATGTCTTGGTGCAACGACATGTTGACAGGGGGGTGGCTGACGATGAGGGTGGGCAACGTCGCTGTTGACTGACCGTGAAAAAGGCGAAAGCCATGGTAGGCAGGAAAGGATGGAAAAGTGTGAGTCGAGGAGGAAGCCGAGCGTCGATGTATGTGTTTGTTGTTGCGGCCATCCAGACATGTCGCGTCGCGTCGCGACCAGAGGGAAACACCAGGGCACAAGTGGGCGATTTGGTGTCGCGCAGCAGTGGCCTCCCAATCACGCAAGGGCTTCAAAACACGGAGAAAAAAGTATGGAAAAGCATGGGAAAAGAGGAGAAGGAGAAGAAGAGAAAGAAGCAAAAAGAACGCCACTCACCCCTTGACGAACCACCCGACCGCAGGGAAGACGGGCTTCGCTGGGACGGGCGAGGACGTGGTCCAGGACCGGGCAGAGGCGGAAGAGGCGGAACGGGAAGAAGAAAGGCGCGAGGAGACGGAACGGGAGGATACTCGAACAACGCGCCGTACGGCTTGCTGAGCGAGGGGGACCATGGCAGGACTTTCACCTGTGACCGTGTCGTAATCCAAGGAATCCGAGGAATCCAGGGAATCGGACGCAGCCGACGCATTGGGACTGATACCCTGACCAGCATCGTATGATGCGGCCGACGCAGAGGGACTGATACCCTGACCATCGCCATAAGACGAGGCCGACGCTGTCGAAACCTGTGCAGACATCAAAGACATTGCAGGGGGTTAGGACTCACCTGAGGAGGAGAAGGAAGGAAGGATTCGCCCAGAGGGCGCGCGTGGAGGATGCTTCTTTTATGCACCAAGAGCAACCGGCCGCCGCAGTTTGCCCGTGCAATCAGTAAAGTACCATCGAACGTACCGCCCAAACAGGACAGAACCATCCAGAAGTACGACCGAAAGGGGATGGGCAAGCCCTATCGGGACCGTCCTTGGTTTTTCCCCCCATGATAGCTGACGCGTCAGGATATACAGAGTCCTAAACGGGAAGGGGCGCTAGCCTTGTGTGTCTCAGCCCTATGAACTTGCTGGCGATCGCCTCTTCCGTGATCCCAGATGTGATCGTGTTGCTATTTTTAGTTGAAGACTTTTGGACGACAGCTTCATTTCATCTGATGCCCTCATCCGATTCTCGGGCTCTGCAAAGCGTTGCGCGTTGCGTAATTCGTTGCTCAAGCATTGTGCGTCTGTTGTGGTGGGAGTACCTCGAACAAGGTCGTGCACAAGCAGTCGAGGCAACGGCGAGAGAGACGCGGCATGTCGAGCCATCTACCATCGTCTGCGCAGCCCTTCTTGCCTTGGTCAGTCGATAGTTCTTCATAGATGTTGACATCGGCCGATGAAATGCTTGCAGCATTGCCTCGCGCAACTGTTGTTGATGTGCGCTGGGGGGTAACCAAACTAGACCCTCTGCATGTCTTCGGACGACTCACTGGACTTGCCTTGCGCGCCCATGTCAAAACCTTCGCGTACCTTGCCCAAGCAGATGAGATGATTCTAATGATGATGTATTTCACTGTCTACGCGTGTTGCGCCTTGCTCAGCGAAACGGCGATGCCTTCCCTGGCGTCAGCAACGACCCGCCTGCACCTGGCGGCCGCCTGACCGGTGTCGTGGGGCCTGGGCCGCCTTCTATGGGTAGCGGAGGCGTTTCTGTCCTCTGCACTTCCTGATCACCCGCCTTGGGAGCTCGGAAACCAACATCTCGCCCCACATTGTATATCTCGTTGATCCTTTGCTCCCACACGCCCGCTGAGACGTACTCTTGGTACTTCCGATACAGCCTTAGCGCTGTCCGCGAGTCCTCGATCGAGTCGTGCGTTTCGTTCTGGATGTTCTCCCGCAATACGATCCAAGCAAGGAACGCCAACGAAAGCTTTCGCAGGCGCGTGTGTAAGTAGTACAACTCGATCGTGTCGATGACTTGGGCCTTGGGTATATGGATGTTGATGACTCGGAAATCTTGCTTCAATCCGTGGCCCAGGAACTTGCAACCGAGATTGACCAACATCCACAGCTTCTTGTAGGCCACTTTAAGCGGTACAAGATTGTGTTTCGACAAGCGTGGGTTGAGGTCCACTTCGGTGATGCCCGAGAAGGCGGTCAAATAATCGACAATGGGCTCTCGAATCAAGATATAATCATCGACGAAAGGCTCCCCTTCCGCCTCTCCTTCTCCTCGAATGACAGAGGTACGCGCGAGGGCGTATACCTTGGGTCGGATCGTTTCCCTCTCGCCCTCGGAGTTCATCTCGATCTCCGGTTGTCGCACAGCCACAAATTCGGTGTCGAGTGCAATGATGCTGCCAGGACCCGGCGGCTCTGTCGCACCATCGAGCGTCCGGTATGTCTTGCTGTCGTGGAGGTGACTGGCTGAATATCAGGAGGTGCTACAAAAGGCGTTACTCCAAACGGGGACGAGAACACTGACCTTGAGTCCGTGAATAGGAGCGAGGTGTCAATCTTTTGCTTCCACGTCGTGTCCATCATATTGTTCGCCTCCTTCACTTGAAACGTCAAGACCGATGGAATTTTCCAGTTCGCGTTGAAAGAGAGAGCTTCCTCCTTGCTCACCGAGCGAACCAAGAAGTCATTGAATAAATGCCACTGACTCGCCTCGGGGGCTTCTGGCTGGCAGTGGCCAACTGAAGAGTGTTAGCGCCGTTGGGGCCTCTCCGTCACAGGATCTTACCATTGATCATGCCAACCATGTGCGGCTTCTGGCCAGGGCCAGCCTCGACCTCCATCGTCATGCCAATCAAAGAGTAGACGGTTATGTTGTGAATCCCCCTTTGCAGATGGAGCTTCAGATCTTCACCTTCGTAACAGAAGAATTGGCCATGGTCCACTATGACGCCAATCTCCTCTGGGAGAAAGCCTGGATTCGCCCAAAGCCTACGGTGCTCAGGACTCTTGACCGCCGTGTTGAGCATGAGCACCTGAGGTACACTGCTGATGGTTTTCCTCGAAGCGTTTGGCTGGTAACGTTGGCATTGGGGACACCACCCCTTCGATGGAAATTCCCGCTCAACACTCATTTTGAGCACCTGCGAAAAAGTGACCTTGGGGGCCTTCTGATTTCGCATCGGGGCCTTCTGTCGCACGCGGTCAGTCCAGGATTCGAGAAGCTACAAAAACAAAACTTACCGCATTAGGATATATCAGTTCATTGACATTGGTCGGACTTGGGCGAGTGTATTCACTTCGACAGTTCATGCACCTTATGTATTCGGTGGCGGCGGTTTGAACGGCCTGTCTTAAGTCAGCCTACGGAAAGCGCACACGGAGACCGAGGAGGGCCCAACCTGAAGCATGAAATTAACGCCTGGAGAAGTAATGCGGAAATCTTCGACAATTTTGTCGAGTAAGAACCGTGTCAGACGCTGCAGCATGGAAGGCAGTGGGCCGCCGTTGAGGTCTTCTTCTAGCAGACAGAGAGCCGCCGCTACGGACAATCAGTTTGAGCATTCCATCAATAAACCGTCAAGGACTACCCAGATGACATACCTTGAGGCTGGTGGCTCAGCGCCTTCAATAAGTTGGTCGCTTGACAGATGGAGCCTTCTGCCTTCTCTAGCATGTCGAAAAGAAATCCGAGCTCGCAAAGCAAACACGTCTCCACGATGCATGCAGTCGCGGTATGCTGTAAAGCCAGATTCCGGATCAAAGGCGTGAAGTGCATCACTTGCAGGAGCGCATTTGCATACGAGTTGGCAATGTGGATCTCTAGTCCGGAGTAGGCCGTCCTGTTGTAATATCTAGAGGGCAACGGTTAGCTGACAAGGCATCAAGGTGGATAATAGTGCATACCCGAAGTCAAAGTCGTCAACACCAAACTTGCTGTATTTGATCTCGACATTACGATACATCGGAGGGCACTCCGTCTTACGGTCGCCGGCCATTTTCGCCGCAGCATCGTCAACCTCATCTTCGGCGCCAGCTGCCTGCCCGGGAGTTTTGGAGGATTCCCTCGCCTTTTCGCTGAGGAACTTGGGGGCTTGAATGCCGGTCACAGTTGTCTTGTCGGTCTTTCGCGTGTCTTCGACTTGGTTGCGCCGCAGTCCACGCGTGTTTGGCCCATAGAGACCGAACTCTGTGGCCTTGAGGGTAGAAAGAAACTGGGGGTCAAGAGTTGGAGGCGGCGCCCCGACATCAGAAACCATGTCAGGCCATGCTGAAAGCAGTGGTTCCCGGTAATACGGCATGCCGACCATGTTGAGAGGACTCCATAATGTCAGCTTCACGTCATTGCGTGTCAAGGATCTTTGGCTTACGTTTCAGTAGTCCAGTCAATGGCAGGCGCAGGCGCTTCAGGACCGGCGAATTCAGTCGGCTGTGGAAAGTCGACAAAACGAATCTTCGAGGGGCTGCCCCAAAGATGAATCTGAGAGGCCGAGTCGGCCAGCGCCACTGCTTCGCCCGAACACGCAATTTCGAACATGGTGACGAGCGAGTTGACCACGTTGATTTGCCGCACATTGCTCGTGTGGGGGTTCATCAAGTCGACCACATGAAGCTGGCCAGTCTGCGATACAACAATACTGGTTGTGGACATGCGTGGATGCATTCGCACGAAGGCCCCGCCTGCAGGGAAAGGAATAGGAGCCATGGATGTCATGCGCTTTATGTCGAAGACGTTGAGAAATGAGTCGGGCATGTAGCTCTGACTCTGGCGCAGCGAGAATCCGCAGGTAACGATGAAATCGTGCTGCGCGTCCATGTCGCTGATCAGTGCAGAATGCGCCTTCCAGCTTCGCACGACCGAGTAGTTTACAGGATCAATCATGTTGATAAGACCATCCTTGGTGGCCGCGCAGATATAGCGGCTCTTCTTCATGATCTGGTAAGAGTATTCGGTCGAGATCTAGCACGGGTCAGCGGTGAGACCCCACACACGAGCGAAGAACATCGTACCTCCTTGGTGATCTCTCCCTTGTTGACGTCAATGACAAACATCTTGTCCTGGAAGCCAGCCACCAGGATCTCGGCCTGGCCCTTCGACGTGAAATTCATGCATCGTAAGTCTTTGAATTCGTCGCTCCTGTCGGACGTCAGCTGATGCGCAATTGCAGCCGTGTGGCAGCATGCTGAGAGCTATACTGAAGATGCCAGAGTGGCGGTCCCCTCCGCAACGCCATATGAATATCTCGCGCTCCCAAAGCAATGACGCCCTTTTCGCTAACGAGGATCTGCCGTACATCGCCGTGGGTCGAAAAGGCTTTGAAAGAGGTATATCGCTGAAGCTCGGTGCCGTAGAAAGATGTCACGCGACCCTGTGATCAAGTCAGAGAAGATCCGGGCGGATTGAGAGCAGCCGAAGCACACATAGTCGTTGCCTGTCCAGAGGAGTTCTTGTTGAGGGTCAAACGTCATTGTTGTGACGGGTGTTGCCATTGCCCGTACACCCGGAGGCGGGAAGGGAATACGGGCGACCTGGGGGGTTAGAACAGGTCAGCAACCGTTTTCGCTATCATCTTCAAGCACGAACGCCCATGCAGACACGGAACGAGGCCATCGCCGGGCTGCCTGGGTAGCTCGACGCGTGTGCCCCGCGCAAAGGGACGCGCATTGCATACCTGATCCCAGTCTCCGTCCATTTTGGCTTCGGTTTCTTCGCCCCAATGAACATATCTTCGGAAGGAGGAAAGCAAGAGGTAAGGTATGCCGCCTAGTAGTGCGATGAGATGTTGTCGTTGAGTAAATTCGAATGCGCGCGCGCGAGACAGTCCCGCGGACTGGTCGAGAGTAGTCAGTCAACTCGGGCTCGGAGCGGCAACGAGGCTGTGGAGCCGACCTCGAATGCATGGTGGGGAGCCGTCGCTGTGGCAAGGGGGGGTTCACCTCCGTCGCATCTCCCTTTCTGCCGATGTTCACCCGGAACCCGCTTGCGACTGGAAGCTTTTTGGAAGCTGTGGAAAGGTTGTGGTGAAGGAGTGTGCAAGTACAAAGTTTTGGCCGCGATAGCGAGGGGATTTACTCTCGAGAATAAGTTTGGGGTCGCCGATTGCCGTGTCGGCGTATACATGTAACTCTCGAGGTTATTTACTAGTACCTTAGCTTAGATTGTTGTAGCAACAAGTCCTGTCACTTTCAGATTACTCACAACTTGTGTGAGTCTGCTCGTAGACATGCTCAACTTGTCAGTCAAAGGGTCAAGACAAAGTCTACGGGCCTGTCCGCACGAGGCAGTCCAGGCAGGCCTATTTCAACGTGTTCATGCTTGCTTTTCGCAACTCATGTCATGGATATCATTCTTTGCTACCAATTACAGCAATCTAATCACCTCCCAACCGTGCTGCGGCAGCAATTTTCATTACCGAATCCATCGTCCCCCGCGGGATTCATCGCTTACAAAGAGCCGGCAGCCTTGAAGTGGTCGAGGGCCTCCTTGACGCGGACGGTCATGGTCTTCTCGGACTCGCGGACCCAGACACGGGGGTCGTACTTCTTCTTGTTGGGCTTATCGGCGCCCTCGGGGTTGCCGACCTGGGTCCTGCGGGTGGGGGTTAGCAACAGGAAGTAGAACACGATACACAAGTGTCGGAGGCAGGAAAAAACGTACTTCAGGTAGTCAATGTTCTTGGTGACGTAGTCACGGACACCGGTGAGGTAGGCCCACTGCAGATCAGTGTCGAGGTTGACCTTGACGACACCGTAGCTGATAGCCTGCTGGAACTCTTCGACGGTGGAGCCGGAGCCGCCGTGGAAGACGAAGAAGACGGGCTTCTCCTCCTTGCTGCCGAGCTTCTCGGCGACAAACTTCTGGTGCTTGCTCAGCAGCTCGGGGTGGAGCTTGACGTTGCCGGGCTTGTAGACACCGTGGACGTTGCCGAAGCCAGCGGCAATGGAGAAGTAGGGGCTGATGGCGGAGAGGGCCTCGTAGATGGCCCAGATGTCCTCGGGCTGAGTGTAGAGGGAGTTGTTGTCGACGTCCTCGTTGTTGACGCCATCCTCTTCACCACCGGTGACTGTCGCGTATGTGAGTATGTGATGATCCTTTTGGGCGAAAGAATCGTGAGTGGGGTCAAAACTTACTGCCAATCTCCATCTCGAGCCAGAGCTTCATGGGAGCGGAGCGCTTGAGGTAGGCGGCGGTGGTGTCAATGTTCCACTTGACATCCTCCTCGGAGAGATCGATCATGTGGGAAGAGAAGAGGGGAGTGCCGCTCTTCTTGAACTCGGCCTCATCGGCGTCGAGCATGCCATCGAGCCAAGGCAGAAGCTTCTTGCTGATTGGAGGCGTCAGCGGGGGAGTGCCAAAATGCCTAGAGGTAGACGAGTTCTCGCAACTTACGCGCAGTGGTCGGTGTGGAGAACGACGGGGACGCCGTAGACGGGAGCGATGGCGCGAATGTAGTGAGCGGCCGCAACGGCACCGGCGACGGAAGCCTCCTGCTTCTCAGCGCTGTTGGTGACGCCCTTGCCGGCGAAGAAGGCAGCACCGCCCTGGGAGCTGTGTTTTGTTAGCCGCGCTGCAAAGTGAAGCGACGAGGATTCAGTTCAGACGTACAACTGCAGGACGACAGGCGACTTGGAGTCGCGGGCGGCCTCGAGGGTAGCGACAACGGTGGAAGAGGAGGTCTGCGAAGTTGGCGGGGTAAGCGAATGCACAAACGGCGCCAGGACGAAGCACGGGACGACAGCAACATACGACGTTGACGGCGGGCATGGCGAAACCCTTCTCCTTGGCGTAGGTGAAGAGCTTCAGGACATCATCGCCGTAGATGACGCCGGGCTTGAGGTTAAGATCCTGGAGGACACCCATGTTGATGATGGATGGCGGGGTAGTTGGTGGAGGGGTAGGATGCGAAGGTGTTGAGAGAGAGGAATTGATTCTTCAAGAGGGTGATCAAGAAGAAATCGGTTGCTGATGAGTCCCAAAAAAGGATATATGGAAGAATTGGATGGTGAGGTGTAGAGAGGGAGGAGGGAAATTCAAGTCGAGGATGATAGAAGCACCAGTAATGGACAAGATATTTGCAGCGCGCCATGTCCGCCGGCCGGCCCTTCTGGTGCTCGACCGCCCCTCCCACTCGCTCCGTCCCTCCTTGTTGCGTTTCCAAGGTGCACCACGTTACGAAGAGCTACCTGTCGTGCCAACCCACGCCCCGGGCACCCAATTGCATCGCGCCATGCTCCCACCCAGACACACACCAGAGGCATTTCCTCAGCCAAGTCCAGCCCGTGTCGAGGCGGGGTCGGAGGGCGAGCTGAGGCACGAGCACCAAAGTGACGAACGAGTGAAGTCTCACCCCACCAAAGTGTTGAGGGGCAGGTACAAAGTGAGACGCCGAACGGGGCCAGTCAGAACCACCACCCTCTGATCCGACTCCGGGCGTACCCGTACGGTCACCCCCACTTGACGTCAACCCGCCAATTTCGCCCGTTTGTTTCCTTTTCCACTGCCCGAACAGCTACAGGCCCTGTCGTTGCCAGGCAGCCCCCCCTAGGTAGGAAAGCCCCTCTTCGCCAGAGCTCCCACTGCTCGGTAGACACCACCCGTGTCATCATCCCCCTCTGACCTGCCCACGGTGCCGTGCCGTCTATCGGAGCAGTGCGGCTTTTTAGACCTGACTGTTGAGATGAGAGATTTCATTGACACAATCAAGTGAAGCAGAAGAGCGAAAAAAACAGCTCACAGACAAGAGAGGGGGGAAACAGAATGACAAAGGGTGGGCAAAAATAGAAGTGCTTGGGGGGGTGTCTCGTCTCCTGGGGAGGAAAGAGAGGGAGGGGAGGTGAGGGGGGGGGGGGTCTATTCGAGACGTTGCTCGGCGCCCGCGTGTCAATGTCGCGATGCTTCGGATCTGACGACGGCCCAAGGAACGGGCCAACATGGACAAACAAGAACTCACCCAGCTACCGCATCGAGCCGGCGGTGCCCCTCTACAGCAGCATCTCGGCCAATGAAGCACCCGAACGAAACCGTGGGAGGCGATCCTCGCATGCTCTAGGTCCAAGGCATTGCCGATGGACGACGGAAAGATGCGGAAGACGGGTTTCCACCATGCACTTCGGTATGCCGGGACGCGGCTTTCTAGCCTTCAATCGTCAGCGAACTGGCGGGGACTCTGCCATCGGGGCGATCGGTTTTGTCCAATGTCGACCAGCGGCAGCGTCCAGAGTCTCGGGCTTCCTCGGTTGATCAAGGGGCGCGACCCCAGGTTCTGGGGTTTGGAGGGGCTCGTTTTCCGGAGAATCTTTGGCCGTTGGCCTCTGCGCCCGCCGCATCGTGAAGTTCCCGCCTGGCATCCGCGGGCAAATTCGCCCCCGCCAAGGGGGACATGCCGGCTGGCCTCTGCTACCCAGAGGCATATGGCCATGACGGCAGAGTCTGAGGAGCAACGGACAGGACCCCGTCGTGTCATTTTCTTCATCGCTTTCATCATTGCTTCCCTGGCAGAAATCCCCACCCTACAAATGCTGACTGTTGCTCTGACATAAGTACAGGACCAAAAAAGAAAAATAAACCTCCAACGCCTTGCCGGCCTACTTGACCTTGTAAAGCACAATGCGGGCTCAATCGAGGTCTAGATGCTCTAATGCTTCTGCGACAAACGCCTCGCCATTCGCCTGCGGTGCCGCCGCCACCGGACTTTCGATTTCGTCCCCAACATCGCTGCGGCCTCCTTCGCTCTCCGTCTCCGGTGGCGTCAGTAAGCCTGTGACACCCTGCACGCCCCGGTTGCGCTTCAGCATGCACATCTCTGCCGTGATGCCCGGGCCGAAGGCGCAACCGACGACAAAGTCCCGGACCCGCCCGCCCGGCGCCAGCGCGTCCATATCTTTGCTCCGCAAGCGGTCGAGAACGCTGAAGATGGTCGCCGAGCTCGAGTTGCCGTGGTTGATGTAGGTGTCGTAGCTCGCGCGCATGTGCTCGGACGTGATGCCCATGGCCTTCTCGGCGCCTGTCAGAATGGTGGCGCCGCCAGGGTGCATGGCCCAGTCAAAGTCATCGGCTTTCCGGTACGCGGCTGGCAGTGACGGCACGGAGGCCAGCAGATCTGCAAACGTTGGCGCCATGACAGACGACGCGAGCGTCGGGACGCGAGGGGACAGGACCACCTTCCAGCCTGCGTTCCGTGTTAGCAATCGCGCGCTGGCCGAGAGAAAGTCTCCCGTGTGAACTTGCCTGAGACGTCGACGTCGAAGCCGAGATCCCTGTCCGAGTCGGGGATGATCCTGTGCTCCCAGCCCAGCAGGTCGTACACAGGCTCCGTCGGCGGTCCGATTCCGTTGCTCAGCACCACGGCACTGCCGCAGTCGGAGAACAAGGCGATGCCTATCCTGGTCTCCTGTGACTCGTTGATGCTGTCCATCTCGCTGCGTACCATGGTCGTGCTCACTTCCAGGGCGAGGCACAGGACGCGCGCCGGCCTGCAGCGGGCCGTGTGTCCCAGCGCCAAATTGGCGGCGGTGCGCAGCGTGGCAAGGCCGCCGCTGCAGCCGATGCCGTGCAAGAGGACCTTTTCGACATTGTGGGTGATGCCGAGCTGCTTGGCGACGTAATGGTCGAACCCCGGGTTTGCGCTGTCCGTGCAGGTTGTCGCGACAATGTGCGTGATCTGGGCAGGGTCGATGCCGGCCTCGTCGAGGGCCTTGCGGCCGGCGCTCACCGAGAGGGGAATGCCTTCGCTGACGAAGACTTCGTGGAGATCCGTGATGGAGGGGGCCTGCTTTCGGTTGACGATTGGGTGGTCTGGTGTTCCGATTGATGATCGCGTGTCAATTCCTGTGAAGCGGTTGATCGAGAGGACCTTTTTCATACTATGGCGGGCGGCCACGAGTCAGCGAGACAGCAGCAGGGTGGTGGGGGGGGGGGGGATCCCCAGACAGGAAGAGTACGTACGCTGGTGATTCGGGGTAGAATCGCGCAGCCAGGACGTCGAGACAGTTCTGGTCCAGCGCATGAGGCGGGTACTGGGTTCCCACGCCGATAATGGAAAGGCCCAGGTCGCCAAAGGTGTTTGGGGAGGTCATTGCGGCGCGAGTCGTCGTGCGCTGGAGCGAGGGGACGGAAGGGGGAGGTGGGGGAGGGGTAGCTCCAGATGGTGTCGAGAGCTACGAGGAAGGCTCGAGTGTAGAGCTAGAACACGGTCTGAGGGTGGTCGGTCTTGATTCAGAAGGAAAAAAAGGAAACACGAAAATGGGATGGCGGGCGATGTTTGTGGGAGCTATGCTTGGTCCAAAGTCAAATGGATGACCAAAGAAAAGGAAAGCTGAAACGGTGACAGGGAGCGAGCAGTGAGACAATGCGATGGGTGGCACGGCACACATGCAAAAGCTGGCGCTTTTCGATAGCTTGCAGATCGAGAATGGCGATGATGATGTCGATATCACTGGGGGCCACGAGATGCACTAGGATCCGGCGCAGGCAAACACGGGCGAGCAGAGACTGGCGACGGCAAAAAAGGCGGTCAACGTGTTTATCCACTGATTACGATGCTATGCAACACGACGACCCGGCCGCAAAGCTTCGTCCGGGCCTCCTCCAGGTAGGGAGGACAGGAGAAGGTCCTCAGGGGCAAGACGACGACAACTCGAAGCTCAACAAAAGGCGGACAGCCGCCGAGTCAGTTCCTCGACCAATGGACAGGCGTACTGCGACCGTGGCAAGGGGGCCATATTTGGTGGGTACGGACGGATTCATTGCTCCAGTATCCGATTACCTAGCCTATTGGCCTCACTAAGGTACCTACCTAACTACTACCTACCTGGTAGGGTAGGCCAGTACTGAACTAGAGGCCATCCCAAGCAGAAGCAGGGCAGGGTGGGCGACGATGATGGAAGCGGTGCATCATGATTGCCGCCTGCTGGGTCGACCTTTCGGTAAGGTACCTGGCGGCGAGTGGTGGCGGTGGTGGTCTGGTGTGCACAGTCAGCGAGCTGTCAGGGCAGGCGAGAGCTCTCAGGCACCTGCAGGCGCTGGAGAGTGATGACGATGGGATTTCGTAATTCTGATTGGGTGGACGCCCCCCTGTTGCTGGCAGCCCCTCTTCCGCTCCTGCTGATGACCTGACGAGGTGAGGGGCAGGAACAGTAAGGTTCCGGTCACAGGTGTCACAGGTTCGAGCCAGCCGACGCCGAGAAGATGAAGCTCGAGCTTGACATGCCGTGTCGGTGGAACACGGAAAATAAAACAAACTCTAGGCAGACCGACCGCCTGAACGTCCCAAGAATTACTGAAACCCCCGATTCGGCTTTGAATTTACCCCGCCGGGACAGAAGTGCGTCCACCTACAGTGGCCGATCACCGTCTCGTTATGAACAAGCGCAGCGCAACTCACAAACTCAGCCACAAGCCACCTTCCATAACCACTCCTTTCTTTCTCGAGATCCCGCTTATCGCAGGCCGCGCGTGTCACCCGACCCGAACACGACCGCCCGATCATGCTGCTTGCCAAGTTGCCCTTCCTCCTCCATATCCCCGTTGAAGCACTGGCTGCCCGGCAGTTCATCCTGCGTCCTGACACTCAGATCGCATCCCCATCGGAGGCCGCTGTCTTGGTGTGCCAGTTGCTCGGCGGCCTGTTGTTGAGCACAACCTTGCTCTGTATAGGTGTGCTCGTGGGTCCCAGTGTCGAGGGGCTTGTGCGATGGGCTGCTGCTTCGTTGGCGTTTTGGCATCTGTGGCCATGCTGGAGGGCCTGGGTGAGGATGACGTCTGGTGATGGAGGGAGAGAAGCGCAGCAAAAGAAGACGCTTGGAGGGCCAGTGGTCCATCTAGGGGTGCATGGGGGGTTGTGCCTGCTGTTTGTCGGGTCTGCTCTTCTGTGATAGTGTCGGACTGTAATCTTGTGCTGGTGGCCGACGACAAGGACTGCAACACAGGAACGAAAGGTGTCAAAGCTGGATTTTGACCACATAGATATACCACCTGCGACGATAGCACGCCGAACGCGCGCGCCTCGGAAGAATGAGAGAAACCCAAAACGACTGGTATTGTTCTACTACACCGAGGCCTAGCTCCTGAACAACCTGAGCCCTTCCTCCTCCGCATTGCCATCTTCCATCTCCTCATCACCACCCTCGGCTTCGGCCAGCACCATCCTCTGTCCAAACAGGGTGCCGAACAGCCGGTCGATGGCTTCTTGCTCCCACGTCCGTCGATCCTCTGGCGCCATAAAGTTTTGCAGCTTCTCGTGGATGTTGAACCGCATCTTCCTCCCCTTGCTCGCACGCCTGTCCACGTGCTTCTTCGTCCTCGCCTCCTTCATGGCAGCCCACCTGACCGTCGCCAGCGCGCCGCCGCTCGCCTGCGCGGCCGTCTCGTCGGATGTCCTCTGCTCCACGAGCTCCTTGAGCAGGAGCTGGTAAAAGTCCGCGTCGTCGTACACCGAGGCGTCCTCGTTGACTTTGGCGGCGACCTGGACGGGGGCGCACGAGCGTGGTGTGCGCGCGCGCTTGATCAGGCGGTCCGAGTTGAGGAGCTGGTCCTCGAGGGACGCGACGAGTGACTGCTGCGATGAGATGAGGTTACGGGACTTGACCTCGACGGTCGCGTTGCGCGTCTTGGAGGACCACGTGTCGAGGACCTTGCGTCGGTGCTTGGCGGCGCGGGCATCGGTTTCCTGGAGAGCAGCCCAGAGCGCCTCAGTCGAGGTGTCGCGCTTGCGCTTCTTGTCGGGCGTCGAAGACGACGAGGATGCCGAGGCGCTGGGGACGAGCGTGGCGCGGACGCTATCAAGTGTGCCGAGGAGCTTGAGCGCGGCTTCCTCGGCGGCCGAGTACGGCTCCGCCTCGTCGTCGCCGACGGCATCGAAAGCGGAAAAGGAGTTGGTCGCGACAAGGGCTTTCTGCAGGCGGATGCGGATGTTGAGCAGGCCGTCAAAAGTCTTGCGCTGCTGGCGAACGGCGAGGCCCTTTGCGGCGTCTTGTTGGACGGCGGCCGAAATGGTGGCGACGAGGGCCTTTTGCCCTTCGTTCATGAGCTTGCGCTGCTCGGCACGGGCATCGGCGGCGCGGGATGACTTTTTCAGTTTCGGGGCCTCGTCGTCTTCGTCTTCGTCATCGTCTTCTGAGCCCGAGGCATCCTCATCCTCTTCGTCCTCGTCTTCGGGGTCTGAATCGTCGTTGATAAAGCCGTCGAGGTCAGAGTCGCCCTCTTCGTCTTCGTCGTCCTCGTCCTCGTCGCCGCTGCCTGACTCGCCAGACTCCTCCTCGGCCTCGACGTCCATAAGGTCGACACCGCCGGAGCCGTCGCTGTCGTCATCTTGTTCGTCGCCTTCCTCGTCTTCGGAGCCGGAGATGAAGTCCGCCGCTGTCGGCCTCTTCTTCCTGTCTTTCTTATTCTTGCCCTCATGAGGTTTCGAGCTGCCTCGGAAGACAAACTTGTCGAGCTTTTCATCGTCGCTGTCACCGAGCGCATCGTCGCTACTGATCTCGGCATCCTCTTCAGCCCGGGCCTGATCAACGGCTAAATCAGCCGTCTCGGGGTCGTCGTACTCCTCAGCGTCAGAGTCGAAGTCTTCCTGTGCATCCTCAAAGTCTTCGCTGCCTTCGTCGCTTTCCTCAAGGGCCTGACGGCTGACGCGGGAGCCACGGTACTGGGGGCCGAGAGAGATATTTTCCTTCTGGCGGAGCTTGCTCTTGCTGGAGGGGGTTAGCTGCTTCTCGCCATGCTAGAATGAATAATCGAGGACGATGCCAAGGATACATACCCAACGTTGAGGTAGTGTTCGGTGCCGGCAAGATCTGCGCCCTCATCTTCGCTGCCGCTGCCGCTCAGGTCGTTCTCGCCAGCCGAGTCGGCTTCAGGATCGTAGTCTGCAGGGGTTTGTTAGGCGCGCAAGATTGAAGAAACTTCATGTAGAGACCATACCCTTGACAGTCTTCTCCTCAAACTCTTCGAATCGCTTTGGGCGGGCCATTTTGACTGAGCGTACTGGTGGTGTATGCAGCTTCGCAGTACTCGAACTGGACCCAAAAATTCATGCTACTGAACTTTTTGGTGGTGAAACCCGGCAGAAATCCAACCCCACTTTGACACAGAAACTCGACGAGATGCATTGAGAGATTACCTAAGACCCAGAGGAAACGGTTAAGCTTGGGCCAGCTCCATCGCGGTCGACATTCCGCTGGACCGTGCTCTTAAACATTACAGGCCTGGCCTAAGGGGATGCATCAGACTTGTACGTCTGTCGTCAGCTCAAGTCGGTCAATTTCACTCTCATAGTGAGCTGGTAGTCAATGGCCAGAGCAGAAGAAATCAATCAAATGACAGACACAGAACAACCCAGGACGGAGCATTCTGTGCTGGACCTACGGACGATTATGTAAACAGCCTCGGCTTCTTATCTCTCCGGTCACGTGGTTTGGCGCTCGAGGCACAGCGGAAGATGAGCGCCACTGCTATTGTCCGTCACTCTCTCGTCTCGCGTTCTCCTAGGGCCTCACCTCAAGACCCAATCCCGACGCAGCCGCGCAGTCGCAGAACGGCGAGACCGAATGCCATGGAGCAGATCGAGACGCAGGTCAGCGACCTGCGCTACCTGACCCAGGCACCCGTCCCCTTGCCTGCAGACCGTCAAGGCCACGGCGGCACAGGCACAGGCACAGGCACAAGCGTGGCCAACGTCGCAGGCGGCCCAGCCTTTTCTCCACACAATCACCCAAATCATTCGACGCATTCACCTCTTTCCGCGTCCGTCGGAGACAATTCCGCCCACCTACCAGGGGGAGGGGGACTGTCCGAAGTCGCCAGTCTTGCTTCGCCTGCCGCTGGTACAAAGAGAAAGCCAGATGATGACGAGGGTGTAGGAGGAAAGCAGCAGCGGAGCAAACGGAATAGAGTAAGTCGTGTGTCGTCCTTGTTTCCGTCTTGCCGGTTCATGTTGTATCATGACCTTGTACAACCTGCCTCACAACATGTTACCACCCGCCACCCCCTTGCCCTGTCTGTCCTGTTACGAACAATGACGAGACCCTACTTGAGTACCCTGACTTGATGACTGACCTGTGTTATGTAGTACATCTCCATTGCTTGGTGAGGACGAGCCATTTCCTTTCATTGATGGTACCCTACCCGTTCCCCCTTTCCCCTGCTAACTTTCCCCGAAGCAACGAATGCAAGCGGCGCAAGATCAAATGCAATGGAGAAACACCATGCCAACGATGCGGCAACCTCAATCTGGCCTGTCTCTATGCGCCGAACTGCTGCTCCAGCACATTCAAGGACTCGGAAGAGTACCGACGGATGACGGACCAAATGTCACATCTCCAAGAGCAGGTTGAGAATCTCTACCAAAGTATGAACACCCTCCGCACGGAAACTCTACGACTCGCACCAATCAACGACAAGATTCTTCCTCTGCCCTCTAGCACCATGGCTGCTTCACCGGCAAGCTCGCTCTCCAGCCACCGGCCTGATATTGCTCATGCCAGACCTCCTTCCTTCAGAGGCCCCACGAGCATGGCCTTTAGCCTCGATGTCGCCAACAATACGATTCACAACATGGGCTACAAAGGCATTGGAGACGGAGACGACAATCACGCGCCGTCCGAAGATGCAAATCCGCGGGTGCCATCGGCCAATGCTGGATCAGATCCACTGTGGGAGTACGGTCGTGATGAGATCATCCGCCTGTGCCGCCTGCACGAGGAGGAAGTCGGCATCATGTACCCCGTCGTCAAAATCCAGACCGTCATGGACCACGCGCGGAACCTCTGTGCCGCGATCGAGTTGGCTAAGCAGCAGGGCGAGACGCTCGATTTCGAGGACACGCCGACCTTGCAACTGAAAATGCTCATGTGCTGCGCGCTGGTCGTGGAGGAACATGGTCACAGTGAGAGAGCTGTCCGCCTCTATGACAGCATGGAGGCAATCGTCAACAGGAAGCTCATGGTTGACGGCTGCGACTTTGCCAACCTGCCTCTGCTAGCCCTGCTCGCCGGGTACCGATTCCTGTCCAATGACGAGATTCTAGCCTGGCGTGTCATGGGCCAGGTTGCGAGGTTGTGTCTAGAGTGGGGGATTCATCAGAGGACTGGGCTCATGAAGATCCACAACGAAGAGGAGAGAAAGAATGCTCTCAATAGCTTCTGGACGGCATACATGCTGGATCGCCGCTGGGCTTTTGGTACCGGCCTGCCATATGTTGTGCAGGATGAGGATATTGATCCTGAGCTCCCCATGCCGGTAAGCTGAAGACCCACGAGTACGCTCTGCGGGCCACTCACTGACGTAACTCCTGACAGGACGAGTATCCATATCTCATTGCCATGATCACATATTCCAGGCTCTGTGCCAAAGTCTGGCGGCAAGTTGCCCACTTTGGCCCTATTCTCGCACGAGAGCTTAGGCAACACGACATGGAGCAGCTCGATCAAGAGATCTTGCAGTGGTACGAGCGTGTTCCCGAAGAGGTCAAGCTGCGCAATTGGGATAAGGAGAAGCAGATGACCACAACGCCATCCTATAATCTCCAACGACTTCGTATTTGGACATATCTCCGGCTCAATCAGGTATGCCTCACATGATGTGATGAAGCCATCAAAGATTGCTGACCCATCTCTCCCAGATCCGCACTTGGCTATACACGCCAATCCTGCACAGTGCCACCAGCATCATGGGCAACCTTCCGCAGGCCCATCGAGTCGTTGATCTGGCCAAAGATACGATCCGCTACCTGAGTCACCTAAACAATACGACCAACCTGTACCGCAAAATGCAGGTCTTTTACCACCAGTTCCTCACGTCGGCGATAGCGGTCCTGTTTCTGGCGTCAGTCCACGCCCCCGTACGCTTCAGCACGTCTTGCCGAGATGAGTTCTACATGGCGCTAGAGCTGGTGAAGGACTTGTCGGCCAAGAGCTGGGTTTCGAAGCGTCTCTGGCGGACGATTGGATCGTTGAAGGAGGTGGCTCCTCGCATTGGCCTCAGGCATAGCCAGGAGGACGACCCGCATAGCACTGCAGCTCTGACTATGGCTGGTCTGGCCACGGGAGGACGACTTTCGACAACGAGTCCTACGCCCATCAGTCCTTTTGGCCGACCGTCAATTTCATCCACGACGCCGATCCAGACGCAGCAGACAACCCCTCACATGGAGCATGCGCAATCGCCCAATAACGGCACGCGAATTCAGAGCGAGATGAGCCGGATTTTCGAAGGCTACGTGGCTGTCAAAGGATTTGCTGGTCCCGAGCAAGGGTACAACGGTCCGCCGAGCGCTGGCTTATCGACACCCAGCTCCGGAGGCGCCCCGACAAATATCTTCACACCCAGCGAGACAACCGTGTTCCAACACTTTAGAGAAATGTTTTGAGCTCGTCGCGCTCTGTAGTGTCTAGATCCAGCCTCCAGCATATACCCAATGAACAGATTCAACCCGAACAGACGAGTCATAAGCCGACACTGGTCTCTGCATCATCATGCTCCCATTTCCGTGACAAAAGTGGGCAGCTGTGTACCACAAAGAAGTGGACAGCGCAATCTTCACATGGCAGCCGTTCGCTGGCAGGGCATGAAAGGAGAATAATCCCGACTCCTGTCGTACCGATTGCACTGCAGATCCCATAGACTAACTGCACGAGGGTGTCATGGTGCCTGGTAACAACCCAGACGATCCAATTACGTTTCAAAGACCGCACATCTCAACGCCTCGGCGGCCTCGATGCAACATGAATCAACTCCCGAGGCCTACTGCCGATGTGCCACCTCTCTTTGCCAACAAGTCGACATTTTTGGCAAAACACCAGAATACCACTGACCCCGACCGCGATCCATTTGGTTAATCATGAAAAAGGGCCGCCTGGCCGTTTGAGGTCTAACTCTCGACTTCATCAGGCAAGACGGTAGGATATGCGCCGGGCGATGCGCAGCCGAGGCACCCGACTCCCCACGGGACAACCCCTTGTCATTTCAAAGAAATCATCCACGAGGTGCGGGGATGGATGTGTTTGGGGATGAATGCCAGCCCTATAAATATGGGACCGATCGTGATGAGAGGATACGAGTCTCGAGAACGATTCAACAGAGACTGAAGCTTGTAGGCTCTCATCCTGACATTTTAAGCACGACCCATACTTATCTGACCTCTATTTCACCGTGATAATATGCACGCCCTCAGCCTCGTCCACGGCCTCGCCGGGCTCCTCGCCGCCTCCTGCGCCGCCGCCCAGCAGCTGCAGACCATCAACAACTTCGGGTCCAACCCCACCGGTTTGACGATGCAAGTCCACGTCCCTGCCAATCTCCGACCGTCGCCAGCCGTCATCCTCGCACTGCACGGGTGCGGTGGCAGCGGCCAGGGCTACGCCCGGCAAGCCGACTACACGACGCAGGCCTCGTCGCGCAACTACATCGTCATCTACCCGTCGTCCCGGCGCGACTTCAACTGCTGGGACGTCGCCACTCCAGCGTCGCTGACGCACGACGGCGGCGGCGACAGCACGGGCCTCGCCAACATGATCCGCCACGTGCTGACGGCGTACGGCGCCGACGCCGCCCGCGTCTTCGTCACGGGCACCTCGTCCGGCTGCATGATGACCAACGTCATGAGCGCCGCGTACCCGGACCTCGTCGCCGCGGCGTCGTGCTACTCGGGCGTCGCCGCCGGCTGCCTCGCCGGCTCGCCCGGCAGCAGCCCCATCAGCGCCGACCCGACGTGCGCCAACGGCCAGATTGCCCTGTCGGACCAGGCGTGGGCGGCGCGCGCGCGCAACATGTTCCCCGGGTATGCGGGCGCGTACCCGCGCCTCCAGACGCTGCACGGCACGGCCGACACGCTCGTGCGCATCCCCAACCTCGACCAGCAGCTGCGGCAGTGGGCTACCGTCAAGGGGCTTTCGTTGACGCGGAACAACACCAACACACCGCAGAGCGGGTACACGCAGATTGTGTACGGGGACGGCACCCAGCTTGTCGGCTACTCAGCGCAGGGGGTGGGGCACACCGTGCCTGTCAATGTCGGGCTTGACCTGCGGTGGTTCGGCCTGTGAGGGCTGCACGTCGTCTGCGCGTCAATCTATAGGGAGACGTCCTAGTCAGGCTTGGTGAGCCACGAGGGGTTGGGGAGCGGCCGTGGTGGATGCAACGGAATGGATGGGCAGGCAACTTCGTTGCAAGCGCTGTAAGTCTGAGTAGTGCATATTGGAAGTAGGGTTGAATACATATTGTGAGATTAGGAGCTGTCATATGGAAGGCCATGTGCTTTTGATATTAGCGGTCTTGTCCAAACATGGGTTGAAATATTAAATGGCCACGGGAGCATGTCGCTGAATCCACATAGGGCAATGATTCTTGAACGGCCGTGTTCTGAAAATGATGGGTGTATTTCCCTTGCACCCTCGTACAATCAAACGTCTCTAGGTGCACTCAAGTAAATATTGCGGCTGCCAGCCATTAAGTCTAGTCAATATCATGCTAAAACGACGCTCGAAACATCTCCCCACCTAAGGGAGGTCATTCGTGATCTCTCTCGTCTTGTCGGCTGTCGACTCGGCCCCCGCGGGCTTGCTCTTGTCATCGTCGTCCTCGTACGGTGTGGCGCCCATAAATCGCCAAACATCTGCCACCATGAGGGTCTCATCCGTCTCCTGCTTGTGGAAAAGAAGCTCGGTCTTGCCGTCGCCAAAATGTGTGATAGATTTGTCCTGTCCTCATGTCAGCCGTGCTTTCCAAAACCATAGCAGAAAACTCTATTCTGTTCTTTAATGACGTACGAGACCGAGGGTCAGCTTAATGACGCCGTCCATAAAGTTGACCTTGTACTTGTGCTTGGGCGGCTGGCCGCGGAGAGCGAGCGTCACGTTGTCTGCTGCATACATGGCCTGCTTCATGGCTGCGCGGGCGTTGGCGTTCTTGACGCCAAACTCAATAACGTCACCGCAGGCGTAGATGTTGGGGAGGGCGTCGTCGTCAATCTGCATTGTCGGCTTGACGCGGATGTGGCCGGAGGGGGTGATGGCGTTGGGGGCCAGGTCCTTGAGCAGACCCGACGAAGGCTTCTGGCCGACGGCGCTGACCTGGGGGCAAGGTCAGAAACTGCGAACAGACCAAGCAGAAACTCAGGAACACTCACACAGAAATCGCACGCGACTTTCTTTCCGGAACGAAGCGTCACGAACCCGGAACTGACATCCTCGCTCTCAGTCCGCTCCTCCAGCAGGACGTCGATGCCCATCTCCTGCATAGCCTTGAGCGATGCGATCTGCAGCTCGGGGCCGAAACGGTGCATGACGGCACTGCGCGAGTGCACAAGCGTGACCTTCTTTTCGGGGTAGAGCTGCTTCGCGTCGGTAGCGAGCTCGACACCGGCGGCGCCACCTCCGACGACGACGAGGTTCTTGGAAGCCTTGATGCGCTGTTGCATGTCACGCAGGAGCTGCGCGCCCTCCTTCTTGCCAACGGCACCGACGCGCGAGGGCAGCGTGAGACCGACGCCAGCGCCGGTAGCAATGACGAGGTAGCTGTAGGGGATGGTCTCGCCCGTCTCCTCAATGGTGACAGTCTGGCGGTTGATGCTGGCGGCGGTGCCGTGGACCCAGCGAACGAACTCTTTGGCCGGGGCGGGGATGTAGGGACCCAGGGGAATGAACGTCTTGTCCTCGTGGCCCTCGACGACGCAGAAACGGGGCAGAGTCCAAGTGAACTGGTAGTGGTGCTTGGGCTCAATTATGACAATGCGGTAGCGGCCGTTGAGGGGGAGGCTGGTGGCGATGAGACGGGCAGCGTGGTAGCCGGCAAAGGAGGCCCCAACAATGACGATGTTCTCGGGTTCGGCATCATTCTCGACATCTTTAGCGGAGGTCGAAGGGTTCTGAAGACGGCCAGCGGCCCACGTGCGCTTCTGATGTTCGAGGAGGGCGGCGATGGCGATATAGACGAGGCGAAGGAACAGGACGCCCTTCTTGACGCTGGTGACGGCAGCCATGGTGTGGAGTGAGGTGACACGGGAGATGTCACTTGGTCAAGAGATAGGGCGATGGGTGGTGAAAATGTGGTCAAGGAATGGATGATCTCGCCAAGGATGATCGCAGGTGTGGAAGTAAAGGTCACAACCAAAAGGAGAAAGAAAAAAAAATATGCTCAGTCGGCTGTTTGCCCAGAAAAGCAGGAGCACTCGGTAATAGCTATAGCTAAAGACGGGATACAACAGCAGCAGCGACACAGAATTGACAGGCAGGAGCTAGGCAAGCTATGAGCTCGCGAGGCAGGCGCACCCGAGAGCCGGAGGGGCAGGGGAAGGAGGGTCCCCCTCCCCTGGTCCCCAGCCAGGTTGGACTTATCAGATGCTTATCAGATGATCAGATTAGATGGCTAGATCAAAGCCACACAATGCAGTGCCACCCCACCCGGGAATTGGCTTCTGACAGGGTCCACTGCCATTGGTCTGCTCGCCGAACTTCGCAGACGACCACCCCTGGAAGCCTTTTTTTCCCTCTGCCTTTTTCCACCCTAGTGCATCCAAGGCCCCCCTCCCACCCCTTCTCGTCTTGCTCTTTCTGTCAATCCTCGCGTGATTTTCGCGCGGTTTTTTTTTTCTTGCTCTTCGTCTCCAGCTGAGGCGCCTGTGCGTTGGCCCCTCGGCCGAAGCTAGGCCCTCCAGGATGCCCGCGTCAAGCCGAGGCCATGGTAAAACGACCGCTCTCCGATGAGTCGACGAAGGTGTCTTTCAAGGTGTGATATTGGCAGTGAAAAGCTAAGGCATCGGATCGTCCGGCAGGCGATCATCGGTGTCATGCAACTTCGAAGCTTGTTATGACGAAAACCTCATCTGCACAGGGCTTACAGGGGTGGTAGAACATCATGACATTAATTACTTCATACGCCGTGGGAATCATCGAGTCAGCTACACGCTCCGCCTTATCCACCCGCCTCTTCGCCTAAGCGACGACCTCCTTCACCTCGACCGCCACCTCGGTCACCTTGACCTCGGTCTTGTCTGCAGCCGCAGCAGCAACGACGACAGGGGCAACAAGAGCAGCCGCCGCCGCCGCCGCCTTGGCCTTCCGCACGTCGCTGAAAGAAGGGTAGTCCGCTGCGCGCCACTCCTTGAAGGTGAGGCCTGCCGCCGCCAGGGGCATCTTGACCATGAGGGGCACCTCAATGTCGTTGGGCGTGCCAAAGACGGCCGCCTTGTGCACAATCTTGTCCTCGAGCGTCTCGTAGCCCATCTTCTCGTACAGCTTGTAGGTCGAGGGCGAGGCCTCGAAGTACAGAGGCAGGCCGAGGCTGTCGCTCAGCTGCATGCCCCACTGGCACCACAGCGCGCCCGCCTTGCGGCCCTGGAACTTGGGGTCGATCGCAATCACATGGACATCTGCAGCTGTCAGCATCGACATTCACCGTGACGGGTGACAGGAAAAGGGAGGAAGAATGATGACTTACAGACATACTTGCGTCCACCAAACAGCTTCTCACGCGCATCGTGCAGAGGCTTCAGCACGGCCTCGGCCTTCTCACGCTGCTCGCCCTCAAGCCAGCCCACGCCCTGGAAGGCCCTCTCTTCCTCGGTCCTCTCGTTCAGGTAGATGTCGCCAAGTGCCATGCCGACAATCTCACCAGTCTCCGTGTCGACGCACTTGTATGTGTACTGCACCTTGCTCTGGTGCCACCACGCCAGGGTGCCAGCAGAGTGGGCCTTGCGGAACTCCTCGCCCTCGACGCCGCCGGGGAACAGAAGCTTGACCATAATGTCACCCATCAGGTCGCCCTTGAAGGCCGAGAAGTAGGCATCGTACACCTTCTCGATGTCGGGGATCAACGCGGGGAGGATGGCGTAGCTCATGGTGGGCTGGCTGTGGAACGCTCGCTGACAGTGAGGTATCTTTTTGTGGTGCGACTGCGATGTGGGTGGAATGCGAGGTGATCGGCAAGGCGATGGGTTGGGTATGCGTGTAGGGTCTCAGCTGAAGAGGAGTTCGTCCGACGGTGTCTCAACCTCTACCATGCGGGTGGGTAGACGACTAAATACCGTCAACCTCAACCTAACCGCCTCCTTCAGCTCCGCACATCCGCCTCCCGTCTGATCCGAATCTTTCACCTCGAGCAAGGGAAGCAAGCCAGACCCCTCCTTTCTCGCCACGACTTCCTCCTTGGCCGTTGCTCATCGTACCCTCCCTCGCTTCTTCCTGCTGGTCTTGGTCTGGGTTTTGGTCTGGGCGCAACCGCCGGGACTGAAGAACGCCACTATGGAACAGGGCGAGCACAAGCGGGTGCGCCATCGCGGAGTGCGGCGACCAAGGTAGCCCAGCGGCAGAGCCCTGTCGAACGAAGAGCCCGCCAAGCGGCCTACCAAGAATGGTGGGTTTCTGAGTTCCCCCCACCCCACCCCTTCTTCGTCCTCGTGTCGGCAAAGGTGAGCGTGAAAATTACCCGCTCGACAGAGTTATCAGATTGTGAAAACCACCTTCCTTACCAGGGAACCCTGTACAAGGCGCGCCTCGTGTTGTATGTATGAGTTCCGCCGGCTTGTGAGTGGGTTGGCGCCACGCGTGCCTAATCTGGTCTGGTCATCCGGACTAGCCTCGCCAAGACAGATTATCTGATCCGCTCTTGGTGCCGTTTGTCCATGTCCGACATTCGGCGGTCCGGTCACCCCTCCGGAGCGGACGCCATATTGGGCCGAATGACCTTAGCGAAGGGTGGAACGTTGGAGTCTTGGGTCTGACGCTTGCAGAATGTGGCTTGCAGGACCGCTGTGTGGAGGGGGCACAACCATGTGCCTTGCGTCCGCCGAGGCTTTATCCTCACTCGCCTTTTCTTTCCTTCCCATCACACTTTGACTGTTTCGGGCCAGGGTACGAACGCCTCCCAGGATTCGAGGCCCATGATCTACATGGCGATGGCTCAGTTGAAAATTGTTGTCGCTACCTGAACCTCTTGGCACTCACACATGTTGACATCGTGTAATTGCTGACTGACACATAGGCGGGCGCCAAGTAGTGTGAACTGACAGAGTCATGCATATACCTGCAGAGTCGAAAGAAGCAATGCAATCGCAGCATGCTACAGAAACTTGTCCATCCGATCTTCCGTCTAGCCGAGGACTGGAACCTGCCATTTTGCATCGCTACACGCCCTTCAGCCCTGGCGCCTCGCCCAGCTGCCTATCCACCCTTTACCAGGTGATTTCTGCCGATCTCGCCCGTTCCGATCGTGTCCGTCGTGATCGAGCCCTCACCACCCCTCCCAGGGAGGAGTACCACTATGAACCCTAGATATCCACCTTCGGGACGCCCGCCGTGCTGGGAACATGGGCTACGGCGGGCCGCCGAGCGGCTGGACTCCCTTGCTTACGAGGGGCCAACAGAACCCAACTTGGCGGCGAGGGCCTTGATGGGGGCTGGGCTGATGCTGTGCAGCTCGCTCGGCACCTAGCTGGTTCTTGGTGATGGTGGGCTGGTGGCAACGTGGCGCGAGGGCACGTTCCGGACGGGTGAACGTGGACATGGGGCTGGTAGCCTAATGTTTCCCCACGAGCTCTATGCTCGTCGGTAGTCTCAAGCCATGAATCCTTCGATTTGTCTATGTATGTTCTGGGCAATCCTTCAGGCAAGTTCTTCTCATCGGCCGAGATATATTGGATAGCTCGGCGCCGAGGGCTTTGAATTGAGCTGTTTCTCGACGGTAATTGTTCCGTTGAGATGTCCTTGCTGTGGCGCCCACTACGGATCGACACTGATCTTTGAGTGACAGAGGCCTCCTGACCTTCACACTTGAGATCAAGCGATGTGAAGAGCCGACTGTATGGTGTGGCACCATTTGTACGATAAACGCCCGTTCAAGATGCGCAAGCCCACCAATCCAGGGTTTCGACACTCTGTTCTGGCCCACCAGTCTTCACCCACATCTTGCATCTAGACCTTGCTCATGTTACAGGACATGTGCCCAGTAACCATGTGCCAGCCATAACCATTAAGTGTACTAAGGGTACAACATCCCATATACCCACAATACCTTGAATTCGCCCCTCGGCTGCCAATGAACAAAGGAGCCATACCCTTCTAGGCCGTACCCTCCGGCCCGCTGCCGCTGCAGGGCAGCAGATCTACAAACCATGCCCCGACGACCCCGAAGAGACCGGGGTCTCCGGGAGTCTCGGCGCCCCGGTTCCCCGGGTCCTCAAGCCTGTGTGCCAACCGCACTAACTTGTCTTGGGTAAAATATCCCGGCCGAGGCCGTCTTTCACTTTTCGAATGCAACCCCGAGACACGGACCTTCCTTATTCGATGGGGTGCGACATTGGCCGTGAGCGCATCATCATGCATGTTCGAGCATTGGACTCGAGCTTAAAGTGCTTTAGGTTTTTTGACGACTGCAGATCGACGGAGTTTTGAACATGCCGTTGAGAAGTGGATTTGCGGTTTCCGTCACCTCTCATGATGTGACCTGTTTACCAGCGCGCAGAAGGAGGTATGTGAGGTTCGATCAGTAGGGGTAATTGATGAGGATACATGCGCTGTTGATTGAAAACTATCCTCGTGGGAAGCGATGACAAGCCCTGGGGACCGTCGGAGCCTCCGAAACCAACTCCGCCTTCACGCTGCAGATGAAATCTGTTACCGGATCTGCAGGAAATAGATTGCTCCCCCCGGCCCTCTCTTGGTTCTGTATCAGGAAAGAAATGTCATCCGGATGCAAATTAAGGTTTTCGGAGTATGTCTGGCCGGAGGTTTTGTATGGAAGCCGAAGCCCCCGTGGAACCCCAGATAAAGATGGATTGGGAGACGATCTTCGTCACTCAGCCTCCCGCCAGCTTGTCCTTCTACAACCAGCATGTGAAAGGATTTTTATCGATGTGCTTGCTCCTACGACGTCGGCCGAATGGATGCGGCAATTGGCCTACAAGCCAAATTTGTGAAACTTTCGTAGCCAGCAGAGTACCAAAGGAAACCGACGCCAACCGGATCAATGACTATTCTAGAAGAGTCCGATGCACAGTATCGCGTGCACCGATCATTCCCAGCTTCGCGGCAGCAAAACTTCCATGCACATCACTTTTTCCGAGTTGTATGGATACTGATTCACCTCGCAGTACGGCATCTGGCTTCGGCATCTCGGCTCGCCTGCGTGGCCCGCTCGTCTCAGCATCTACCGGTGTGTCTTCACAACAATGCCAGCAGGATGAGGAGATACCTCTCAGCGTCGACTCCGCCGTCAGCCACTGGGTCGAGCGCAGAGGTATACCCAAGCTCTGAACCTTACAGTTGCAGCCATCGTCTGCAGCGTTTTCGGATGCTCGGAGACCTCGATCGATAGTGTTCGCCTCTCACGGATGACCTTTTCTGCAGTCCGCCTTGCGGTCGCCTTGAGGTTTGTCATGGGCTCCTATCATGTCATCGGAATACGACTCTTAAACCATTTGCCTCCCATCACCAGTCAGCTTTTCACTTCAGATCTCAGTTCATTGACATGTCTTGTATTTGCATTGCCTTTTCATCCGGCTTTCGGTAACCATGTTGAAACTTCAGCATTTGAGCAAGGAGAGGCTTAATGAGGCGCAGTGCCATGACGCGCAACACCTGTCTCGCCTGACTGAGAAGCGGTTTCTTGGCTAAGCGAACGCGAAGACGGCAAGTATCGTTTCTCGTGAGAATATTCTTCTTTTGGACAATCTTCATGATGCCAAGGATTCGGCGGAGCGGCCGAACTAACACCATATAATTGTCAATTGAATCCAATGAAGCGACACACAAGCATGCAAGGGACTGTGTCAAACCGGTACGTAGACATTGTCGAAGGCCAGCCAAAGCATATTGGGCGGAGGCAATACGACAAGAGATACGACCTGCTGCATAAGTATATTCACAACAAGGTCTAGGAATGATTCATATTTGAATGCCGCAAGCGATGCCGAACGGAGTATATGAAAGCACTGATGCTATGGCATATTCCTCTCAGGATTTCGCGTTTGGACCGAACTAAATGGGGACATCTCTTCGACCTCTTCTAACGACACCGCAGTCTCTCACTGCGGTCTCTCCAATTGAGCTTTGCCTCCTGGGAAGTGTGCAGACGAAGCTGCAGAGTGAACGGTCTGCCCACCAAAGGCCCTGAGAGGCTTCATGCCTCGTGGTACACAGTGGCTATTGCATACGAGCTTATGAAGTCTTCGAAGAATGCGACAGTTGGTAAGTGAGCCTTATCTTGAACTGTATCTCGACTACCTAATCTCATTACGGGGTCCCCAAATTGTGCCTCCCTACCTACGTCAGGATCATGCCATAGCGAGTCACCTTCAATTTAGCAAAAGCCAATTTGTCATTTTTGTCGAAACTTTGGTACCGGATCCAACGATTCCGTCTCGGGCGAAAGGCTCACCCCTAGCTTGCCTCCACCTGCTGCGGTCGCAGTCGCGGTTGAAGTCGACATCGTCAGACTCTTTCGCACCGGGGTTTCGGCCAACCCTCGCCGAACCTCGGATTTGTAAGTCGGAAGTGAGCAATAGGCTTAGAGTCGGCTAAGCACAAGCCTAGTCTCAATGTTAGTAGAGCGTTGAGAACGCCCGCACAGAGACTGGCATGCTTGCCCACGTGCAAAGAAAAAAAGACCATGCATCCCTTGGCAAGGGACACGAGTACGCAAATGTCGGTACGGTGGTTGAAAAAGAACCACACGTGGGCAGCTTGCTTTCGCAGCTCCATTGAGGCGCAGATCAATCAGCATTGCAAAAAGAGGCCCCGAAAAGCTAAATTGATGAAGGCAGATGACAATTCCTCCACCTCCGTCGGGGATATACGCATGACGACGAGTCAGGGGTGGCCCAAAGATAGAAGATTCACAGAACCGTGCCTCTTCCCAAAACAACGGGAGCTGAAGCCCTAATCAGTTCGTCCACTCTATCTGTAATGAGCGTATCTAGGCCTTGGTTCGTTTCAAGCTCTGCGAAATTTAGGGCAACCCAGCGCGACATGTTTGCGATTGGTCGTTTGCACTCGAGGGCCAGTCTGTGCTTGGGGACGGAAATGTGCGCGACAAACTAACCTAGGGGCATTCCGTCAATTGGGCACTCTGTCGGTCAAAGGCTGGCATCATTGCAGCTGCCGACGGAAGATCCGACAAGTAGTGATCTAGGTGTCATAGTCGTCGTCGTCGTCAGCAGCAGTGTCGCCAAGACCAGGCATACAGCCAGAGAGCCTTTCTCCTTGCCTCAATCCCGGGCCCGTCGCAGCAAGCGACAAGCACAGCGGGCGTACAATCATCTGCCGGGGTCCAGGCAGCAAGAAATCAACAATGAAGGCCTCTTGGCATGGCATTGGTGCCAAGACGCAATCATCTCGAGTCGGCCACAAGTGTGAGGGGAAAATGGAGGCTCAAGTCGCCTGGCAACACTTGAGCACCGCTCAAAGCCAAGGCCACAGGAACAAAACGAACGAGGGGCAGTGCAGAGAACACAAGCGCCAAGACCCTGCGATAGTGGACGGACTCAAAGTGAGCTCATTCCCGCGACACTGCCCCCTAGACTGCCGCCCCGCTAGTCGTGTCCTAGACCGATGATCCAAGGATGCCCCTGGACTGACAGGTGCCGAGACCATGTGCTATTGGCTCCCCCACAGCCTTTTTACTCGAAGAACCCGAGGGTTCAGGACCGCACAGCTCACGCGCTAGGTACTCTGTGGTGCCCGTTGTCCGGGGTCCGCGATGTTGGGCATTGCAGATTGGATTGACTGGCAGACCACCATGGAATCTGCCGGGTCGGCGGGGATCGTAGAGAGCGCTGTGCTGAAGCTCCGTCGTCCATGCTGCTCTTTGCCTGTAACATGGGATGAGGAGCTAAGGGCACAAGTCCACAGATCGCCCAGGGGTGGAGTTTATGCTGCCAAGACTGACAAGTCGTGTTGCGCGCGCGCGACCGCCTCGTGCGTGACGTTTGTCGCTGCTCCCCATTTCGCTCACACGGCAGGCAATGGAGATGAAGGACAAGGGGCCCCGCGTCGTGATGGCACCTCATCTTTGCCCACGATGACGATACTATAAGACGAGCGACGATCCTCGCTCTACTGACCTGCAACAGTCTCGCTCGGCACACCAGTCTTCACCCATCTCCATCACATCTCAGCTTTGAAACATCCGATCAGCGTCTCAAGACCATAACTTTTTTGTCTCACTTCACACCCCGCAAGTAACTTCGTACTCCTCCACCATGAAGTTCTCGATCCTCGGCGCCTTGGCTGCTGCCTCGACCGTGTTGGCCTGTCCCGGCCATGAGAACAGCGTGCCCATGGGCGTCATGAAGCGTCAGGAGGGTGCGCCGCCGCCGCCTACCGACTGGGCCTACGAGGCATCCTTCAACTGGGGCCGCATCAACGAAAGTATGCGAACTCCCTTCTCAGAGATGGCCAGCTCCGATACTAACATGCTCACCCAGACTACACCCTCTGCCAGACCGGCACGCAGCAATCACCCATCGCGCTGAGCCTCAGCAACGGCCTGTCTCTCAACCACCGGCCGAAGTTCAACTACCCGACCAACGTGACGGGCAATTTCTTCAACTGGGGCTACGGGCCGGCCTTCACCATCACGCACCCCGAAGGCGTCTACACGGGCAACCCGTCCTTCACGTACGACAACAAGACGGTCTACATGGTCGGCTGGCACATCCACTCGCCGGCCGACCACACGGTCAGCGGGCGCCGCTCCAAGTCGGAGATCCACTTTGTGCACGTCGACGCCGCGGGCCACGAGGCCGCCGTGCTCGCCTTCCGCGTCGACCCCGGCACCGAGGACGACGCCTTCTTCACGCAGCTGCCGCCCATGATCGGTTTCAGCGAGACGGGCACGGAGGTCGAGGCCACGCTCAACCTCAACCTCGCCCTCGACGGCGTCGCCCACTTCAACGAGTTCTGGACCTACCAGGGCTCTCTCACGAGCCCCCCCTGCCACGAGGGCATCCGCTGGTTCGTCGCCCGCCAGACCATGTTCGCCGGCGTCACGCAGATGCAGGCGCTTCTCGGCGCCAGCACGTACAGCGCGCGCGCCGAGCAGGAGGTCTGGCAGCACCGCATCAACGAGTAAGGGTCGACGGCTGCGTTCTTCTCTTGGTTCTTGATCTTCTGGTCCTGGCCGCCACGTTTGGCCTTCCATGTATATACTTTTCTTTTTCTTTTTTTGCTTACCACGAACATTGGTGCGAGCATTTTGTGTCCATAGCGCTGGCGGTGGGTGGGTGTAGAGGTAGAGGTAGAGGCGCAGGGGAGTGGTGTTAGGAGCAGGACAGCAGCGAATCATATTACTGACGCTGAATAGAGACATGATTTTGTTTTCTCGATCTATTACTGTGCCTCAAAGTTGATCTTGTAGAGCATGCCAAGCGGTGCTTGCGGTGAATATCGTATTGCATCGCAGGATGACGATGGATTGAACCTCTGGGGTGCCTGAATGTTAGTTAGCCCTGTGGAGCCAACGAATAGGATGGCTGATGAAGAGCTGAGGCCTACGAGAACGTACCCAGGTATATATCGGTAGGTCAGGACTGCGGAGGGTCAGATTTCAGATGTATTCCAATCCCCTACCTATATTCTATTGCCTGCCGACCACGTTTGGGAGAGCTCTACACTCTGCCCGAACCCACGCATTAACACTGGAGCTAAGATCGGAAATGAGGATGTCGAACGCTTCAGAGCTGTGCAAAACATTTTCGTCATACTCTCCAGGCTCGCGTCTACAGCACGATATCAGTCCTCGGAGTGCTGAGGCTGAGCCTGTAACAATGTTCGCTTGCGATGGCGGACCATAATCTGAGGTAGCAGATAGGTTCGTGTCGAAAGTGCGACGCCTGAACAACAATCTATATTCAACTGATGAACCGCCTATACTATGACCGTTTCGTCTCTACTCATCAGATGAATGGCAGGATGTGTCAGGTGCTTTCGAGCCCACCACTTTTATGAAGGTCTGGGAATGTCAGCGCGGCGGCATGCGTTGGGTTGTCTTCACGCCAAGTCGCTGAGCTATTAGCATTGCTGGAAGATCCTCAAACTCTCTATGAGATATGTCTCGTGACAGATTTTACTTTGCGCAAGGGAAGACTTCCTTTATCGAACTCGATGTTAAACAAGGATGGAGGTCCGCCTCTCGTCGCCAAGTCGATAGCTATTCCAATAGTTGCAGCCGTAAGTTTAGAATATTGTGTCGATATTCTTGCTCTTCAGCCCTCACGTGGGAAAGGTATTTGCTGCCAGGAGTTCACCGCATCGGGTCAACAAACCAACACTTCACATTGCTCAGGAGAGAGCTTTCAGGCAGACCACGTTCAGCCCTGCTTCATGCCATCCCCCCCCATGTTCATCACGATGTATCGTGTTATGAGGGCTCTGGTCTTGAGGTACGACCTCCTGGGGCAATGTGCCTGAGCAATGCGCTTGGAAGTCAAGGCCGAGCCAAGACTAACTCGATATGGCGCAGGCTGAGCCGCCCACGTGCATGCCCATCTGCACGTAAGCACCCCTCACTTCACAGCAAGTATTTGCAGGCAACTCAAACTGCCAATCGCAAGCAAGCCAGTGTTACCATGTACACCTCAGCAGGCTAGCGAGCCTTGAAAAGCGCTCTGCAAGGTTGTGCCTCACGCTGCGCCACGACCCACACGAGCTGTGCTGGTAGGTACAGAGTGGATACGTGTACGCGTTTCGGCGGTTCAAGATATGGCTCGAGGACGCTGCCCAAGCTGTGCATGCAGAGTCCAATGCACAACGATGCACCGCTTCACAGAGGTCTCGAGCCGTCAGACACGATGTGGAGTCGAGAAGGCGCGGCGTGCACTGGAAGCATTGCTTCTGCCTGCCCTACAAGTGCGGGGCAGGCCGGTCAGGACGTTTCGATGGAGGAGAGGGGGAGGAGGCGACATAAATAAGCAATAGGCCACGCACACAGCGAGTGAAGGTATTACGCCATTCTCTTCCCCAACGACAACATCAGCTTGCCAAGAGATCACATACTGCTCGACAACGTCAGCAGCAGCAGCAGATCACATACTGATCAGGAGCACCACCACCATCACCGGCAACACACAATGTCCACGCCCATCACGTTCTACGACATCGCCCTGCGCCCGCCGGCGGCGAAGAACTGCTGCTCGCCGAACCCCTGGAAGACGCGATTCGCGCTCAACTTCAAGGCGCTGGCGCACACGACCAAGTGGGTGGCGCTACCCGACATTGTCGACCTGCGGACGACGCTCAAGGTGGCGCCGACACGCAAGTTCGCCGACGGCAGCGACTTCTTCACGCTGCCCATCATCGAGGACGCGTCGACGGGCACGACGCTCGGCGACTCGCTCGACATAGCCGTCTACCTGCAGCAGACGTACCCTTCAGCAGGCGAGGGCGACCTCTTCCCCGAGCAGCCGCTCGACTACACCTTCGACCCGGCCGAAGGCCTGCTCGTGCCGCTGTCGGCCGTGCGCGACAGCCCGTGCCCGGCGTACGCGACGTTCAACGTCCACGTCGACGGCGCCTTCACGGCGTACACGCAGCTCACGACGGTCGGGTTCCCGTTTGACCCGGCCAACGAGGCGGCGACCAAGGCCATCTTTGTCGACCGCGCGCGGCCGTACATGACGTCGTGGGAGGATTTCGCGCTGCGCGGCGACGACAGGGTGCGCATGCTCGCGTCGTTCGAGGCGACGCTCGCCCCGCTGGCGGTGCTCTACGGGCGCGACGCGGGCGGGCCGTTTCTGCTGGGGGCGCGCGCGAGCTACGCTGACTTTATCGTCGGCGCCTGGCTGCGCATGTTCGACGTGACGCTGCCGGCAGAGGAGTGGCAGCAGGTGCGGGCGTGGCATGGCGGCATCTTTGGGCGGTTGCACGACGGGCTGCAGGCGTACGCCGAGGTGAAATAGATGAAGTTGAAGCATGAGCAGCCATGATGCTCCCTACTACCTGGCTACCTTAGGTTCTTAGGTTCCTAGGTGAGTAGGTTGGGAGGGACCTAGGTAGGTATAGATATTCATAGATATGTAGGGAGTTATATGCAGCATGCCCACATTGCGTGGCTGAGCTGTCGAGTCACCTCTACACCCCGAGGCAGGAGGTAGAGGCACAAGGCACAGGCAGGAGACAGGCACAAGGCACAGGCAGGAGACAGGCACTAGACAGGCAGGCGGCTGAGGCAGAGACAGTAGGGGGCAAGAGGAGGAGGAGCAGGAGACAGGCTGGCGACGGGCAAGAGACAGAGGCAGCAGGAGACAGAGGCAGTAGGAGGCAGGAGGAGGAGGAGGAGCATGACTCGCACGCACTGAATGGCAAGAGCGATCGATGCTGTGGGGCGATGAATGCACACTTTCCCTTTCCCCACCTCGCTGTGTCCGCCGTCAGCTGCCAGTGAGGGGCTTCATTATGCCCGACTTCAAACTATGGCCCTCATCTGATGACCATCATTCAATTCCCAGCCTGAAATTCCCAACCTGGCACCCGACACGCAGCGTCAAGCCCAGACTCCATCCTAGTGCACCCTCATCCCTCGCGTCGAGGGCAGCATGGCCATCTCGCATCGTGGCCAGAGAACGAACGAACGAGCATGAGCCACCGACAGTCCCCCAGCGCCTCCACCGACTATGAGCCGACACTTTCGCCATGGGAGGTCGATGTGTTTGACGGGCAGCACGACGGCGACGGGGACATGGACCACGGCAGTGGCGTCTTCATGGCTACATGGTCAGACCGGCAGCTGCCGATGACACCCAGTGCGTGTCCTGCTTCTTCCATCCGAGCTCCCCAGCTGACGGCCGCAGCACAATCGTCCGGCCACTCACGAGACCTGTTCGACCGTGCTTTCGACACTGACTTTGGCAGTGCTCTCGACAGTGCTCTCGAAGGTGGTATCGTGGAGGGCATTCTCAAGGACAGCCCAGCTCGCAGTGATGACAGGGCTCTCGACGACAGCTTCGCTTACAGTGACGGCAAGACCATCGGCAAGACCATCGACAAGACCAGCGACAGGACCAGCGACAGGACCAGCGACAGGACCAGCGACAAGACGGCCAAGGCCCTACCACCCGAGACGCACTCGCTCTGCCGCCCTTGGGACCGCCACCTCATCGCCCAGTTCGCCGTCGAGGCCCGCGACCACCACGCCCGCAACGCCCCGCTGCCCCTGCACCTCGTGCCCGTCATCCGCTTCAACATCTGGCACGCCCTCGCCTCCAACGCCGCCGTCCTCGGCATGGACAGCGCCTGGCTCTACTACGACGCCATCTCACCCTTCAACAAGGCCGGCCCGCGCCTCGGCCCCGCCGCCCTGCCCGCCGCCTGCCCCGCGAGCCTGTGCCTCGTGCCCCTGCAGCCGCGTGTCGAGCACCACCCCTGGATCGACCTGCTGCCCTTCCCCGCGCTGCGCGCCAACTTTCTGCGTCACATCATGCTGTTTGGCGAGGATAGCATCGACGAGGACGACTTGTGCCGCGATATTGTGCAGGGGGCCGTCGGCGCCGACGTCGCCGTCACGGACGCTGCGACCCTCCTTGTCTGGGGCGAGTCGTGGGATCCCATGGGCTGGGAGGCGACGGTGCCCTTTCTGCGCAAGTGGGCCTGGCTGTTTGCCGGCAGCACCGACATTCTCGCGTCGACCAACTATTGGCGCCGGCAGCGGGGGGAGACGCAGCTCAGGTTTTGAGTGACGTGGCACGATTTTGGTGGGATTTTGATGGGACTAGGTGTTTGTAGCAGTACTTGTATATGAATGGTATGATGGACCGAAAACGCGATGCATCGACCTGGCTATGCTACTTACACAACAACAGTCTGCAAACGCTCCACATCATGCTCCATCATGCGAGCCCTCTTCGGCCACAGCCTTCAGACTGCCCATCCACCGCGCAAACCCATCATACAGCTCGCCCTGCTTCGACCACTTCAGCACGGGCGCCACGAGCCCGCCAAACGTTTCCCAGTTGTAGTACTCGGTCGCGACGACAACGCCGTCCTCGCCCACGACCTCGAAGAGCTCCTGTACCCGCTCGGCGTGCAGCACGACGTGCGGCAGGCTCTCGAACCGCCACGCGACGCGGTACCCCTTGCGCCCGTCGCCTTCGCGCTCAAACGCCTCGAGCGCCGTGACAACCTCGCGCGGCCGGTTCGGCGCCGCGGCGTCGGGCGTCATGTACGCCGCAAACGTCGCCCGCACCCCCGGGTACAGGTACCCCGGCCGGCCGACGGCGAGGGCCTGCAGCTCGGGCGCGTTGAGGGGCGCGACGTCGGCGGCGGCCGGCGCGTGGGTCACCGTGGCGGACTTGCAGAAGGCGTTCCACGCCGGCCAGGTCGTCGTGTCGAGGAGCTTGGCGAGGACGGCGAGCGGCGGCGCTGCGATGGTGGTGGAGCAGATGACGGTGAAGCTGGGCAGGGCGCTCGGCGGCAGCGTCGGGGGGGGTAGCGTCGGCACGATCTTGGGGGCCTGGCCCAGGGCGAAGGGGGCCATGATGTGGTGCGGTGTGCCGAGATGTACTGCGGTGTGGTGTGCTGTGATGTGCTTCTGTGACGTGCTTCTGTCATGAATGTCAGAGGCGATGAAGCTGTCGCGAGAAGCTGTTGCGAGAAGCTGCTGCGATGACAGATGAGATGACGGATGAGATGACGAAGCAGAGAAGCACGGACGTCCACCTGTTGCTGCTCGCCGACCTCATTTCATCGGCAGAACCTTATCTCGCCTGCGTGCCAGGATGTGCTGCACGCGACAGGGTAGGCCGCCGAGGATTCCGTGATGCCGGACTGCCACCCTGGAGCCGTCGTGCTGATACCTTCACGCAAGGGAGGTCGAGTCGATGGCCGAAAGCGGGGTTGAGAATGAGGACGGCCTCAATGACAGATTTTCAGTGCTCAGCTTTCCATCGCCGAGCCTACAATGACCCTCCTCCATCTCAACTGATCAGTGGAGATTGCAACTTACCTGGAAATAGAACGAATGATTGTATGGCCCTGTCACCGACAGCCAGTCGTCTCAGCGTCTAGGAACCGTCCCGACGCAGTCGACATGCTTCACATCCTCGCACACCTAACCACCTCGAAGAGAGCGCACCCGCAGCCGGCCCGGACCTCACGATCGGAACCCCACCCCGTCCAACACCCGATCAGGACATGACCTCGCCATGGACCTGACGGGGTCCATGCTCTGGCGTCCCCCATCGGGCATCCCGCGCCGGTCTCGGCTCGGCAGCCTTCTTCAAATCCCGAACAAATGGAGGATGGCGTCCACGGCAAGTGAGGGAGGCTATGCTGCAGAATGGCGTGCTGGGCTTTTTCGTGAACATGGTACTAGCACGATGATCACCAGACTGGCTTCGTCTTGGCGGCGAGCCTGAGGCCGTCGGACTTGGATGGCCTGGTGTCTCCTCTTCGGAGGTTCTCGTCAACTTTGAGCCATCCTGAAGTACATCCAGCCATCGCATCGCCACCGAAATCTGCCATTCAACCCACACAGCAACACGAAACCACATCGGACCTCCTCCGACCTCACTCGATGCGGGGAAAGCTTACGAAAGACCCCCCATGGCGTGATCGCCCACCACACAGCAACATGGCCACATCCACAGCTCACACGCCGCCTCTTCATTCACGGGATATCGCGCCATACCTCACCATGCCCGATGGGGTGCCGTCCGCGACAACCGAAGGAGGGGGGCAAGCAGTCCGACCACCATCCCATCAGACGAGAGTCGGAATGCGTCATGGCACAGCAGTATACTGGCACACACACCTACCACGACCATTCGCGAGCCCATCGAGAAAGGGAGGATCCATCCGTGGTCAGTTTCGCCCAGTCAGTCGGCGAATGCATGTATCATCACTGGGGACGCTGTGAGCCAACGCCATCGCGCGCCGCGAGCATGTCATCCGTGACCCCGCGTCGAGCCGACAAAGATGCGGCCCCGTGATCGGGTCGAGAACTCGCATGCCTATATAAGTTGACTGTGGTAATGCTGCGTGCTCGGACAGGCACCAAATCAAGCCGTAGGTGCGTCGAGTATACGGCTTGTCATCAAACTTACCGTGTCATACATCTTGACAGCTGCATCACTCAACATGGCCCCCTCCGCAACAGAGACGGTCACGGCGGAGCCCCTGACCCAGCGCTTCCGGCTCAACGCCTCGGCGACGGGTCCATACAAGGAGCTGTCCCCGACCAACTACCAGAAGGAGACGGAGACCAAGGGCGGCGACGGCTTCAAGGCGGCCAAGGTAAGCCGCCAATTGCGATATACTTCCTCAACATACTGACGTCAAGATAGTACCCCCACTACCTGCCGACGTGGAACCCCGAGCAAAAGTACCCCCCGCTGGCGCCCTTCGAGCACAAGGAGCACGGCAAGGACGCCGACCCCAGCTTCCCGAACCTGCTGCCGACGGGCACCCAAGTCAACCACCTGACACCAACGATCGGCTCCGAGGTCAAGGGCATCCAGCTGAGCAGCCTGACGCCCGCCGGCCGCGACGAGCTCGCCCTCTTCGTCGCCCAGCGCAAGGTCGTCGCCTTCCGCGCCCAGGATTTTGCCGACCTGCCCATCGGCGAGGCCCTCGATTTCGGCAGCTACTTTGGCCGCCACCACATCCACCCCACCTCTGGCTCGCCCGAGGGGTTCCCCGAAGTCCACCTCGTGCACCGCGGAGCCAACGACAGGTCGGCCGAGAGCTTCTTCGCGACGCGCACGTCGAGCGTCGCCTGGCACTCGGACGTCTCGTACGAGCAGCAGCCGCCCGGCACCACCTTCCTCTACATCCTCGACGTGCCGGCCGTCGGCGGCGACACGCTCTTCGCCGATGGCGTCGAGGCCTACAGGCGGCTGAGCCCGCTGTTCAGAGAGAGGCTGCACGGGCTCAAGGCCGTGCACTCTGGGTTCGAGCAGGTCGAGGCCTCCGTCCGCAAGGGCAGCATCAAGAGGAGGGAGCCCGTCGCCAACGAGCACCCTATTGTCAGGACACACCCTGCGACCGGCGAGAAGGCCATCTACGTCAACCCGCAGTGTACGTGCACTCTCCTGTCCTGATTCTAGAAGAAATGAGTGCTAACGGTCCCAGTCACCCGCGATATCGTCGGCCTCAAGAAGGAGGAGTCTGATGCGCTGCTCAAGTTCCTCTACGAACATATCGCGTGGAGCGCGGACATTCAGGCGCGCGTCAAGTGGGAGGCCGGCACTGTTGTCGTGTGGGACAACCGTGTGACCCAGCACTCTGCTCTCGTGGACTGGAAGGACGGCGACCGCAGGCACCTGGCGCGCATTACGCCCCAGGCCGAGCGACCGTTTGAGACGCCCTACGCGGCGTGAGCTTGTTTGTCGTTTGTGTGATACCTTAGCTTAGCAACAAAGATTGTGCCACTGTACACCAATGTGCCTCGCAAAGCGCAGAAAGTGATCGTCATCTGTTCAGCTCGTGAGGAATCAAGCCACGAGGCAGTCACATCAAGGTCCCAAGGTGGTGGAAACGTTTCATGGCACCCAATGTGCCCTCCCTGTGAACGCCATCCAGAAGTCTCGGCCCTTTCAACCTACATGCGATCGCGCTTCGAACATCGCAGTGAAGCCGTCACAACGCCCAGCCAGTCGCTCGGCTTCCCGAAAGCAGACGAAGCCCGAGGCCCGACATGTTCGCTTCGTCCCTGCATGGAAGAGCACGTATCCTAGCATTTCCTTGCGTTCGATCGGTCATTCACCCCCCCCGTCGCAACGTTCCCAGGACAGTGGGCCGCCTGCAGCGAGGCCGGTTCAATTGGCAGTTGGCGCCGTGATAAGCGTGTCGCAATCCCATGGTCGCGGTCACGCCATATGCTCCCACACAATGCCGCGACGCGTTTGCGGGGACTCCTCTCCGATGGCCACCCGCAAGCCATTCATCTTCTCGAGCCTCTGGTTGTTGTACATGTTAGTGATGAGTACATATTAGTGATGGGGCTGACGCTCTTGGCGACTTCTTTTAGTAACCTTTGCGTGCGAGTTGCAGTGTGCGTCCGGTAGCGGTCCATTGCCCATGGGTGTCGTTGGAGGCTCCCCCCCCCCCCCAATCGAGTGGTGCCAATTCGTAATGACTCGTCTGAACAAGTCGTCATGTCGGTGATGGTCCGACAATCTCTCCGTATGTTGCAGATTGTTGCAACAGATCTGGAGCCCAAAGGGCTTTCAGCACCGGCACACAACCCAGACGGATGCCCCCACGCCGTCTACCATGCCTTCCCCCAGGCCGATCACCTCGAGGCCATTGTCCCGGCATCATTTTTCTGCGTATGACGCCATAGATAGACCACATTCTCGCCAATGGCAGCCCGAGCGATGTCAAAGATATTGCCGTCTCGCATGGGTTCTTGCGTGCTCGATGTTCATGGCATCAAGGACCGTGGATCGGCCTCGTGGTCGTTGAGCCTCAGAGTATAAAGCACGTGCGGCGCACGCATGCCCGCGGAGATGTCTCGTCCATCGGATCCTGATCTGAGCAACCCGATCTGGGCGTCGAATCAGCACCATTGTCTTACGTATTCGTTGTCTTAGCGAACGCTTGAAAGCACTGCCGCTGCCCCCCTTTCGACCAGTCTCAACGGCGTGATCACGGATTACTGAACTGCCATGGCTGGCATTTCTCCGGCTGGGGGTCCCTTCCAAGACAGCCCTACGGAGAAGCGACGTCTCGAGGAGACGCAGGACGACAAGCTGGGCTCCAGCCCTGCCGATTCCATCACCGATGAGGAGAGCAGACCCGCCAGGAAGGGCCACTACGGATCGACCGAAGACCACGTTTTCTCCGACCCTTCGGTTGCGGACTACTGGCGCAAGGTCTACGAGCAGGCGGGGTACGAGAACCGGCACCGTTTCGACCCCACGCTGGAGTGGACTGCCGAAGAAGAGAAGAAGCTGGTGAAGAAGGTGAGATCGCTACAGCCCGATTGGGATGATCTGCCGGGCGGACAATGGCTGACAGACGCAGATTGATTGGCGCATCTTGCTGTGGGCATGGATCATGTTCGTGGCGCTCGATCTCCACCGAAAGAACATTAATCGTGCCATTTCCGACAACATGGTTCGTACAATACAGCGTGATGCGCATGCACGTGCTAATATGTGGTGTAGTTGCCCGAGCTGGGCATGGACACAAACGACTTCAACTATGGCCAAACTGTCAGTGTCATGATTTCAGTCATCGAGAAGAACACGGCTAATGCTGCGTAGATTTTCCTCGTGTCGTTTCTCTCGGCCGAACTGCCAAGCGGCCTCATCAGCAAGAAGCTCGGTGCTGACAGGTGGATTCCCTTCCTGATTGTGTCTTGGTCCATCGTTGCGGGCTCACAGGCGTTCCTGACCAACCGCGCCGGCTTTTACGCCATCAAGGCTCTGCTTGGCCTGCTGATGGGCGGATTCATTCCGTACGTCGCCATTGTACATATCTTTCTGGCACTATTGCTGACCCTCGCAGGGATGTTGTACTGTACTTGACCTACTTTTACAAGTCGAATGAGCTTCCCGTGAGGCTGGCGTGGTTCTGGACAGCCCTCAGCACGTCGAACATTGTCGGTTCTCTGGTGGCCGCTGGTGTCCTGCAGATGCGAGGCGTCAATGGCTGGGCTGGATGGCGCTGGCTGTACGTACTCTGCAACGATGGCGTGTCCCGGCAACATACTAACAGACTGCCAGCTTTCTCCTAGAGGCCATCTTCACCATCATCGTCGGCGTCTTCGCGTGGGGCCTCATGCCACCTGGACCGTGCCAGACGGCCAACTGGTTCCGCGGCCAGAAGGGCTGGTTCACTGAGCGCGAGGAGCTCATCCTCGTCAACCGGCTGCTGCGCGACGACCCGAGCAAGGGCGACATGAACAACCGGCAGGCGGTGGGCGGCAAGAAGCTCTGGCTCGCCGTCAGCGACTGGGAGCAGTGGCCGCTGTACCTCATCGGGCTGACGACGTACATCCCGCCGTCGCCGCCCAACACGTACCTCTCGTTCATCCTGCGGCAGCTCGGCTTCTCCGTCTTCGAGGCGAACCTGCTGGCGATGCCGTCGCAGTTCCTCTTCGCCGTCAACCTGCTCATCATCTCGTGGGTGTCGGAGCGCGTGCGGGAGCGGGCCATGGTGTCGTCGACGTCGAACATTTGGATCTTCGCGTGGCTCGTGCCGCTCGTGACGCTGCGCGCCGACGCGAGCCCCTGGGTGCGCTACGCGCTGCTGACGGGCCTGCTGAGCTACCCGTACTGCCACGCCATCCTCGTCGGCTGGAACGCCAAGAACAGCAACTCGGTGCGCACGCGGGCCGTCAGCGCGGCACTGTATAACATGTTTGTGCAGAGCGGCAACATCGTGGCGTCCAACATTTACCGCGAGGACGACAAGCCGCTGTACCGCCGGGGCAACAAGATCCTGCTCGGCATCTGCTGCTTCAACATTGTGCTGTTCTATGGCGTCAAGGCGTTCTACGTCTGGCGGAACAAGACGCGTGATGCCCGGTGGAACGCGCTGACGAAGGCGCAGCAGGACGACTACCTGCTGAACACCAAGGATGAAGGCATGAAGAGGCTTGATTTCCGATTCTCTCACTGAGGACCTTTGCGTAGGGCGGTGAGAGAGGAATGGAGGAAGTAAATGCCAGAGGGTCACACACACCCTATTATTTGAACATGTCGGAAGAGAAGCCTGGTGGTGCTGGGTGCATGAAGAGGTCTTGCTGGGAAGGCGCTCAGTGGCGTTCAGCTGTCTGGCAGCCTCGTACTGCCACGTTCACAATACGAGGCTGCCACGTTCACAAAACCACGTAGCAGGCACCTGCCTCAGGTCGATACCTCTTGAAAATGCCATCTTTTCATCACTACCCATCGTCCATGCGGCTCCAAGAATGAATTGAACTCCTCACTACGAATTTCGCGCTCCAATTCTACTCGTCGTGCATTCCTCAATCACGAAAACGCAGGCCCTCCATCAAAACCCGATGGACCTTAGGTGGGTAGGTAGCTGGCTGCCTCACAGCTGACGCCAAATACTCCCAACACTCAGAAGTCCTCTCCAGCCAATTAGGAACCATGTTCGCGTCGCCACCTCAGCCCTCATGCTCCAAGACCATCCTCGCACGTCGGGGGACGATGCGAGCCTGAGCCCGGCCTGTCAGTACTCTGGCGCGCTCTATGACGCTCCTGCCTCGACCTCACAAGCAGGCTGGGAACCATCCAACGAGGCCGCTCTAGTTGATGCAGGAATCTGCACCTGCTTATCCCCCTACCTAGGTCTCCCAACCTGAAGGGAGGTACCTTGCCAAGGTGCCTTAGGTAGGTTGCCTCATGGTTCGCCCGGTGGCTGTGTTGCCTCTAGCCTTCCTGGCAAGCGATTGGGCGTGGCATCCTCAGACCCCATCCTCGACGTCCGCTCGTTTCTCACCCTCTTTCTCTTCTAGCACTTCCACCTAAGCAGATCCGTTACTCTGCCATTCCTCTCATCTTCGTAAAGCAAGGGACATACCTATTCCAAGCTAGGCGGGCCTGTGCCTCCGTCGCTCATACCATCATGGAGGCTTTAGCGGCCTTGTCCCTCGTTTGCAACGTTCTGCAGCTTCTCGAAATAGCCATCAAGGCTTTCAAAACCTGCAAAGAGCTCCGTGAATCTGGAAAGGGCCAACTTCGAGAGCACAGCGACGCAGAGACAAGTGTCAATGACCTCATCACGCAATGGAAGAGTACAACGCGACCCCCTCTGATCCAAGTCAACAGATTGACGTGCAGATTCGACGCGCCGTCCAAGATTGCAACAAGACGAGCCTGGAAGTATTGGAAACCCTGAGACTCTGCCAGGTGGGAGACTCGAAAGGCCTATGGCCCACTCTCCTCGCAATGCGGAGCGTCGTTCGTCTGGGGAAGGAAATTCAGGCACGGCTGGCCGCCTTGGAATCCCACAAACAGACACTCTCACGGCTTTTAGATCTGAGTACAAAGTACATCCGTCACTTCGCCTCGCCAGAAATCCAAAGGCTAATTTGCGTTCTTGAAATTAGTCTCAAAGTCAATCAGATACTGCGCTATCTTCCAAGGTTACAAGGCAACACGAAGTCCAACCTGAAAACCCTGAAACGTATCGAGGATCAGCTGCAGAAGCTTCTGACGTCGTCCACATCTCACGAGCTGGCCAGCAGCATCGAGACTTTTCAAGCTGTACAAAAGGGGTTCCCTCGCCTTCTTGAGCACATGTACCAGCAAGGGGTTCTCGCGAGCCTGCGACAGCAAGACGCGACGAGAGGTTCTCGCCTCAACGCTATGGTGCGAGCAACAAGTTCCACTCTGAACTGGGTCTTTGCTTCGTCTGCAACAGATCGCCCGGGAACTCGGGCAAAATGTCACGCGACATTTGTCAGCTGGCTCCGCGAGGGTAGCGGGTTCTACCACTTCCAAGGCAAACCTGGGTCCGGAAAGTCCACGTTGATGAAGTCCGTTGTCTACAATGCTGACACGAAGAGCTGCCTGAGCTACTGGGCCGGCGACAAGCCCCTTTGTCTAGCATCGTACTTCTTCTGGAAGCCAGGATCAATGCTGCAAAAGACCATCATAGGATTGGTGATTAGTCTCGTGTACGATATCATCGAGAGCTTTCCTCCTCTCGCAGAAGTAGCCTTCCCTGGACATTGGGACCCAGAAAGCCATCATCTCGACTGGCTTTCGAAGACAGCGATTTATGTACCTATCGGACATGATGCCATTATGGAAGGCTTCCAAAGACTCATCACGCATCAAGGGCCCGATCATCCCAAGTTTTGCTTCTTCATTGACGGCCTCGACGAATATGACAATACTAGCGAAGATATGGCCCTCGGACAACTAGCAACCCTGCTTCAGGAGTGGGTTGAAGTTTCACAGGGAAGTATGAAAATTTGCGTCGCCAGTCGAGAATACCAAGATTTCTCAGACATGGCAGACAAACACCATCGGATTAGGATCCAAGACTTTACATACCGAGATATTAAACAACATGTTACGAGCAGCCTGGTGAAGAACAAGCGATTCCTCAAGCTTCAGTTTGTTGAAGGCAAGAGTTGCCGCGAATTGATCGACAAAGTTGCAGACCAGGCTGAGGGAGTTTTTCTCTGGGCGACATTAGTCCTGCCGAGGATCCACACGGCCCTTGATGATGACTTTTCGATACCAAGGGTACTCAACATCGTCGAGGAGACACCAAAGAAGATGGAAGCGTTTTTAGATTCCATACTCGACAACATCAAGCCCGAACAACAATACAAGGCGCACCTACTATTAGCAATTGTACTCCGTTGGAAAGGCTATCTACTCTCAGGAAGATACACCCGCCCCCGTGTCACGCGTCTTTTCTCCCTCGACATCGCCGTCTTATTCGAAGGGTTGCGCATCTCAGCAGAGCTTCCTGACGATTTGACGTCGAGCTTTGTGCTGCCTGATGACGTTAATGCCTGGCTCGACCGTCACACGACGAACATTGTGAGCTGCACTAATGGCCTCGTTTCCTGCATTGGCACACACTCTGATGGCCAAAATCATTCCAAGGAAATTCAATTCAATCATCGCTCAATACCAGAGTTTTTATCAACAAGACTCGAGAAAAGCTGCGAGAACCAGGGTCACAATATCACAGATGATAGTGTACTCATGGCACTCAGTTGGATACTTCGATCCCTGGTTCACTTCGACCGTCATCTACATCGGTACTCCCAGAGGGAAATTTCCCTGTTTACAAGAGCCGGAAATATGGGACCCAGTTTCTTGACTGACTTTTTTGCCCTGATGGGCCTTGAACGAGAAACGGGAATCAACTCTTCTCGATCTAAGGCATTTGGAAACATCGATTCCTGTTCAGCTGCCCTCGACCGTCTGTGGAAGGCAAAACGCCCATTGGCCAAGGAAATGGTAAGAATTAGTGAAGAAATAAAGGTCGCCAACATGGACGTGGCACGCTACATTCAATCTACTGAGACATCATCGGCTATTGTAATGGCCGCGGCTTATGGCAAAGTGGCATATGTCAAGTGGAGGCTCCGGAAGCAACGTCCATCTTCGCAAATATCCGTCTTTGAATTAAACCAAGGATTGTTCATGGGGATATTTGCCATCTTCAGCCGTAATTCGCTTGATATCGTACGGGATTTGTTAGTTGAAAGCTCAAAAGAGGAGAGATTGCTCGCAACAGCTGAGGTTCTAATAAGGGGTGCCTCTCCGTCCCTGCGGTCCCACGCAGGGTTCATCTGCAGCGACGGGATCATTGGAGAGGGGACCGTACATTTTCTTTGGCATCTCTTAATCGTCAAAGCGATATATGACTGCCTGTCCAACGTCCACACGGAAGAGCCGTGGGATACACTCGAACTTTTCTTCAAGCACGGAATTGCTACAACTGCTCTTGACTTGGCCATCAATATTGAAGGCTCGTCATTCAGCCGCTTGATGAGTGCTCCAAGTACGTGTTACAAAGCTTCCCTGATCATTTCATGCATAGACAGCGAGGGCCTGGTAGTTTTGGAACGAATGAACCTGTTCCCCTTCTGGCAGGAGACGAACGTGGACATGATGAAAGAGATCCACTGTGAAAACCAGACACACTTGCAACTTAGACTTCCACGCCACGAAGACGGCTCAGTTCGTGCCGGGATTCAAGGCTGGAAGTTGCGCGACTTCATAACCCATGCCCAACCCCACAATATGCGTGCTCTCCATGCCTACCTGGACAACGCCGAAGATGAGCGGTGGGAAAGAATCTATGCGGAGCGTGAAAGAGCATGCGTCAAGATAGACACGCTGAAGGAAGACGGCATGTCGATGGTTGGGATGCGAGGGGAAAATATCGTCGGCTTCATTGACGAAGACTCATCCTGGCCAGGCATCACTTTTGTGGCCATGTTGTTGCTATGGGTCTCGGTTTTTCTTCACGAGTTGGCCCAGGAAGGCTTCCAAGTTAGCTTCTAAGATCTTGCACATGAACAATACTATCTAGGGAGACTGGCTGCCGGTATTGTGGTCAGCACCCTGATGCAAAGTGTAATCCCGTCTTCGCCTGCTTATCTGCGTTCTTCTCAACAATCAACAACGACAAGGTGACTTCAAAATGTATGACATGCAATGCTTTCATCTCGGCAGCACATTGAAACGTAGCGTTTTGCACCAAGCTGACCTCAGAGGGATACCTATTGCCTGCCTCTCGTGTTTGACAATGGTGCGGAGCGAGACAGGGAAACACAGCACGACGGCATGGCACGATCTGATCGAAATGGGTACTGATGCGTTCGCCTCCAGGTCCCTGTCGACGACAACCTACTACTAGTACAAGGTCGAAGATCTGCATGTCGCCCAACAATGGATGGGCGCCGCGCTTGGCATGGCCAAACCATGGCTCGTGCAAATCATGGTGCGTGTAGCTGCAGCTGGGTCATCCCACGTCGCGAGGCCAGCGGCTGACTTGTTCTGGCAACAAGGGGATTCTTGGCTGAGAATGGAATTCGTCCGGCTGCTGACGGTTCCCGATTCTGCATCCGAGCAATTGCTCGATCGAGCACAACGACGCCTGCGGCCTCTCTGTTCGCTGTCTCACTGAAGCGACATGGCCATGCAGAGAAGACGTTGCGATGCAAAAGGCTCGGCTGTGGACTCTATTTGCGCTCGACCGCTGGAGATGAGAGAGGGCCGACGTCCCCGCCATGTTTAACGAGACTTGCTATGGACCTTTCAGTCGATCCGCTCTGGTCTGATGGTCGAGGTCTCCGCACCGTAACATTCGGCTCGGTGATATCGCCGCTTGGAAAGAATGGCAGCGTGAAGCAGTCTGACCGAGGGAAACAGCATGCAGAATGATCAATTTGAGTGCTGGGTCACTTGGCGTCGTTTGTATCAATAGGATGGAGACTGGGGTTGTGAGGCGCGCGCTGCGGAGCCACCGAACAAGCGGGCCGATTGGGGGCCAATGGTTACGAGAACATGTATAAAAGGACTACGAAGGGCCCTCCAAGCCGCGGAGGGCTAGATTTCAGATGTAGTCCGACCCCCTACCTATACTCTATTGCCGGAGGCACGGACCACATATGAGAGAGCTCTTTACTCTGCTCTAAAGCAAGCGCTCATATTCGTTTCCTAAGCATGGGGGCTCTTCTCCCTTATGCTTGATGCTAAGGTCCAACGTCGAGAATGAGTGGCGTCGTAATCGACACCAGAGATGGATAAGGATCACTGATTCCACACCAGCGTCATAGAATAAGGCCTACTGGCGCATTCATCGTGTCTTGCCAGTCTGGCCTCTGACAGCCCAGCTGGACCATGTCTCGAGCATCACGCACCCAGTTGGTAGCTGCTGCTCTCTGTTTGGCTGCTCGCGTCTGCAGCCGGTGTCGCTCGGGTTCGTCTCAGGCGTTTTCCCAGGTTTCCTCGCTTTCGGTCCTCGCTCCCGTGGGTTTCGATAGTCGCCCCCATCCCGGTCGCCTTGTGGGGCTCGAAGAAAGGGGGCCTCCGGCGGCTCCACCGTGATTCCGGACCCCCACAGAGGTACCTTGCCTCTACCGGTATCCTAACCCGAGGAAAGCGAAGGGTTCGTTTACGAGCCTCAAGACCCGATCCGAGCCTGTTCTGCCTTGCGGGGAGCTGGGTGCTGGGCGTCTCGCGTTCGCATGGAGATGCTTCATGCTGAGCAAGCCCACAGCCGCCTTCCCGCTCTTGGTCCGCACGAGCCAAGATGTGGTCTTGTTGTCCAGGGGCGCCTGAGCTTTGGTGCGCTGCGGTACCTGCGGCATGGCGCCTTACTTGAGTGATGCTTTCCGTGATGGCTTGGCCGTATGTATACGTTGAACTTTCCCTGCCAGGCGATCCATCCTCCCCGGTTTACGCATCATGGACTATAGGTGATAAAACGACTTGGTCCCTTCTCCCTGGTCCTTCCGGCCCGGTTCCTGCAAGGGATAGGGTTGTCTTGAATCGTGCGCCGTAAACAAAGGGCCAACCTCGCTTCGGAGGCGGTATCGAATCCGATGGTCGGATCCGACTGAATCGTCCCGGTTCAGCGCACGGCGTTTGAAGAATTCGGGTGCCTAACGACGAAGAAATGGCCAAGTGGGGACACGCCGTGCAAACAATGCAAGGTCCCTACCTCACCTCACCTTACCTTACCTACCTAGGCATCTGGAGAGTCATGGTGTGTCAAGATGGCTCCATACCGGCGCAGCAAAATAACAGCTGCCTACCTTGAAATGAGGAAGACCCTGCATCAGGGTCTCTGCAAGGCACAAGTGGAGCGACGAGGCGCACCAGGTACCATCGCTGGTGCCTGGACACGATCGACGTTCTGAGCCGCCAGCGAAAGGCGAGAGAGTCTGCCCGTAGCACAGCAAACCGAGGCAGACTCGGTCCGTCTCGTCTCTGATGGTACGAAAAGTCCGACGCACAGCGCGCGCTGAGCACGTTTCTCCATCGCATTTTACTGCCCTCGGGCGGCTGCCTGGACGTCCACCTTGATCTGGCCAAGAGCCGCGTCGTATGGACCTCTTCAGAAGACGCTTGGCAGGGGATTATTGGTGATGCTATATGTGGTTCCTTTGATGTATAAGACTTCGCGAAACCCTCTTGGCTGCCGAGCAGTCCGATCGATGGACCCCCATGCCGTCGCCTGCTGATCGCGCTTCACGCTTCACAATGGTCTCTCTCGACACGTCGTTCACTTCCCTGGGGCCCTCGGCCCTGGCCTACTGCGTTGCTTCGTCAGCGCTCCACGTCGTCGTCGGCTCCGTGTTCTTCGACCTCGTCCACTGCCTGGCCCATCACTCCGGCCGCTCGAGGAACCCGCTCCTCCGCTGGCTGGCACGCAGCCACATCGCGCACCACCAGTACTTCGACAGACGGCTGCACTTCAACCCGGGCTTCAACAAACAGAACCTGCTGCTCCACCTGCCGCTCGAGCTCGTGTGCCAAGCCGTCGGCAGCCTGCTGAGCTGGCAGCTCACGCACGTGCTCGTCCCGCACCCGCCGCTCCAGCACCGGGATCTCCACCTCGTGCTCGTCTTCCTCACGATCCGCTCCGGCGTGGTGGCCTGGCACGAGGGGCGCGACTCGAACCACATCGCCTACACGCGGCTGCCGAAGGACCCCCACGCGGTCCTCGTCGGCCCCGAGTACCACGCCCTCCACCACGTCGACCCGCAGGGCTACTTCGGCTCGATGGTTCGCCTCGTCGACTGGCTCCTCGGCACGGCGACGACGCTGCACGGCCGCCGCATCACCATCACCGGCGCGCGCGGCGCCCTCGGCCGGGCGCTGGCCGACGAGCTCGGCCGCGAGAAGGGCGCGACGGTGCGGACGGCGCGGTTCGGCCTCGACTGGACCTACGACGACTACAGCGCGCTCGAGCCGCTGCTGCGGACGACGGACATTCTGGTCCTCGCGCACGGCGCCAAGGGCGCCGACGCCCAGCGCGCCAACTGCGACAGCGCCGTCGCCATCATCGAGGCCTTTCGGCGCGCGCGCGTGCCGGCGCCGTCGTCGTCGCTGCTGCGGCCCGAGGTGTGGTACGTCGGCAGCGAGGCCGAGCTGCACGGGGCGTGGACCGAGGACATGCGCGCGTACACCGACGCGAAGCGCGCCTTTGCGCGGTGCGCGCGCGCCTACTGTGACGACGACGACTTTACGTACCGCCACGTCGTGCCGGCGGCGTTTTCGTCCGCCATGGGCCCGGCGCTCGTCAGCGCGCGGTGGGCGGCGGTCGTGGCCTTGTGGTGGATTCGGCGCGGCGCGCGGTACGTGCCCGTCACGTATACGGGGCTGGCCTTTCTCAACTTTTTCCGCTTCTATTTCTGGGTCACGCCGTCGGCGGTGCGGAAGCGCACGTAGACGGTGCCTCGTGGGTGCTGGGAGCGGGCTGGAGTTACGGCGAGTTGGACTTCTTCGCGTATGGGAGCGGACATGTGCATCGGGACGTCCAGGGATGAGTCAGATTTCGTATTTTGTTCACATAGTTATGCTTTAAAATACCATCATTCGGTTTCCGAGGCATCCCATGATGGCAGAGCTCACGCAGGTTGAGGGCCATGATGGCCGAGCTCACGCAGGTTGAGGGCCATGATGGCAGAGCTCACGCAGGTTGAGGGCCGCGAGAGTGCAGATGCAAGTTGCAACCAGGCCCACTACAGAGCAAGAGGACGCCCAGCGCGACCATGAGAGGCTCGAGCATGTCACGATACAGTGGAACCAACGGTCGCGTGTCAAGAGGATTCCGAAATGGTGCGCCATGCTTCCAACGTCGAATGCGAAGGCGCTCCTTCGCTGCCGTGTCGCACCGCACGGTTGACTGACGCGCTTCATGCTCCTCCAAGACGTAGACTCCGGACCCACAAACGACAGACAGGCACAGGACCTCACCTCACAAGATGCCCCTCGGCCCGCACCCCGTCAGGCCGCTTCCAATGCACGGGCACGCCGCCCCAGCTCTCCTCCGCATAGCCCGCCTGGACCCTCTTGCAGGTGCGCAGCCCCCACTCGGTGACGCCGACCATGGCGCAGGTCTCAAACATGAAGGCGCAGCTGCCGTCGCCGACCTTGGCGGGCCGCAGCTCAGCGGCGCGCGCGGCCTCGCCGCTCTCGGCATCGGGGCCGTGGCCGCTCATCGTGTTGTGCAGGCTCGCGCCGCCGGGGACGAAGCCGCCGCGTCCGCCGCGCTTGGCGTCGTAGCCGCCGGCGATGAGGCCCATGAACTCGCTCATGGTGTTGCGGTGGTAGTAGGGCGGGCGGAAGGTGTCCTCGGCGACGAGCCAGCGCGGCGGGAAGATGACGAAATCGGCAATGGCGGTGCCGGGGACGCCCGAGGGGGCGGAGAGGACGGTGAAGATGGAGGGGTCCGGGTGGTCGTAGGAGATGGAGCCGATGGTGTTGAAGCGGCCGAGGTCGTACTTGACGGGGTAGTAGTTTCCGTGCCAGGCGACGACGTCAAAGGGCGTGTGCGGCTGGGTCGTCTGGAAGAAGTCGTTGTTGAATTTGACCGTGACGGTGTAGGCGCCGGGGCCCTCGTGGGCGGTGGCGCCGTGGTGCTCGGAGAAGGCGGCGCGCGGGGCCTGGAAGTCGCGGGCGTTGGCGAGGCCGTTGGTGCCGATGGGGCCGAGCTCGGGGAGGTGGAAGTGGCCCTGGTACAGCTCGAGGGCGTAGCCGCGGGCTGGGCCGTCGGGCAGGGCGACGTGGTACTTAATGCCGCGGGGGATCACGGCAATCTCCATGGGGCGGACGAGCAGGTAGCCGAGCTCGGTGCGGATGTCGAGGGTCCCCTCCTGCGGCACGATGAGGAGATCGCCATCGGCCGAGTAGAAGGCCGTCTCGTCGGCCATGCTCTTGCCCGCCGCGTAGATGTACATGCCGATGCCCTGTTTCAATGTCGGTTCGCCAGCACCGGCGACGAGGCGCTGGCCCGAGACGAAATCGAGCGCCTGGGTGGCGTCGTGCTCGAAGGGGTCCCATCGCAGCTGGTTGGGGATGTAGTGGAGCTTCGACGTGTTGGTGCGCTCGTTGACGTCGCTGTCTGGTGACGGGTTCGCCGGGCCAAAGGGAGGGTGTGCGCAGGACGGCAGGATGCGGTAGAGCCAAGCCTGGCGGTTCTCGTGGCGAGGTGTTGTGAAGGCAGTGCCCGAGAGCTTCTCGGCGTAGAGGCCGTGCGGGGCTTTTTGTGGTGCGTTCTGGCCGATGGGAAGAGAGTCTGGGATGGCCTCCGACCTGGACGCCTCAGTCACATGGTCTCCCGGCATGGTTTCATGGCGTGGGGACGGATTGCTTACTCGAGATGGGCGTCGAAGCCGACCTGGTATCGGTACTTCTCTGGGACGTCAAACGTGGTGACAGGCATGGTGGGCAGCTGTATGTGTGTGTGTGTGTGTGTATGGAGATGAGTGTATGGAGATGAGTGATGGCCCGGTCACTGGATGCCAGCAGCAGCGAAGAAACGGCCACGAAAGAGGGGAAGCTCCATGGCTCTCAACTACTCAAATACTCCTGTCGTTGCAGCTTGTAGCATGACGTTCAAAGCCTGTGTCTGTGTCGACAGGTTAAGCCGACGTCTGCGTTCCGCACTCGAAACGGCGGAGGGAAAGCGCGGCCTACCGTGGCTAGCCGAGAGCACCTGCTTGGGCCTTCCCATTCCGAGACGCGGCGGGGGCTCCACTAGCAGAGCTCCCTATAAACGTAGAGCTCTCCTGTGAGGGGCTCTGTGAGGGGCTCTGTGAGGGCTGTTCAGCAGGCTCTGTCCAGGGAGTGCTACCCCGCCATGACACACCTGGGTGCCTACCTACTACCTCAGGTATTTATTTACCACTGCTACCGTACCTCAGGTCAGCAACAAGCCTCTGATGTGACGTGAGCCTGATGGTGGCCTCGCCTTGCCGTCGCTGCTGCATCGCCTCGGGTGTTGGAGGCTACACGGGTCGCATCAGACCATTTCAAAAAGGCAACCAGCAAGCTATCAATCGATACATCCCCAACGCATCCGCCCACACATGGGCAGACACCTCTTGGCACCTTGCTTATCGATGCGTCTTGTCGGCCGTGCATCGTGACCCTTGTCGCCGGGTGGGTCAGCACATGGGCTCCTCATGCCCACATTCGCGCTGGAGAGCTCCTCCCTGTCCACCTTCTCAACGACATGCTTACACGTTCGGCGACATGGCATGATGCATCGGCCGTGGCATATGCATCGGCGCCGTGGCATATGCGTCGGCGCCGTCGCATGGACAAGACGGGAGTTCACAGAGACATCACAAGCCGTTGCGCGACGCATGACGAGCCAATACTCTCTTCGTAGACACAGTGACCTACGGCCGAGTCCGTCGCTCGTCTTTCCCAGTACCGTCCATACCGTACACACGACACCTATGCGAACAAGAAGCCCCTGCCGTCATCCGAGAGCGGAGAGCGGCAGTGGTGCTCCGCCGCCATCATGGGCACGCAATCGCCGCCCAACCAAAACACCCAGCGCCATCGCCATCGCCACTGTCACGCGCCAAGAAGGGAACCCAGGAGCCACGCCAACGGAGGGGAGGGGAGAAAAAGCCATGCAGGCACAAGAGTGGTGGAGGGGCGCGCCAAAAGGAGGCCACGACCATGGAGCGACGGAGAGCGGAAACGAGACAACCGCCTCCTCACTCCTCCTCCTTCTTGCTCTTCTTCTTCTTGCCGCCGCCCGCTGGCAGGCCGGCGTCCTTTTGCAGGTGCACGACGAGGCGGGTCCACGACTCCTCCTTGTCCCACTCGAAGCCCTTGAGGTAGGGGTTGTCAAGCTCGTCATCCGACTGGAGCCGGTCAGTCATGGGGATCGAGGCAGTCGGTGCGCACACGTCACGCGGCAAGTGCTCACCTTCTTCTTGTACGCCTTGTGAATAGCGTCCATGGCGTCCTTGATGGTGACGCCCTTGAGGTTCCTTGCCGTCACCTCCATGCCCAGTGGGAAGTGGAGGTCGATCCGCTTGACTGGTGGCTTTGTGAGGTGCAGCTTGAGGATGTCCTTGTCCTCGACAGTGCCGGAGCTCGTGTTGATCTTCCTGTTTGTGCGGGGTAACACCATCAGCCAACCACTCGCCTCGCAAAGCACACGCGCCAGCATGCCGCCGCGCGATTCAATGGATGGCGGTCGGGAGGGAGGGGACCACACCACGCAGGTCATTTCTTACCATCCTGTTTTTTGCGTCTCTGGCGCAAGCTCAATCTCAGTCTTCTCTTCCTCTGCGTCACGTTAGCAGCCATCCGGGCCATCCGGGACAAGGGCGCGCGGCCCCGGTGAACCCACGACGTACCGAGGTCAAGAATGTTGTACACGCCGGGAACGTGGGAACTCGCTCTACGCTTGGCCTTCTCCTTGGGGGGCGAGCCAGAGAGACCCTCGACGGCAGAGTCGACCTTGGAGAGTGGTTCAGTCATGGTGATGGTGTGGGTTGGCCTTGTTGGGTAGACTGCTTGGCGAGCGAGAAGGGGCAGTGCAAGGTAGCGATGCGGGAAGCGTGTTCTGGGAGCTGCCGTCAGCTCAATGGCTCGCGTGATGCTCGAGGCTGCTCGAATGAGCGTCAAGGGAGCGCGATTGAGGTGTACCTTTTGGTCTGATGAACGGCCGTGGGAGTGGGAGCTGTAGGTGGTTGTGAGGAGGGAGGAGTTCGAAAGGAAGATGAAGAGGGGAAGAGAGCTGGTTTTGATGGTGAGGGGAGGGGAAGCTGATGGAACGAGGTAGGTACGTAACTGGGGGGGGCTGATCAACGGAACGGGGGACTGACGGGATGCATGGGGATCGGTCGTGTCAGGTCACAAGACGCAAGGCATTGCTACAAGTCAGTAGTACTGTTTCCCTCGCCCCATCTTTCGGGCCAGGCACACCCATCCATCTATCTTGATCCAGGCACAGGTCCTGACCTCAGGGGGGGGGAGCCAGGGACGAAGATGAGAGATCACATCATATCATTCGCTCGGTGTGCCAATGCATAGCCGTGACGAAGGGGGAGGGGGGAGAGGAAAGAGAATGGCCATCATCCACGGCATCCGTGACATTGGCACAACCCAGAGAGCCCGTGAAGCTGGAGGTGCGAGGGAGGGCAGAGAGGGGTAGCTCCTGCGTAGCCGTGGCTGATGCTTGCTTTGTTGCGCTGATCCGTTTCCGAAGCTGAGCTGCTCCTGCCCTTTCCCCTCTCTCTCTCCTCTAGCTGATCTCGCCGGTTCGTCTGGGAGAGGTCACCAGACAACCGATGAAGTCACGACCGCGCATCAGCCCAGTGAGACGGTACCTGACGTCGTTAGCCCACCCTCAGCCTGTACCGCACCTCTCCACCCCCAGAGCAAAGCAGGGGGGAGGGGGCGGGCAAGGAGCAGAGCTACCACTGCCGGGGCCCTGCCTTGCCTGCAAACGCCCCACCCCGTCATGCCACTGCCAGCGTCTGGCGAGTATGAGGTGACTTACCTGCCTCGACTTGCCTTCTGGCGGCGCAATCGCAGCAGCGACCCAATTACGCTTTCGTCACACCGAGCGGGGTAGACGGTACCCAGGCCAATCATGCCACGCCCTGACGTGCTCGCCAGACGATCGCGTGACGTTGGGGTCCAAGATGGGAATGCGTGCGGGAACCTACGCAGGGACATCACGTGGGGCCACGTCCACCGGATCCGCATCCGGGCGGGGTCCTCTTATCTCTTATCAACACTGGCGACGCCTCGACTCTGGGGTAAATCCGGGGAAAGCGGGCCCCTTGGCCCCTCTTGTGCTGCATTTTTGTGCTGCAGTCCCTCGGCCTGAAGAGGGGTAGACTGCATGCTTGGTCTTCCTGTTTGTGTATGATCGGAACATGTTTGATGTATACCAGGCATGCATCGCCTTGTTGGAGCCTCGCTAAGCTGTCCTTGCACTGGTGTTTCAGGCCGGTGTCTAGCTGTATGCAACATCAGGGTGGCGTTTTCCATACGGTGCTATAGTCGTGATAATTGGACTACGATTGTGATCTCTATTCATCCAAAACCATTGAAGGATCTTGTTATATGCAGCCCTAACCAACCAGTTATTCATTCTCTAGGTAACAGGGTCTTCTCGCGTGGATATGGCACCAACCGTGAAGCTGTTCGATTCTTTGAAGACAACAAGTCGAAAGCTAGACTCAAGCATAATCTGGGCTTCCGCAGCCAATTTCTGGACTACTTCTGTGAGAAAACTTTTTGTAGTTGTCTTATAAGGTGAAGTAGGGAAGTAGCTCAGGAAGAGCCAACCCGATGGCTGTGGGCGCCACACGGACTCACCCCAGTACATGATAGGGAGCCAACCTGCGAATTCGGTCTGCACCTGCCGTTTATAGTGGCAATACTTCGAAACTGAGAGTCTGAGCTGGATATAAGGTCTTGGATTTGCCGAACACCAGATCCTGTTGGCCTGGCGGAATCTCAATATTGTTTGGTATCGGCTGGCGATAACATGAGACTTGCCCCAGTCAATCGAAGGACCGCTCAAGGCAGTGTCGTTCTGTGTCTGCATGAAGTTTTGAGGGTCTCCACAGAAAACCAAGTTCATTTACTGAGTATACACAGAACTGTCATACACGTTTCAACAAATACATCGGACATTGCAACACGTGGCACTGCGAAAAACAAGGGCAGCTTTGAGGCTCTCAAGAGATAATAGAAAATGCCTCATTCTTTTGCTTTTACATTGCTTTCCACATATCCGGATGCGCAAACAGGCCATTTTTGACTCGGAGCTGATGGCAGACTTCAGGGATGATAAATCCGGGCACGTGCAAGGTACCTGAGATCTAGGTATGCAATGGAACCATCACACTCGGCATTGACTCCCGGGACCAAGGAAGTGCGTGCACTGAGTCTTCTAAATTAGAAATCACCGGAATACACATGCCCAGGAAAGCTTGGACTATCCATGCATTCAGTTTCCAACTGGGTTCTGGATCGACATGCTGCAAAAAACTGCCAGACCTCAATTTGTAATATTATCCCGTCATTCAGGTCAACCTCGCAAGTGACATCTTTTGCGCATTTGATAGGAGTCGCGGCTAAGGCCACACATGTAATCTACTTGTTCAGTCATCGTCGTACTAGCTACATGGAAAGAGTGCTAAGGAGTCAATGACATGACCATCAAACGAGAAGCTCGGTCGCGTTTGGATTCTGCAACTCTAACTCTGCTGGGACTGGTCAACTCGGAAGCCCCGTCCGGAACGGGGCAGATCCTCAGCCCTCACAACTTGCTCCACCACCCGCCGAAAATATCTCTCATTCCGATTAGTCTAGTGGTTAGGATATCGGCTTGTCATCAAAGGACCTTGAGTTCTGACATACGCCGGGGACCGGGGTTCAATTCCCCGATCGGAAGATAGACTTTTGCTTTTGTTGTTTTGGCGACGACCCTGCGGGTTTACTCCATCTGGTACCACCGAAAGGAGGCACCCGTCAGTAGTGGCGCTGAACCAGGTGGACTCACTCGCATGAGCGTTCAACGCCACAAGAAACTGGATTCACAGCAATGCATGGGCAGTATCCTATTGGAGCCTGATGCTGCTGGCTTAGCACAGGACGACATGCTCGGATGCGAGGGAAAGTGCGACGAACCCGGATACCGGGACTGAAAGACTAGTTTATTCTTAGGAGAGGGGCGCAGCTGTTGAGCAGTGTGGCTATGATTCCCGCCCTTCTTGAAGCTTGAACTTCATAGGTAGTACTCCGCTTCTAGAGCAGGCGAACTATACACCATGTATTTTACCTCACCTCAAAGCAGCGTGACGTCTCCCACGACAGCCCTGTGGTCGCTGAAGAGCATCCCGCTGGCCTCATTGCTCAGGATCTCGTATCGCTGCACAGAGTACCTTCTGTCCGCCACCGGCCCAAGCCAGATAAAGTCAATGCGGCTCGTGGGCGCGCCCGCAGTGAACGTCGTGTAGGTGTTACCGTACGGTCCAATCCTCTGCGCCGGCGTCGCCAAGTTGTAGAGATCTTGCGCGTACCCGCTGTTGAGGAGCGTCTGATAGGCGTCGCCGCCAGGCTGGGAGTTGAAGTCGCCCGTGATCGAGACGCCGATGGGGCCCCAAGCGAGCTGTGCGGCCTGGATCCTGGCGAGGACCACGCGGATGCCCTCGCTGCGGGCCTGGGAACTCACGTTGTCGAGGTGCGTGTTGGCGTGGATGAAGCGCTTGCCTGTGGTGACAGACTCGAAGACGGCGAGAGTCACGACACGTCTGGAGCCGGCGCCCCATCCGAACGACACGACGTCCGGGGTCGGGGAAAGCCACTTTGTCTCCGAGAAGAGCACGCGTAGAGCAGCAGGCCGGTACAGTATGGGCGAAAACTCGCCATTGGTGCGGCCGTCGTCGCGCCCGACGCCAATGTGCGACCAGCCGGATCCGAGCCCGTTCTTGATGTCGTTCAGCTGGTTGTTGAGGACCTCCTGCAGACCAATCACAGTGACTGCGCCGGAGGGGGCGCCGGCCGCGATCTGGGACAGCTGGTTGATGACGTGTGGCTGGCGGCAACGCGACGCAGAGGCCCAGCAGAAAGCATCCCACCAGGGCTTTTCGCCCGACTCACGAGAGCCTGCGTCGTAGCGGATGTTGAAAGTGACGGCGCGAACGGCCTGTGTGCCCTGGGCGGAAATGGCCACAACGTTGAGAAGCAGCGCTAGAGGCGCGACAACGACTGAGAACTTCATCTTGGGCGAAGGAATGACTGCTTCAGGGAGAGTGGCCACGACGAAGAGACTTGACGGTGATGGTTCAAGGCGCCGAAGCAAGCAAGGGCGGCCGATCTCCGCTTCTCATGTGATATCAAGGGCACTTATAGAGGCATCCATTGTCGACACGTGCATCAATTGAAACCTTGGCACCAATTGCGTGCCTTCACTGTCGAGGGCAAGGTACACGGCGTTGAGGCCTCAATGCGGAAAGGACAAGCCAGGGGTTGGCTGCGGGGTTCATGCAATTCACACAGATATTCACCTGAACTGCAATGGTAGAAAGCAGGGTACCTGAAGATCTTTTTGACTGACTCGGTGGCCCTTTAAATTCGGAAGAGCCGAGAGCGTGGTGCTGACTCTATTTGATTGCCTGGTTGGCCGACATGTTTGATTGACCGCAAGAAGGCCTGGGCTCCGGCTCATGATTCAAGCCTCGTCCTGATTCACAACCCATAACCATGTTCCATGTGCTTGCTAGCGTTCTGACCGACCTCTGGAACCATTCCACAACTTTGATACGATGCCTTGTCTTAGGGCCTGATGCAGCAGCACTTCTTCCTGAGGCCACCGCACCCATCACCGGTCATGTGCGAGAAGCCTCGTGTGTCGCAGTAGTCCTGGCATTTGCCCGACCAAAAGGCCGAGCACGAGCTTGGGTGGAAGCAGTTGTCCTGGCGAGCCTCAATAGGTGCGTCGGCGGCGAGTTGAGGAGCGGCCATGACGGCGGTAAGGGCGGTGAAGATGACGGCAAACGATGTCTTCATGTTGAAGGTTGGATGGAAGATAATAAGATGAGTAGGAATAAGTGCAGCTGATGGTCTCTTGAGTGTGAACGATGTTGTGACTGGGAGCAGTATGTCGTGATCAAGCCAGAGGCCAACGGCTTTTATACTTTGGAGCTGCTCGCATATCTCACCTGATCTCAGCTGGTGCTGCTGCAATCATGACATGGTTTCCTTCAGTTGCTGTTACACAAAGACGGTCTCGCGGCATCACCGCGCCGAGGCTTACACCATGAACTACCCGTTCTTTGCAACAACGTAGCACCCGGGAGTGATGATCATCTGCCTCCATAGCCAATGATGAGAACGAGAACAGCTACTTGCCTTTTCTGATCTCGTAACTGTCGCGTAGGTCACGATCACCTTGGTCAAGATCATCAAGCTCGAGACGATCAGCTGAGATGATCAACGTTCTTTCTGGCTTACCTGCAGTTACAGGACACCTCTTTCATGCGAAAAGACCCATGGGAATCCACGCTCAGGATGAGACTCTGACTGCTGAGACACAGGGTTGAGGGCGTGTAGGATCTACAAGAATAAACTCAAGCTTCTCCAGCTCCTTCCTTTGAAAGACAAGTTAGGGTCTTCAGCGTCACAGTTCCGGCCGTAATTGGTTGGCCGCGCTGCCCACTGCGCTGCACTCCCGTGCGGGGCGGAGCGGGCGGCTGTCGTTTATGGCCGAGGGATCGGCGCGGCGCCGTCCATCAGTAGGTAGGTTTGAGTTCAGCTCGCGCAATGTTCCTCCGTGCTTACTGCCGTCATTGCTGATGACCAAATGGACGGATAAAAAAAGCGCGGCGCCTGTATGCTCTCCGTCTTGTGTACTGTGTGAAGATCACAAGTCTGCAAGACTTGTTGCAAGCTAATTGGGTCCTGGCAGCGGCTGCTGAACCGAGCAGGGGAAAGACGTGGTCAATAAAAGCATATAGTATTGCGCAAGACGTTTCATATGACATCTGATAGGTTCGCTTCCTGGTTATGCGATGCGCAAACGAGTATGAACGCTTTCGGATGCACTGAGCTCCAAGGAATATGCTAATTTCACTGTTCTCGGAGGTACACCATCAGCGCTTCGTGTGATGAGCTAATTTTGGACTTGAATGTAATCTGTCTGCTCGGTGCAAACACCTCCGTTGATGAATTAGAAGTCGGTCTCGTGAAAGAACGAACTCAGAATATCACCGCCGGGAGAGAGCTGAGCGATGGATCGAGTTCACCAGCGCCATGTGCGGCGCAACCATTGGCCAGAAATGCGCTACATTCGAATGCGATTTCTTACCCCCTCATTTGACGGACATGAAACGCCCTCTCTTCCCAGCGCGCTACAGTATTTATTCCGAGAACCATGACGAGTTACATCCCGCTCAGCCAACCGCGCCAGATTAGGATCATTCACTTGGCGCCAGGGTCCCGCAAAGATGTGCTGTGTGGCACCATCGAAACCGTGCTTCTAGGCGAGGCTTCCTACGAAGCGTTGTCCTACGAATGGGGCGCACCTGATCGTGTCTGTAACTTTGGCCTTGATCATGGGTCGCTCCCGATCACTACGTCGCTGCACCAGGCATTACGGGACCTTCGACGAAAAGCAGGTGTGCGAACCATCTGGGCAGACGGCATATGCATCAACCAGGATGATCTTGTTGAACGGACGAAACAGGTGACCCTCATGGGTGAAATCTACAGGAATGCAACCCGCGTTCTCACCTACATAGGGCCAGAGGCAGACGGCAGTTCTTCCGCTATCGAGTTTGCAGCAAACCTCGTTGCCTACGGCGTCTCACGACTACGACACTCCGAACCGCGTATCCATATCCCCGAGGAGCTCCCTAACCTCGGCCTTCCTGCCATCACGAGCCCGCGGTGGCAAGCTCTCAGGAAAGTCTTGACCAGAACTTGGGTATGTCTTTCATTTCACAAAGTTCAGATTTCCCAACCCCACTGACTACGAAGGTGACTCGATGCTGGTGCGCTCAAGAGTTCCTTCTTAACAGGAACCTAACAGTCATGTGTGGTACCATAGAGCTGCGTGACTGGGAGCTCTTCTCGAAAGTCGTGAGGCTTGTTTTCGCCAGACGCCTCCCAGCACACATTCTGCCTGCATCCGGGCAAGATCCGCTGGCCATCGGAGAGTGTGTCTTCGCTCTTGGCGGCGTCCGACGAGCTATCCTCGATAAGGGGGCTCAATTTCGTCTGTCGAACTTGTTGCCGCAATTCCATGCATTCCAGGCAACGGATCCCAAGGACAAGATTTTCTCCGTTCTAGGGCTTGCAGTCGACCTTGAGGCACTCGGCGTGAGGGTCGATTATACCCAAGCGACCGAAGAACTATACACCAGGGTTGCCGGGAGTATTCTGTCGCTCTATCAAGACGTCAACTTCCTCTCGAACAACCTTGGTTCGAAAAAGCTCGATCTTCCCTCATGGGTCCCTGACTGGTCAAGCTGGGTCTTTGGCACAGAATACGTCAACCGAGACTGGTATTACAAGGCAGCTGGCTCTACCAAGGCGCGCATTCGAGTGCATGATAGAACGATCGAAGTATCCGGCTGTTTGATCGGCCAAATAACGAAATTCTCAAGCCCCATCGGCCCGCACTATTTCAAGACCGGTTCGAGCGCGGAAAGGAATCAGTGGCTTCAAGAGCAATTGGAATTCATCAAGCCGCTGGGTCCTTATCCTGGAGAACCGGACTTGACCGACGCCCTCTGGAGGACACTCATTGGCGATCTCACGGCTGGAGAGCAACCGGCGACGGCAGGGTATCGCGCCTTTTTCGACGCCCACATGAACAGCAACGAGGCTTCATCTCCAACGAAAGAGAAAGACATGGCCAGGCAATTTATTGATGCTACTCGCCGCAAATCCCGCAATCGGGTCCTCGCGGCTATTGAGGGGGGGTATCTAGGAGCTGTACCTGTGACAAGCCGAACAGGAGATCATATCTGCCTATTTCACGGAGGCCGTCATCTATTTGTTATTCGTCAGGAAAAGGAGACTTTCCATTTCGTCGGCCCGACCTATGTTCACGGGCTCATGCAAGGGGAGACTTTTGAGGCCAACTGGTATCAGCCTCGGGCGATCTCAATCGCATAGCGCTAGATGGCAATGGCGGCAGAAAGACTCTGCGTCGGCGTTCTCGATGGAAAATGATGATCTAGCAAAAGGCTCGTCGACATCTTCCACTTGTGTGCCGCCCGCCACCAAAGACACAGCCCCAGTGTCCTGTATGCAGGTCACCCAGGCAGAGCATGATGTGATAGGCTCTGTGCCACCTGTCTGCCGAAGAAAGCCTTCACGACAGCCTGCGACTCGAGTGAAGCAACCCCGCTCGCAGTCCATCTCTCTCCTCTCTTCCTCTTCAGCCCCAGCCTGCTTCAGACCACCGTCAGACCCTGCAGGCAGTTCTCGAGGCGGATTCGTCGCCTTCACGCCACTCACCTCACTTTTGCCACGCCACCCGCAGTTATCATTCTGCAAGCCCCGCGTGAGACTATATCTGTCGCCGCACTCGTTGCCTGACTGACACCCCGGGCGAAAACTGAGGCGAGCACGATATCTTTGTGACACCCACCTGCTCGAAACAGACAGCTGCTTCTGCGCACCCCCACGAATCGCGTTCTCAAAATGGGCTGGACGCCCTCCTTCTTCGGCCGCAGGCCCTCGGAAACCGACTACAAGAAATGGGGCCGTAATATTAGCGTGTACGACGAGAAGCTTCTCATGGCCGATCCATTGTCGTTGACGGCGAGCATTATCACTGTGCTCGGGGTTGCGGGCGCTACGGCGGCAGCTGTGCAGAAGGTCCAGGAGTTCAGGAATGCGCCTCTCGACGTGATTGCGCTGGGAAATGAGGTGAGCACCTCGTTTCGTCCACAGTGGACGCCACCTAACAGCGCTTGCTTTGCAGATCACCGACGTTCGCCTGCTTTTCACCGTGATCGAGAATACGGTTGAGTTGAAGACATTCAAGACGACCAGCATCGAGACGAGCGTTGGTTTGCTGGCATTGCTTGAGCGAGCTCGTGACTTGCTTGAGCAGATCCAGCTCATCCACCAGCGGATCCTTCCTCCTGGCCCGGTTGGCAAGCAAAATGGCGACAAGCCCAAGATCTCAAGGAGGCTTTGGGTCAAGGAGAGGAAGAACGTTGTCATGCTCCTGAAGCAACTTCGCCAGACAAGACAGAACCTTCAGACAGCCATATCGTCCGTTACATGCCATCAAACGTATGTGCTTATGGACAGCCTTGCATCGCCAGTGTAGCTAACCGACTGTAGGAGCGCAATCCCCGAAACACACATGACAATCCAGACATCGCTAGATGACCTCAAGACAAGCTTTGCTGCACGCTTTGACGAATTCAAAGCCGAGTTAGTCAATCTCCAGAAGCCGCAGACTCAGAATGAGGCCGACGCCGACCCATCGCTGGAGAAGACTCCTCATCTCAATAGACAGAGCAGCTTTTCCAGTTCCGCGTCGACGCTGATTGGAATAACTGGTTGTCAATCTGTGACCAAGTGTCAGACGACGTGCCCTTGCAACTGCCACGTTCGAACGGCAATTCGGTCGCCAACCTGGGTGAGAGGTGTTCTTGGCTCTCTGTTCCTGAGCTACGCCGGCTCTCCGATCTCTGGTAGGCCAGATTGCAACTACATGCCGTGTCAGCGGAGCAAGAGTGTGGGGACAGCATACACATACCACTTCCCCAGCTGGATGGTTGCCAAGGCTGTTTTCTTTGAGATGTCCAAGAACGACCTCTTGGGATACAGCGCCTCGTGGACCCTTCACATTCCCAAGGTTCTGAGTGATGGCGACCCCATTTGGAGGTTCATAAACTACGGGACCGTGCCTCAAGTCATCGAAATTCTATCCAAGAAGCAGGTTTCGGCGTGTGATATGAACCGAGATGGAAAGTCTCTCCTACATGTAAGCTCACCCCCCAATTCAAAGGCTGGTCAGCGTTCAACTGCTAAAGACCCATGATTAGTTTGCTGTTGAGTGGGAAAGGCCTGACATTTGCAAATACCTGCTCACCCAAGGTGTCAGCCGGTTCTTCCAGGATGACACAGGGTTGTAAGCTAGAAATGCCACCCACAAGATAACCCTCAATTTACTGACCGTCTCAGTACCGCCTCGATGATGGCATGCGAGAAGGTCCTCCCGCCGACCGCCTCCAAGGAGCGCATCGAGAAGCAAGATCAACTCCGCCAAGTGTTCCAAGACGATGACCTTGCCGAGACGATGGACTTTCCGCCCTTGACACTGGCCATTCTTCGCCTTCCCGAAGCCGACTTCGCGACTCACCTCGATCTCAATTTTGCCTCAATCAACGTCCAGGATACGCTCGGCCGCACACCCCTCATTTGGGCGACAGCGCTCCGAAAGCCTCTCATCGCCCAGCTCCTCGTTGACTACGGCGCCGACACATCCCTTACAGATAAACATTCGAAAACGGCGTTGCACTGGGCCATGATTTCGCAGTCCAAAGACGTCGCAGAAGTTCTCATCAACGGCGCCGCCAATCTGGAAGCCAGGGACGTTTTCGGCCGAACGGCTCTGCACGAAGTAGCTAAGGTTGCGCAGAGCGCTGACATGATCAACCTCCTCCTGGACTCGGGTGCCGTCCTCGACGCTAAGGATGCCCGATATGAGCGGACGCCGCTTTACCTCGCGACATACCACGGCCGCACGGAAAACATGCCCGTGCTTCTAGATAGGGGAGCGAACATTGAAGTCGTGGGGCCCATAAGCGGGCATACGCCGCTGCTTGCTGCTGTGGCCTACAACCGCTCGGCAAGTGTTGAGCTACTCCTGGGTCGAGGCGCAGACGTGTCAGCCATTGACAAGGACGGGAGGAACATCCTCCATAACGTGGCGAGGTATGGCTCTGCTGCCAGTATGCGAGCCATGACTGCTGTCATGTCATTGACCCCTCGTGGCTGTGTTGATGTTGAGCTGGTGGACCAGAAGGGGCTCACTGCTGAGGAGTACTTCCTGAAGCACAGAAACGAGTACTATAATGGTGAAATTTCAGGAGAGGAGGAGAAATGCTGGGCTGAACTCATTCGAGTTGCGCGTGATTGAGATAGTCTTCGACGAGGGTAATTTGTTACTGAGAGGGACGAGGACGGCCGTGATTGATAGTAATGCCAGCCTATTTGTAATGCGATCTGACAAATATCAGTAAGAAGGCATCTTAAATCAAGCTGTGCACTACAAGGATACGGGTCTGAGACTCTTGGCAGGTAGGCGAGAACTTGCTCGACGTATTTCTGATTCGTCTGTCCACTGCCGTCTTGCTCGATGCGGAAGACCAAAAAACGCTCTGCCGAGATCAACGGCCACACAACACGCTCGACTACGAAGCCTTGAACCTTCGCCACTGCGGCCTTGTACTTCCTCGACCGCCTGGACTGTGCTGTCCACGCCAGCTTGCTGATCCATCCACAGTCAAGTAAGAAACCCCCATTGCAACTAACTAGATGGAAACGCAGGCTTTCAAGTACTCCTTGTCAGTCAACATCACATTGCGAAGATCCGAAAACTCAACATGTATGCATATCGTCGTATAGTCTCCCGAGCGCTTCCCCTTAGAACGCCGCCTGAAGACCTTCGTATAGTTTATCATGAGCCGTGTAACCCCAAACCCCCCAAGACCCAAAGAATGCCATGCACGCCCTCGTGCTTTTGACGCAGGAACAAGACAAAAAGCGTACTGTTAACATACCCCGACGCCTCCCCGTGTTCCGTATCCATGCATATATGTTTCCACGAACAGAAAGAAAAAACCAAGCCCATCCGCTTGATCTGACGAGCCGCCATCCTGCGGATCGGATGACTAGTCCGACAAGGGCTTCCGGCCACAGACTGTCCGGAAAGGCAAGTAGGCATGATATCCCGTCGTCTTGATCGACTCCCTCACCCGCAGCAAGAAGACCTCGAGCCGCGGCCTCTCCCACGTCAGGGCCGCAAAGGGCCGGGCACTCAGCCCACCCAAGCCGGCGAGCAAGCTCTCTCTCAGCAGACCGCCGCAGAAGCGCAGGCTCTCGTCAGCAGGCCATGATCCGACAGGACACTTTCGCGAGTGCTCCGTCACGCCGGTGAAGCCGATGGCCCGCATCTCGTCGGCAATGGAGGTGATGCTGTAGAGGTCGACGCCTCGCGCAGACAGGCCGCTCGCGAGGTGATCGAACCACTCGCGGAGGGCATAATCGTTGCCTTCGGGGCACGTGTTGTCGTCGCAGCGGAGGTTGCATTCGAACTCTTGGACTTCAAAATAGCCGCCCGGTTTGAGGTGGCTAGCGGTTGTCAGCAAAGCGCTCTTCGTCTGGACAGGACGAGACACCCACTCGAGAACCCTCTTCAGAAGCTCCGGTCGGTTGTGGACTGAGTGCAGCGTGTGCCGGAGGTGGATGTAGTCAAAAGTGCGTCCGTCGAAGTCCCAGCCTTGCTCGTGTTCCATGTCGTCGACGTAGAAGCGCACATTGGGTGGCACCTCACTCGACTGGATCGGCGACAAGTCAATCCCCTCGAAAGAGGAGCGTGGATATTTGTCCGCCACTGCATCATGCGAAAAAAAGAAAAGAATTGTATCAGCAAAGATCAACGGCGGAGGGGGAAGAGGCCACGTCGTGCCACGTTGGCGAAGTGGTGATTGGATTCAGGATCCCAACTCCTGTGGGGTGTACCTGCAGTTGGGAGGGGGGACACGGGAAGACGACAGGATACCACTCACGTTCTTCGCACCAAATGCCAATGCCGGTTCCTGATGAAATGTTAGCGATGCCACATCGGTGGCAAAGCCAAAGTGCCGGGGCGTTGGTTGGGTGGCGAATAGTCAAAGGGATAGGGGATCCAACATACCGAGATCGAGCACCTCAGCCCCCCTTTCCAGCCACTGCTCAATGGGAGCGATGAAATGGCTTTCACCACACATCTCATAACTGAGCTGATGTGCCAGCTGATCACGTTCCTGCTCCGTCTCATCGTTGGGAAAGGCGTAGATTCCTGGTCGATACCCGTGATAGCGCAGTCCGTTTTCGTACGAATGAGCTCTGGCACTGTCGGTCAGGCTGGCGGTGTCACCACGGTCGTC